ATCAACTAGCCAACGATGAAGTACTCGTTGAATATGCCCCAGATGGATCAACCGTACGCATCATCGAAGATATATCTTTCGACACCCCGCTCGTTCGTGACGGAACATCAAAAACAGAGCAAAATTTCGGAAAAACGAGTAATAAAGCCCAAGAATTCGCGGTCGCAGGAGAAATAGAAAAACAAAAGAAAACCTTTGAAGAGCTTGTCCCCCCTTTCCTGCACCAATACCGAGATGTTTTCGCCAAAGACGGCCTTAACAAAGTTCCGCCCAAACAACCTGGTGTAGATCATCGCATCGATCTCAAACCAGGGTTCATACCCAAGACGTCGAAAATTTATCCGTTATCCGGGAAGGAACGAGAAGCTGTCAAAACCTTTATTGAAGAAAATACCAAAAAGGGTTTCATTGTCCCATCAAAATCCCCTCAAGCCAGCGGGTTCTTTTTCGTAGGAAAAAAGAGTGGAGAATTACGTCCCTGTCAAGATTACCGGTATCTAAACGATTGGACCATACGGAACCAATACCCCCTCCCTTTGCCGAAATCTCTCATAGAACGACTCTATGACGCCAAGTACTTCACAAAGATCGACATTAGATCAGGGTACAATAACATTAGAATTCACCCTGAGGATCGCTGGAAGGCAGCATTTACAACGGAAGAAGGGTTGTTTGAACCAACAGTCATGTTCTTCGGACTGACAAACTCCCCGGCAACATTCCAAGCGTTTATGGTGTACCTCTGTCAGCAACAGATAAATGAGGGGTGGTTGGTCATTTATATGGACGACCTTTTAATCTTCTCGAAAGATCTTCAGCAACACCAGGCACACACGATCGAAATTCTCAACATCCTTCGAAGAGAAAAGCTGTTTGTCAAACCAGAAAAATGCACTTTCGATGCGAAAGAAGTAGAGTATCTTGGAATGATAATTCGACCAGGAGAAGTGGGCATGGAACCTGCTAAAGTAGACAGAATCAAACACTGGCCAACCCCGAAAAACTTGAAAGATACACGGTCATTCTTAGGATTCTGTAATTTCTACCGAGCATTCATCGCTCATTACTCCGATATCGCCCGACCCCTCATCGACCTCACAAAAAAGGACCACCCTTTCTTATGGACCAACGACTGCCAAAACGCCTTCGATCATCTCAAAAACGCCTTCCTATCGCAACCAGTACTACGAAATCCTGACCCAACTCGACAATTCGCAATCGCTACTGATGCATCGCTTGCTGCAACCGGGGCGGTATTGTTACAGACCGATGGAAACGGGATGTACCATCCCTGCGGTTACTTGTCTCAATCACTCAACCCCGCAGAACGAAACTACGAAATCTTTGATAGAGAGTTACTGGCAGTCATCCGAGCACTTTCAGAATGGCGCCATTACCTTGAAGGGAGCCCCCATGTCGTGATAGTATTCACGGATCATATGAACCTCCTATACTTCCGCTCCGCCCAGAAATTGACTAGAAGACAAGCGCGTTGGCAGCTTATTTTATCAAACTTTCAGCTGGAGTTGCACCACATCGCAGGTGCTAAATTGGCTGCCCCCGATGCCCTGTCACGACGCCCAGACCATTCGGTCGGAAAAGATGATAACGAGAATCGCATTCTCCTCCCTGATACCATGTTCGTATGATTAATCGATAATAACCTATCAGATAGCATCACACGCAACTCTGCCGATGATCCCATATATCAGAAGGCCGTACAGGCATTGGACGGGATATGCCTTCCCCCAATGAAATCCGCCCTCTCTGACTGGACATGCACCAATGGTGTCCTCTTTTATAAACAAAGAGCCTATGTACCAATGGCCCAACGACATGATGTGTTATTTAAGCACCATGATCACCCCACGGCAGGACACCCCGGCCGGTTCAAAACGGAAGAATTGGTAAAGCAGGATTTTTGGTGGCCCGCCATGGGGACTTATATTCACAAATACATTGACGGATGCGCATTGTGCCAGCAGATGAAAGCTGACACACACCCGACCACCCCGCCTTTACGGCCCATTCCCTCCGCCGCCACTCGCCCCTTTTCTCAGGTTTCCGTCGACCTCATCACCGACCTGCCATTGTCGGGAGGCTTCGACTCTATCATGATTGTGGTAGACCATGGGCTTACGAAGGGGGTAATTATCTCACCATGTAACAAAAACATCACCTCAGAAGGAGTGGCCAAACTATTCCTCAAAAACGTATTCAAAAGATTCGGCCTCCATGATAAAGTAATCTCTGATAGAGGACCACAGTTCATTTCGAAATTCTCTCGAGAACTCGCTCGACTCCTTGGATACCAGATCGCTGCGTCAACCGCCTACCATCCCCAGACAGACGGGCAAATGGAACGTCTCAACCAGGAACTGGAAACCTACCTTCGAATCTACTGCAGGAGTAATCCGTTAGAATGGGCCAACCATCTTCCCATCGCCGAATTCGTCCACAACCATCAAAAACATGACGCTAGAAATACCTCCCCGTTCTTCCTCATGATGGGCTATGAACCGCGGGGAATCCCCCACATCTTACCTGTATCAGACACACCAGCAGCAGAAGAAAGACTCAGGAACCTCCAGAAGATACATGAAGAAGCACTCACTTGCCACAGCATTGCGATGCAGCGAATGGCAGAAAGATGCCATGGGAAATATCGACCATGGAAGATAGGAGATAAGGTATGGCTTACGGCCACCAATCTCCTGACATTGTTACCATCTAGGAAACTTGCGCCCAAAAGATACGGACCGTTCGTTATCACCGCAGTCCTATCTCCCATCACGTTCACGTTGAAACTCCCCAACCAATGGAAAGTTCATCCCACGTTCCATGCTTCTGAACTATCCTCCTATCGCGAAACAGAAATACACGGACCGAACTACACCGAACCTCCACCTGACGTTATCAATGGCGAAGAAGAATACGAAGTGGAAGCTATTCTTAGCCACAGGGGGACGGGTAAACGAAGACGCTATCTCGTATCATGGATAGGCTATTCTTCCGGAAGCAACGAATGGATACCCGAAGAGAACTTGCGGAGTTCGAAAGAACTTTTGACAAGGTATAAAGAGAGACACAAGTTAAACTGAACGAACCATCCCCCTCGAACAAAGAAACATCCCAAGTATCATGACTCCCCCATTGACACCTTCCCCCACTGGATCATCCACGTCCGCCTTCTCCCTTGAAAACTCCACGTACAAGAAAAACATCATTGACCTTGACGACGACGCCATCGTCGAGACCACCCTCTTGTCCCTCCCTCACGCAATTGAACTAGAAAACCAGCTCGCCAAAGAACCAGCGTTTGTCGCCGCCCCCATATTATCCCAGATTCACGTCATACGCGCCACCGCCACCCTTGAGCTCAAACTCAAGGAAATCGAGAACGATGCCCTCAGACTCACCTGCCAACACCTCCAAAGACAAATTCGCAGTCTTGAGATTCAGCTTCTTCCTTCTGCTTTTAGCACTGTCTGCAAAACAGTTATACAAACTGTTGCAGAACAAAACAAAACCGAAGTCGGTCGCCCGCCAAGCCCTTCTACTGGTGCTTCCCCCGGCAGCATACTTGCTGCAGATACGACTAGAGAAGACCCTCAGCCTGCTGCTCAGCCAGCACAAGCTGAGGAAGCACTACCCATCCCAGAACCCACCGTCGTCTTTAAACGAAAGACCCGCGGTGGAGCCACAGTGCACGGAGTGTCGAAGACTAGAGCTTCTAAGGGAAAGAAGCGTGAAGTCATTGACCTCACCAAAACCCCCGACGTCATCACAGTAAAGCAGCCCCAATTCTCCCCAGACAATTTCATTTGTTGCGTTTGCAAGAAACTCGGACATCGCCACAAGAACTGTCCTGAATACCACTGCCGCGTATGCCAAGGTCAAAAGCCTGGCCACCTCTCCATCTACTGCCCCTACACCGCCAAGAAAGAGCAATTCCCGTTGGTCTACACCGACGAAGGCTTTTACGAAGCATTGTCAGAATGGGAGGCTAAGAAAGATGAAGAGCTTCGCGACGAAATAGAACGAGCAAATCGGGAGTATGCAACTCGGTATGATGAGCCAGAGTTTTGCAACGCTGACGCAGACCCACTCTACTATGAACACATGGACGAATACATTAACACCGAAGAATATTGAAGTCGGAGACTTCAACCATAGCAGTGGGGTAATGTTACAGTAACATTTTACCCCTATCTTCATTTCTCTTATCTCGCTTACAAATGGGCCGTCCGTACCATGCTTATCTCTTATCTTCGCCAAGCGGGCTGTCCGCCTTATCTTTCTTCTTATCATGCTTCTATCTTGATAACCATTTACAAGCTCCGCTTGAACATTAGCTATATAGACTAGCTACCAACCGATTGTATTCTTTACTTTAATCTACTGGGTTTTACCTGGAACATTGTCCTTCAGTAAGGTCTCCAACCTTACTGTCTAAGAACCACTATTCTAAGGGAGTCATCGACACTCGCCTTAGCCAGAACCCTTGATCTCTCAATCGAGAGCAGACCTCCGTCTATCTGGCATTTCGCCGATTGTCTATTCAGACACAGATAGCTCGACTCATCCCAGTCGTAACACCAATCGGTTTCCCTCCAGTTGCGACGCGGAGCCTCCTTCATTTTCATTGAGCTTAATTTGAGCGTAAGGTGAATGGGGACGTGATCGGTTCTTGGCCCGCGAAGATCGGGAGCGGTGACGCATGTTGTGACCGATTCTAGGACGTTTTCGGTTCCGAAAACGTTGTCGGGTCTTGTCCAATTTCCAGTCCTTGTTGCTTGAAGGGTGGGGGTTCCTAGTGGCAAAAGTTGAATCATACCATAGTCAGTAATTAGGTCAATTAGCGGTTGGGCGGCTCGATAGTCGAATAGGTGGCGGTTTCTCAGTTCTTCCCAGAGTGGATGGTGTCTATTAAAGTCCCCCATCCATAGCATTATGTCATCTGGACCGGGTCGGAGCATCTGAATGTGTTGACGTAGGTGCTGGTCGATTAATCGTAGGGTGTCATGATGGGTACCGTCGTTGTATATATTGAATATAGTGCATTTGCCGTATGTGCCGTTGAGTTGAACCAGGACCACGTCGGAGGATGGGAAGGAGAGCTGCTGCCACATGTTGGTGTCTAGAGAGGCTTTGATTAGTGTTACTGCTCGAGTGCGCTGTTGGGGGTTAGTATAATGGTTAGTAGGATATATTACGTGCCAACGATGGTTGGCACGCGTGTTGCGAAGGAAATTGATATGAGGTTCTTGGAGGATTAGGATGTCCCAGTCTAAGATGTCGGGGCTGTTGAGCAGAGATTCTTGCGCTACAAGAGAGGTGTTAAGATTTTGTTGCCATATTTTGAGCTCAGCGGTGTTGTCGATTTGAGTGTTAGACATTAGAAGTGTTCGGGGTGTGGTACTCGCCGGTCGTGGAGTTTTCTATTCCCCAGCCTGATTCAGGTGGTTCATTGTAGAGCGGGTGTGAGAGTGGGAGGGTAGGTGGGGAGGACGATGGGTGCGTGTTGAAGTCGATGGTGGTTTGTTTGAATTTGGCTTGTTGGGATGGGCGCGGCTGAGGTGAGTGTGGTAGATCAGGCAATCGGGATGAATGGTTTCAGGGGTGTGGAAGTGTGGGTGTAGGCGTGGGTGTTCTGGATGGGGGTTTCGGAAGTTCTATGGCCTGGGTCCATTCTTGTCCGGTCGGGAAGAAGGGCATTCTATTTTTTGGGAATTTCGCGTCCATTAGTTCACATTGTCGTTTGAATTCCGGGCATGCTCTGCTCCAGCTAGTGTGATTGTTGGATTTACAGCTGACACAATGTTCCGTTCGGTATGCGTTGCATTCAGCTGTGCGATGTGCATTGCCGCAAGTCCCGCATGTGTCGGAGTTGTTCCTGCAGTTCCGTGCTATGTGCCCGAACCGTTGACATTTGACGCAACGCATTGGTTCCTTCTTGTCTTTTTGAACCGTGATGTGTTGGCTTTGAATGCAGAGTCCTTCCTTTAGGATGGTGTTGGCCGTTTCCACTTCCGTTACCTGGAGGAGAGCAAAGGCTCTTTGCTGTTCCTTGGAGCGTCTTTGTGGAGGTTTAATCCATCTGATTGAATGGAGTGAGTGGGCGGGGAGAGCATTTTCTTCTTCGCATTGGTGTAGGAATTCTTCATGATCTATTTTGAGCGAGATTGGTAAGTATTGGAGTACTATACTGAATGTGCGTTCCCGCAGGGATGCTGCTGGTCCTAGGTGTTCTTCAAATATGTGCCGTTTTGCGGGGCTCCTGAGCCATGTGGCTAGTTCTTCCGTGTTGAGCTCGATTATGATCGCTCCGCTGTGTAAGGTTTGTACCGATTTTACTCCTCCTTCCGGTGTTTCATCATTGCTGGCTTTGGTGAGTGCTTGTTTGATCATCTTGACGATATCTGCGTGTTGGTTAGCATCTGGAAATATGTTATTTCCTACCTTCGGGGTTATGAGGATTTGTCTTGCTCTGGTCGCCGCTCTAGCCATGGCCTGGTCTACAGATGGAGGTAGGTTAGCTGCGGTTATAGAGCTGTAGGTCGGTTTGGCCGGTCCTGGTGCTTGCGTTTGGTTGGCATTCAGTTGTTTTGAGGCGTGTAGTTGAGTGGAGAGGTGCGTGACATGTTTTTGGGTGGTTTCTAGTGCGGGTTGGAGGGTTTTTAGAGTGTCCTTGCATTCGTTTACTGAGTCGTGTAGGATGTTGGTGGCTTCCTCTATTCTTTCTGCCGCAGTTTGGTTGTCTCCTTCTTTCTCATCTCTTTCACGTTGCATGTTCTTGCAAAGCGTCTCAGTATCATGAATCGTGGTTTTGAGGGTCTCTGTCAACGATTGGATTTGCGCTATTTGCAGGGAGATAGCCGTCGTGAGTTGTTCAGTTAGGCTGGTAGAGATGGTGTTCGTGAAGTGTTGGGCTGCTGCCTCTGCGATTTCGCATGCGGTGTGGCGTTTCAGGATGAATGCGACAGCTCGAATTGCCGTGGTTACTGGGAGGGGTATTCCGCTGGACATTTGTGTGATGTGGAATAATACTGAGGATAGGTGGGTCAGCATGAGGGGTTGGTCGCGAATACTTAGCAGTTTCTCTTGGAGGTAACACTCTGCGCCTCTAGTATCCATTACTTTGTTCGGTATTGCTTCTATCTCCTCCGAGGTGGTTCTTCTTGGGTTGCGCCTTGTATTATGACCGTCAGTTGTTATGCTAGGGTTAGTTTCTGGAGGGTCTGGTTTGTTATTTAAATTTTTTCCTGGAGGCATTTTCTATGTTTTGAGTATCTATGTTTTGTTTTTTGGGTGTTTTATTGGGTTTTTATGTGATATAGAATGAGAAAGAGTTGCCGTTAGGCAGCGCTGGCTTTGTTGAGCACGATGTCCTCGAGGGGTGTTCGGGGTCTTGCTCGGGGTGCCACTTAGTTTGTGACTAAGAGGCGATTGCTTATGTACTTGGTGGCGGGCAACCTCGCATCGTGCTGGTAGTTGTTTGGCTTTTTTTGCTTCAGAGTTGGTCCGTTGGGGTCATAGACCCTATGTATGTGATAGGTTGTGTCTTTTCGTCTTTCTGCTTACTCGTACTGTTTGGCAAGTTTTCCAACAGAACAATCACTTTGGCGTTCATCGATGCGCTCTTGCGCAACTTCCTGTTGTGCGCCTTCCCTTTGTACTCGTAGGTGCTCGTCGTGAAGAATACGAGGACCGGTGCACCGTTTTCAATTTCGTTATTGGTTTTTGGCATTTTCCAGACTGAGGTCAGATTGTGAGTGTCATTTATCATGGTCGTTTCTTCATTCACATACTGTGTTCGTCCCATTACAATAGACCACCTGCACTCTCAGATCACCTTGCTGCAGGTCGTCCCAGCTTCTTTCTCTTCCTTCATCAGCATGATCTCGGCAGACAACATTGACATGAGGCCGTTTTTTGACATCGGACCCTTGTCTTCTTTCAGCCCTGTATGGGCCCACTTGACTGATGTCCAGATCGCCCACTGTCCTCCTTAACTCTCCGCATAGCATTCGACCAGAAAGAACCCTTGGAATCATTCGCGCACACTAAATTACAATCCTTACGCCTTTACGACGCTTTGCTCACGCGTCCTCTATCTGACCTGCTCAATGCTCTATCACTCCCCAATTTGCGCGCGCTTGAAGCTCGCCGCAATGGCCGTAATGCATCTTGGCCTCATGAAGATACGAATGCATTGTTGGCACGGTCAGAGTGTTCCCTGGAGACCCTGACTATCGGCGGTCGAGTGACAGTAACAGATGCGCAGCGAGCGAAATACGTTATCCTCACTCCTTCCCTCCAAGTAGTAGTGGATCACAGTAGTACATACTTTTGATAGTACTGGGTGGTTGCATATTTTGAGAAATGACGTCTCCAAACTGACAGTAGAATCACCAGCGTGACTTTGTCTGCTTTCAAGGAACTTCTAAGGAACTTCTTCATGAAAATCAGTCGCTCAACCTCTCAATGAACGTTACATGTTAGAAACATTGATCGAGCTTGAGTTATATTAATTAGTGGATACTCTGGTCGTGACGGCTCAGCCGTGCGGGATAGTAATAACCTGGAAAGCATAAGAACATCTGGAAAATAGACAGTCTAAAGGTTTTTTCTTCCTGACTGAAACCATGGAAACTGTAAATCACTGAGGACATCCAGCGTGCTCGAGACTTGTCGCATACTTCCGCATAGCTTCTATCAATATTTTCCCAACGTTGACGATGTATGTCACCAGCCCAAGCGCAGTGAGGGCGCGACATATCACACTTTGAGATGAAAAGCCTGCTATCAACATCGCTGGAGGTGAAATCTATGAGGGACCAGGAAAAGCACCAAATGACGGAGCAACCCACCAAAAACGAAACAATTCAGGGACCAAACAACGAAGAACATAGGCGTGACCATTGACAACAGGTAGGACCAGACAAAGTAGCCGCCTTGTTTGAGTTGCTGATCATATTCAGGTCAGCGATCAGCATGACGAAAATACTAGTAAAACTTACTTCTTGAGTCCAGTGCCGATCGGTGTGTAGCCAACGTATCATGCTTGAGCCAGATGTCAACATGGCGAATATGGCAAACATGAGTGAGATAAAGATTGGGTAATAGGGAATGGATGATGTATAGCCGAAGTATGACACAGGAGAGGCCGTACTGACGAAAACACTACTGATAGCGAGGATACTCGCCTTTGTGAGAGCATGTCAGCGTCGGCTTCAGTTCGCGACGCGCGCGGAGTTGGACAGCTTACCGCAGTGATAGTGCTGCCCAGGATATCGCACAATCTAGTTCGAACAGTTTCGAAGGCTTGTTCCGACTGCAGCGACTTCCAATGATCATCAAGATTGGGGCGTCCAAGTGCCAAAAAACAGAGTACCCTCATTAAAAGGGACGTGGAACGAAGGGCTTCGGGGAGAGGTTGTTCTTTGGCAGATGTTTTTTTGTCAAGCCAGGCATGCTGGAAAGGTCGGTATGAGTGAGTCATACGACAAAGATTCTCAAGTTTTGAAAGCGTACCTCAGTGGAATGGAAATCAGCCATGAATTAACAGAGGTGCGAATGTGCATACTAAGATGCGCGCGTATCCTATTATAAAGGAGGGGCTGTGATATGTAGCAAATGCTCATGATGAAATCGCGGTGGCCACGTTTATTGCGATGCTGTTATTAGCGTCCACGCGCGGCATGCAGCCAGGGACTGTCCGAACTAATGCTAGTAATACTATCCCACGATTTACTATTGTAGTACAGCAAGCCCAGTACAGCCCTACCATATTGTAGTACACATTGATGTGATACGGACTTTTATCTCTGGCTGGCTGCATACGCGTGGCAGCCTCGTGCCCACTGACTCATCCGCCGTTTGCTGTACACGGCTGGCTGCACTACAATCATAAATCGTGGATAGTACCGTTAACGTTAGTTCGGATTCTTTTTTTTACATCTCTGGCTGGCTGTATACGCGTGGCAGCGTGCCCATTGGCTCATCCGCCGTTTGCTGTACTACAATCATACATCGTGGATAGTACATGTTAGTTCGGACACTTTTTTGTCCCTGGCTGGCTGCATACGCGTGGACGCCGCTGTTGATTGTAGCCTCGCGATGAACGCGACACCATTGAATCAGAATCTCACCAGGAATGTTTACTAAATCTCACAGCATCATCCAATAGTATATCAATCGCCGTGAGCATTACTAGTCTGTCTCCACATCATGGGTCCCCGGGCCCCTCAGGTTATCAAGGACGAAAGTCCTGTCAAAGTACTACCCCCCCGGCGTGAACTTCCCCCTCCGGAATTCACGTCTCTTGTAATGAACGTACTCATTTTTTTGGCGTTTGGATGCTCAGATCTTCATGATCATTGGAACTCCCTTCAATCAGATCGAGCCTTTGAAGCCCTTAGGAGGAAGTTGTGCTCTATCCTGGGTAGCACTATCACCACGGTGACCTATTCAATTTCGCGCGCGTCGCGCACTGAAGCCGACACTGACATACTCCCACAAAGGCAAGTGTCCTCCTCGCGATAAGCGTTGCCTTCGTCAGTACGGCGTCTCCTGTGCCGTACCTGAATTACTCAACACCTACTCCCTATTGTCTACTCTTTATGTCTCTCATGCTCGCCATAATCGCGATATTGACATCCGGCTCAAGTATGATGCGCTGGTTACATACTGATCGACGGTGGATTCAAAAAGTAAGTTTTATTTTCGCCACCCGGATTACACCGCTGACCTAAATGTGGTCAGCAACTCAAGCAAGGCAGCTTCTTGGTCTTGTTCCACCTATTGTCGATAATCGTGCCTATATTCTTCGTTGTCTGTTCCCTGAATTGTCTCGTATCTGGTGTGTTGCTCCGTCATTTAGTGTTTTTCCTGATCCCTCATGGATCTCGCCCCCAGCGATGTTAACAGCAGGCCTTTCGTCTCACAGCACGGCCTCCCGCGCCGTTACGGCGTTCTGTCTCATAATATATGTCCTCAACATTGGGACAATATTGATGGAAGCTGTGTGGAAGTATCACGCTAGGCGTCAACCTATTTCTCCCACACTTCCTTGTTAGTAAAGATGAGCTGCGCTCCAACATCTGGACACCCGTTTCGGGTTAGTAAAGACGAGCTGCGCTCCAACATCTGGACACCCGTTTCAGGTTAGTAAAGACGAGCTGCGCTCCAGTTGGACGATCAACGTGTATGCGAGCACACCACGTTGATCTAGGGCTTTGTAAGCCGCATGGGATTTCCGTTTGACACTCCATAGCACCAGGCCAGACCCGTGCGCAAACACATAGATAGCATCTTGAAATTCACACATTTCTTGACTTCCCTTTTTTGACACTTGCCGCCGGATATTTCCAGAAAAGGAACAGAAAAGTCACTTATAAGAAAGCACTTGAATTATGCGGTTCACTTAGCGCTACTTGCGCCAAATCGAGTCATCGACAATTACAGATATAACCCTAACCCCAATATGATCCTAGAAGGTGTAGAGTTACGACACTAAGTTCGTCACGTGTCACACCACGAAGGGCGAGGCGGCCCGAGTTGCCCGCACGCCTCACAAATAATGACAAATAGTACTTCGACTTGAATCTAGACTTCGACATTCGATCAAGCTGACATTAGAATGATGCAATGAGACTGGTAGGCATAATTTGCGAAGCCAAAATCGATCAGCGCAAAAGTATCAGAAATTGAAATATCCATTGAACACTCCCCAGTTTCTTGCCGCGAACCACTGTACCCAAACAAATGCTTTGCAGTCAGTCTTGTGTCCGTCCACCCAGGCTTTCCTCTGGCAAACCTAAGAATAGGGTGAAGTCAGACACGACTTGAATTGGAACATATTACGGCCAAGGCTTACCTCTCCACAGTATGACGTTTGTTTGCAGCGGGAGCACCAGCGCAAGTGCGTATTGTCAGAAGTACTCTCCTTTTTACCACAAGACCCACAGCATCTTGATTGGCCGTTCAATTTACGTGCGGCCACATCATCGCTAGCCTTCAGCAGCTGCTCAAGCGAGCATGGTATGATTTTGATAATGGAGGGTTCTTCGACGCGTATGCCAACGGACATGTCTAAGAAGCCATGCTGTTCGCCGTACAGTACAGCAACTGTGTGACCTTGCTTGATTTGCGGAGCGAGCGCGTGTCCGCGGTCGTCTGTGTACAGTCCGATGGTGACGACCTGATCATCCTTATCCTTTACGCGTAATAAGATTCGACCGAGACCGTAGGAGTCGACGATCTCGCCGAGGAAGCACCAATGTTGGCTGGGTTCAAATCCACGTGGGCCCTCATCGTAGTAGGTGAGATCAACATCATTCTCATCCGGAAGGTCGCTGAATGATGGAAAGTTGACGCTATTGCGCAGGAGGCTTTTAGAACTCTTGGATTCTGGCATTGTCACGGTCCGATGCAGTGAACTGAATCAAGTTGAGCTTGCCCGAATAAACCTCGAGGAAGAACAAACAAACGTACGATATTCTGTATGTTTGAAGCTGCTTCAACTTCAATCTGAGTTGGACAAGATGACAACTCGGAGAAGACAAGAGGAAACTTGAACGGACACTCTGGAGACAAGTTTGTCGGAAAATAATGGAGGGAGAGGTCACGCGGAAGGGAAGCATAACAATGCGAACTAAGGGTGGAGGACAAATGGAGCAAGGAGAAAGTAGATCCGGTCTCTGTCGCAAGGCGTGTTGGCCGCGTGTTAATTGGCGGCGTATCTCGTTTCCAGTAGGGGTTTAGGCTCCTGGCCTCCTGGCTGCACTGGCCACGAGTCTAGTATGTCAGTGTGATTATCCGCAGCACGGTTAATTTTCTCAGGTGTGTTTAATGTGATCATGTAGAGGGGCAGGTTACCGTTGATGCCAAAGCTTTACAGTCAACGAGAAATAATTGACTCGTGAAGCTTTCTTTGAGGCATCACTGACGCGCGATTGAGGAGGAATTATTTTAGAAATAAATATATTCAACTGAGATATTTGCGGAGCAAACACGGAGCAAGGTAACTCGAAAGCTCAGTGAACACGGAAAGCGCTTCCTACCCCAATCGATGATCTGCCCAAGAAAAAGGGTGTGGTGTGAGGGTGCACAGCCAGCTTCGCATGTGTGTATCTGGGAGCTCCGGAGATTGTGCTGGTCAGCGTTCAGCGTTCAACGTTCAGCGTCCATAAGAGTAATTTTGCATAATGTGAGGTACACTGTCGTATGCTGTCAGTGGATAGCTTGAAGCACGCGATAGCGCAAAGGGTGGTGAAAAAGAAGAGCTTGGGGTGCGTTTACATAAATTGGGGAGCGTGTTAGGAGAGCGGAAACAAGAGACGCTACGGCATCTTCCGCTCGCCCAAAACACAATTGAGTCCGTGCCTCGTACTTAATTAAGGAATATACACGCCGCAAGAGATACTCTCCTGCGTCTTCCATAATATTAATACTATAATAGCACTATTGGTTGCGTATCGTTCATGTACGTTCATGTCTCACGAAAAAAATTAATGCTTGATCAATGCCCTGCAATCCTGGACTGGGGCAGTACGACACAATAAAAGAAAAGCCAGTAATTTGTCAGGGCGAGGCATCAGAAGCTAAAACGTTTGCGAAGCCTTCCCCATTTCCTTGTCGTGAACCACCGTACCCCAACAAGTGCCTTGCAGTCAGCCTTGCCACAAGATCCACAGTGTCCTGATTGGCCTTTGCGTAGTACAGCCACATCATCGCTGGCCTTCAGGAGCTGCTCGAGTGAGCATGGTATGATCTTGATGTTGGAGGCGTCTTCGACACGTATGCCGATGGTCATGTCTGTGAAGCGATGTTGGTCGCCATACAGTACAACAACTGTGTGTCCTTTGTTGATTCGCGGATCAAGCGCTTTTCCGCCATCGCCTGTGTATAGCCTGATGGTACCGATCTGACCGTCCTTATCCTTTACGCGTAACGTAACTCGTTCGAGCCCGACGGAATCGACAATCTCGCCGAGAAAGCACCAGTGCCGTTTGGGTTTGAATTTGAACAGGCAAGCATCGTAGTATTCGAGGTTAAGTTCATTCTTAGGATCTTTCGGAAGGCCACTGAAAGTCGGGAAACTGAAGTCATCGCGCAAGAGGCTTTGGGGTTTCTTGGGTTTCGGCATCGTTTGCTGCAATCTGGTCGAGCGTATCATATACCTCGAGGAAGAAAGTCCGAACCTATGAAATTATCTGTATTGAAGATCTACTTCGCTTCAAGGGATTTGGACAACGTATGTCACGAAATGAGAAGATGAGATGGGGGATGGTAACTGACCAGCATTGGTCGAACCTGCAGGATTTTATATGGTGCCCCAACAATGTAACTAAGAAACGAGGAATAATGGGAAAAGGGCTCAGCATGCACCACACAGAGCTTCAATGTACCTTTGTGCAGTTTAACTGGCTCATGAACGATAGTGGAGCGAGAGCAAGCCGCCCGAGTAAAGGGCTAAGTCCAACATAGGGTCTACGACCCCAAAGGACAATAAACTGGATTTTCAACAAAAAAAAACTGGCTCATGAAATCGATCATCTCCTGGTGGTAATCATTAAGTTAAACCGATAGTTTGGAAATTTGAACGCACCATCTTTGCGCGCTTCTATCTGAACAAGCCCCTTGTATAATGTAAAACTGTGCTCCTACTGTCAGGTCCAGAACTTCAAGCTCAAGCTGCAAGCCTCTAGGGATGATCATAGTGTTCTTGTTCGGGCACCGAGTTGAGTGAGTGGCGGGGCGGCCCGAGTCACTCACGCCTCACGAGCCACAAACAACGACAAACAATTGACTTGAGTCGATCAATTACTCTTACCACCGTTCAGTTCAGGAGACGATGAAAATGGCCACCCTTTCGCTGGACGAAGAAGTTCGACTATTTACGAACAATGCTGAACGAGAGAAGTACAATCTTCTTGGTACCTTGTATGGGATCATTGTCGCACTTGACTACCTCGAGCGCGCCTATGTTCGTGATGCAATTACCGCAGCACAGTATGTTCCCATCTTAATTTCACTTCATGTCAGACTTAGGAATACATACGCTGCAAGAGATACTCTCCTGCATGCACGCGACTTATCTCGCAGTACATGACCATGCTCAAGCTTGTCAAGGACTCCGTTCCTTCCATCGAGCAGTTCATGACACGGTATCGGATGGATAACCCTGCGGCGTTACATCGCATACGAGTTGGCGTACCTGCGACTGTTGAACATTCTAGCGAGGCGGGACCTGAGACTGGAAAGTGGATCGCTGAGACGACGCAGGTTAGGGTTTCGTGTTGAAATCTTTCTTTTTCTAACCAGTAACACAGAATTTCATCACATTCATGGATGCGTTGAAGCTTAGGCTACGCGCCAAGGATCAACTCCACCCGATCTTGCAAGAACTTGTCACAGGGTATGCTAGGTTTAAGGGGAGCAAGGATTGGGAGGGACGGAGCAAAATGGTCAGCTGGTGCGTGTCATTCTGTTTCCCGCCTGCTTTCGATGTCTCAGGCTCGCATTATCAGGCTTATTACCTTGAACAGCATGAAGGCATCCGAAGAAATAACAGATGAACAGTGCCGGCAGGTAAGTTCACAAACCTTTGCTGACGCGCTTCGCACTGATATTCTCATAGCTTACGTTTGATGTCGAACATGCATATGCCGAATTTTTCAGAAGTCTGAGCGGCGGTAAGGAGAGGTCGTAACGAAGATGGTTATACAGCCTTCGATCATTTCATATCCAGGCGGCTCCGCTTTGGTTTACAAATATGGGCAATCAAAGATGTGCAGTCGCAGAGCCTTTGAGGACCAGGCACACTGCGTGTGTTGTCGTGGGCAGAGCGGCTTCAGTGAGTGATGCAGCAAGTGCTGTCCACTATGACGTATATAAACAAATCACGCCAATCATCAATCGGTTGCTGTGCCGCTGTGCATGGATCTGTCTTGCGTGTTCCGCCATACATAGTCATCCGTGACCCTTTGAAACGCGATGAACTGATACTAATTCCAGACTTCCAGCGTGACATAAAACTCTCACCGATTTCTTTACACATGTCTAACGATACAATCGAGTTTTCTGTTGTGGGCCACCAGGGTTGGCGCTCCGGACACTCTCAGCATGACACGCATGCTGAGCAGGGTCCGCGCGTCCGGAAATTCCATATATCTAACGCAGTTAAGATTTAGAAGTTCCTTTCTTCTATTGCACTCATCGTCGCATTGCGCATGTTGCTTGCTACTGGTGTAGAGGCATGGTAGCATTGTATTTTCGCCGCTGACCCTCTGTTCTTCTCCCAACTCCTAGCGCTCTGCCATTTTACTCAGGTTTTAGGTTCACACGTATTCACGCTCGGTCTCGCCCATCTCCTATCATTCCGCTACTAGGTACGGTTTTAGGTCTAATTTCATCGGATTCTCCCCAGTTGACGAATCCTCTCTTTGGCTAAACTCACACTGCCGGCGCCTTTGCATGGGACATTCGAAGTCCCAGGTACATTGAATTCGATGGCCATATGTGGCACCCTGGCTCTCCGATTTTCTGGCCAGTCATATGCACGCCCCTCGCATGCTATACACCAACTTCGTTCATTCTCCCTAGGTGACATGACTGAGGCTCAACAGTTTCTTCTGCGATAACGATCTTGTGCGAGTCCGATTAGTCCACATGTCCTTTGGTGCGAAGCCCTATGATGGACACTACATAGGGAAAATAGGTGCGGCAATCAGGCTATAATTTATTCTTTTGCGTTGCTGACAGCAAGTAACCAGGTTGAATTTATCTAGGTGAGTATTTTAGGCCCTTTGAGTATACTGGACGATCCAATCTATTTCCTCAGCTTAGACCCAAGTCTATAATCGTAATGACAATGTCATGAATTTGTGAGGCTTGCTCGTATAAGTACTCGCAGTTATACCGCTTTTCACGCATGCAACTTTATTAGAGGTTCCAGTGTGTTTAAACGAGTCCCCATGTTGAACTACTGATACTTTATTAGTCTGTAGGTGGTCGGTGTCGATTTTGGATCCCGTATTCTCAACCATTGTACCAAGGGGCCTGCGGTCAGCGTATAAGACTGACAGTACGTCGTCTCCTCTCTTAAATCCACCAGCTAATCTAATTTGCCTCCGTTCAGGGGTTTGTCTGCACAACAACACTATATACTCTGCTGGATGCTGATCAAGATGATCCTCACGCGTAGATTGCTAGGTATTAGAAATGCGATGCCCAAATACGGGCTGAAGTTCTATTGCTGTGGGCGGTGAGTTTTTCCCGTTGGCATGTGCTCCGAATTCAGTCGACGATCACTTGCATAGCAATTACGTTGCTGCGTTTATCTGCAATGTATCGACACTCGAATAGTGTGATCGTATCACTCGTTGCGCTTTTTTGATGGCGAATTTGTCTGATGGGATCTTGATGGACCTGACCATCGGCGCGAATGGTGGTTTGAGTAGTGAGTGTCTTGCTTTGCATGAACGGGAGAGATAGATATTACAGGTGAAGACGGGGAACCTATAATTGTTTATTGAATAAGGACCTATGCGATTCTGGTTTTTTGGATCTTTGGATTCGGTCTCTTACACATGGCCCGGAATCGTAATGCAAGAGGCGTCGCGTCTCACGATTTTATTTAAAGATCCTATACTATGGCTCTTATTGTGAGTACTTTACTTGTTGATACGGAACTTGTGCAGGGCTGGATAGCTATATTGATATCAGTATGCCTCGAACTGTCTTCCAATCCTGCCTAGTATTAAAGCAGTAAGGGTGCTCTATAATATCTTGTTCGCTACTCTAGAATAGCTCTTGACTTGTCTACAACGGCATCAACTACGTACGTCCTAGGCCTCGACTCGTGGTCATGAACTGGTTATCGGTATCCGGAAAGGACGTGGAAATACGCGAGAGTATACGTAGGATAGAAGATGATCTTTACGGGATAATGTTGGTGGTTAGTGGTACAAATGCATAGGAGTTCGGAACCGCGAGGCTTATCTTATCAACTTCAAGGGCCGTGAGTGGCTGTGCATTTGTACTATATCTCGCAAAATGACAGAACCGCCGTGCGCAGTTGGCTGTGTCTCCCATTCTTGCGCAAGATTTTCGGACGGCCGTACTACGATTATATATAACTTCCTTCTTCCTTCTACATTCACACTTTTGATTTTCAGAAACGATGTCGCCAACAAACCAATACCCTCCAGCACATTCCAGTCAACTAGCAGTTGAGTCTTCGAGCGCTTTTCAGTATGGGTCTGCAGCACCACACACGACAGATCCATTAGGTCTTGACGAGGAAATGCCTCCAGCATACACTCCATCTGCAGACACTTACCATGGAGAGACCACAGTAGAAGTCGGTCCTCGCAGACCCTTCCAACAACAACCCCGACCTAGTCATAGTACACACAGACCCTCGAATTCCCATTCCTCCTCTCATTCCCATTCATCGCACACCACTTCCTCATCATCAAATTCTCAGCCATTGTCCCCATCCCAACAGCGTCCGCAGCAGCTAACGTGGAGAGTCCCAAGCTCCTTGTCGGCGCCTTCTGGTCAGTCATACCAGTCTCGCAGAGGGGGCGGCCTGGTTGGAGCACTCGTTAGTACGATGCTTGATGCAATGGATTCTGTTTCGGGTACGCGTGATGAACAGATGCGTACCATACAGCAGTCTCAAACGGGTACCTATGCAGCTCCACACCCAATGTCTTCCTCTGGTATGACCCAGAGCACTTATACGCCGCCATACCAGGGGGGTCAAGGTCCAGTTCTTAGGACGCCTTCTGTGCATCAAACTCCTCCGCGGAACGTTCCGGATGACGGTAGTCCCACCAGAACGCCCACGCCTGGACACCCATTACTACATAATGGACACATCCTCGTGTACCCCCATGAGGACTACACGTGTGTCAAATGTAAGTATATTCACATCCTCTCATAAAGCTAACTTACGTTGCTCCCTCAAGGCAACAATACGGGGTACAAGAATTACGATCCCTCCCACCCCTGCAGAAAGTGCTGGGAGAAATACGGGAAACCGTATACCGGCGCATTGATGTACACATCCTGGAATACCAATTCGTCATCTCATAAATCCAAGTATCAGCGTGCTCTGCCGAGGTTCACCCCACCGCAGGCATCATCTCAGTCCTCAAGCTCAAGTCACACCAGTCGGTCGTCGCACGCTCCCCCACAGGCGCATGCAATATACGTATACAATCCTATAATAGGCATGGGCCAGACCCCGCCCGTTCCGCATGCCGTTCCTGTGCGCCCAGGTGATGCGCGCCTTGGGGGTCAAATTTGCCGCAAGTGTGGTGGTACAGGGACGTTGCCGCTCTTGATCATCGACGTGAGACCGTGCTCTGTGTGTGGTGGAATCGGACGTAACTTGTGGTAGGTGCGTGTATGAGATGCTAATACAAAAGGGAATTGGTACGGTACGATACTGATACGATAGACTATTCACCATGATTGATAATAGTTTCTTGGGTTACACACTTTCATTTGTACCAGTATGCGCATTCATCATTGTGTACTTTGTCCTCGATCAAAATTCATGTTCTGGATGGTCATATTACCTGCATTCCCGCGCTCTGGAATGGGAAGGTTTGCCCCGTCATCAACTCCATCAAGCTGAAGGTCGATCATCGTATATATTACAAATGCGCATACCCTGCCACCACATAAACACCTCGTGATACGTCATAATACAAGATGTCCTGATCGTCCCTCAAGATATCATCCTGATTTTGATTTGCATCAATTCGACATAGTACCAGACTCCATCTCCTCGGCTGGGATAATGCCTCGGACATGGCATCAAACTTAGTACGTGATGATCAGAATCTCTTGTCCTGATCAAGCTCCAACTTGGAACAAAGAATGATCTACCAGTCACTAGAAGGTCTATAGAGGAAAAGCAGCAGAAGATCATCAAACACATCTGGTACGGGTGCGCCCACGCAACGGTACGCGCGCAGCAGTCGACGCAGCACGGACAACTTAGAACGCATTAACATTACTTTGATCTTCTATCGTACAGCAGGGAGGCTCCTTTGAAATCTAACACAGCTCTAACAACAAGACCAGCGCTATAAACGGTGATGATGAACAGTTTGCGACTATTCGTCATCTGGGTGCAGCATCAGCTCCGGGCGTACTTTCTCATCAAACTCCTCGGGTGTCAGGAATTGGAGTGCAACCGTCGCCTCCTTCAGCGTTGTTCCTTCTCTGTGTGCTTTCTTTGCGGCCTTGGCTACATCTGCAAAGTATGATTGATTTCGAGCAGATTTGCACACTTATAATTAGCACGTACTATCATAGCCAAGATGGCTGTTCAGGATCGTTGCCAGCATCAAACTCTCGTTCAGGAGATGGTTGATGCGCTTCTCGTTAGCTCGGATGCCAACCACGCAATTCTTTGTGAATGAACGGGAAGCTGACAAGTCCAGGTAAGCGGCCAAATAAGCGTAGTCTGAGTTATGAGTCCCCACCATCAGAAAGAAGACGAATGCTCTGCAAGACGTTCATGATTATGACGGGTTTGAAGACATTGAGCTAAAACAAATCATTAAATGGTCAATGCGTCGTATGAAGTAAAGATACCTCAAAGTGTCCGTTAGAACTAGCGATGCTGACAGTGGTCTGGTTGCCCATCACTTGAGCAGCGACCATAGTCACGGCCTCGCACTGGGTGGGATTGACTTTACCGGGCATGATACTGCTGCCAGGTTCGTTCTCGGGGAGCATCAGTTCGCCGAAGCCACAGCGAGGACCAGAGCCAAGGAATCGAATGTCATTAGCGATTTTCATCAGAGAGCAAGCGATGACATTCAAAGCACCATGAGCCTCGGCAAGTGCATCGTGACAAGCTAGAGCTTCAAACTGCGGGTTTTGATCAGAAGTCAGACGAGGCACAAACTACTGTGAGATGTCTTGCCTTGTTTGGTGCGGTCTGGAATTTCAAGCCCGTAATGTTGGAGATCTCGGCTGCAACCTTCACATCGAAACCCTTCCTCGTGTTAAGACCCTGCACGACACCTTAGCGCTTATATTCGTTGGATGTTGGATAACCTCACCGTGCCAACAGCAGTTCCACCTTGAGCCAGAAAACGTAAGCGAGGAAGGACGTCCTTAGCACGAGCGATGCCATTATCGATTTGCTGGACATATCCGCTGAACTCTTGGCCAAGGGTCAGGGGAGTAGCGTCCTGATAACGATAAGACGGCGTTCAAATTTAAGGCCGACTCTTTCATAGAATCATACCTGCAAGTGCGTGCGTCCGATTTTGATAATGTGGCTGAATGATTGAACCTTTTCGTTAAGCGCATCCCTGAGTCCTGTCAATGCCGGAAGCAGCGAGTGGCTAATTTCAGTCACGGCAGCGACATGCATAGCTGTTGGGAAGCTACGGTTATCAGTAAATTCGTTAAATTAAGCATTCCTCGTGCGGAAACTCACGTGTCGTTACTACTCTGGCTCATGTTAACATGGTCATTGGGATGGACCGGATTCTTGGAACCGAGTTCACCACCTAGAAGTTCTATCGCACGGTTCGAAATCACCTGTTGACCAATGAGGTAAAGCTACTGAGCACTCGAGAGTTTGATATGCTCACCTCGTTTACGTTCATGTTGGTTTGAGTTCCACTTCCGGTCTGGAAGACAACCAAGGGGAAGTGGTCCATGAGCTTACCGGAAATGACCTGAAGAAAAGCTCGACTCAAAACACGCATCCGAAGCCTAGGGCGCAATCTCTCACATCATCAGCTGCTTTCTGGATGGCTTCGCCTATTTTAGGATCTAGGCCATAGCTGACGTTAATGATAGACGCTGCCTTCTTCACCACGCCAAAGGCCTTGATTAGGGGAGGCGGTAGCCGTTGTGAGGGACCACCAATATCGAAGTTTTGTAGCGACCTGGGAGAAAGACTCAGTGATTGAGTATGCACATCAGATCAAATGTGCACACCGCTGTGTCTGTGCTCCCCAATAGCGATCGGCTGGGACCTGGAGCTCACCGAAGGTGTCATGCTCAGTGCGGAAGGACTGGTTTGACTGATATAGTGATCACCTCTACTGAGTGAGAGAAACTAACTTACCATCGTAAGACGTAGTTGGAGGAGTCCCTTGATGGAGCTGTTACATAAGTGATAGGCGGAAGGAACCGGGTCCTGCCGGTGGTACCATTACCCCTGTCACGCATCCCGCATTCTAATCAAAATGTTTGTACGCCCCGAATCTGGGCATGTAAGTTTTTCCCGCACGTGCGATAAGGGATGCTGCGTTCCATGTATTCATGGGCAGAGGATTCTGCTTTTTCATTTATGCATTCTGTTCCGAATCGCCTTTTTACCATCCAAAAGTACTCGTACCAGGCGAACGCGACCACGCTATACCGAACCGCCGTGTCCCTTTTCCCTGTGGATGTCTGAAACTATAGTCTATCCATGGTGCTTGTCCTGCAAGTGCCAAACGTTTGGTGTTCTGACACGATTTGGTGAAAAGTGCCCATTACATTTTTTGATAGCTGGGAAGCTAGAATGGATGAGCGTGCAAAAATGATGCCGAAAATCATTCCCTTACAGGTTCGTGTCAGTCTCGCTGCTTCAGCAAGTTGAGGTCAAATGCAGAGGTGGAGGTTCATCATGTTGTTGGAGCTATCTCCACCTGCAAAGTACGTCATATCACCCATCTCTGGTCTAAGTACTATATTTAACTCATTGCTGATGCTGACCCCGTCGCAGCCTGAAAGTAGCATTTCGGAACGAAAAGGTACCAAGAAAGATTTTTACTCACAAATATTGAGAGGCAGCTGCAGGCATCTTGCGCGAACTATGAACACGCCCACAATCCACAAGTCGACTAGTCAGTCATGAGACCATGGACGAATGAAGATAAAAATATCTAGTTTGAAGTGGAACTTCAAAAAAGAAGTCCATATTCAACACGTGACTGTGACACACGCGTTAAAAACACCAGACCATTCAATTATGAGACCAACACCGTTGAAGACACTGACCTAGTAGTCCTTATTCTCCTCTTCGCCTCTCATATTCAACTTGATAAATGTCGTCGCTTACCCCACTCAAGGCATCCATGCTCAGTCTCAAGCCATATAAAAACGAAGCTGCACTCCGGATCCGCAACAGTTCTGCTGCCCTCGTTGCTGTACTCTTATTCACGCATCTTACTCCGGCGCCATCCCTATGGACAGCTGTGGATGTCGTGTTCAATGATTCAGGAGAAGGAAAATCTGTATTTTGGATGATGTGCGCTGCTGGTGAGTGACCTTGTTTAACGTTGTTAATGAAGTCGCTGATGGCAGTTCGCAGAGTTGGCCATACTGGGTCTCTTCACCCTGAACGCCCTTCAGGCAGCTATAGGGCTCATGTATCCATCAAAACCTCTTCCACCCGCACAGTCGCCTTCGAAGAGTCTCAAGACACCGCAATCACACTTACAAAAACGCCGTAATGTGTTGTCACCTCACGTAAAGTCCTGGTATCTCTGAGCGAGTGTTCTTAACTGATAATAAATAGACGAGTCCACAGCCGCAGCGCACTTTCTCCCCATACGTCTCCTCTCCAGTGTCAACGCCTTCTCGCACCCTCCAATACTCCATTCCCGGACCCACGCCTCCACCTTTCTCCTCACTGAATTCCTCGCTTGGTATGCCGCAGACACCCTCCCCTTTATCTGCGTACCGAGGGAAGCATTCGACGAGTACAGGACGTAAGCCATTGCCATTCTCTCTATCCTTGCCCGGTTCTGATCGCTTCATCAGACTCGTTCAACGGTTCGATCCTCAGTAGACTCACAAAAGACGATGATGAAGATGAGGAGTTTATGTAGATTTGTAATGCGGTATTTTTGTTCAATATCATGTCCATTGCTATTAGCGTTTTTGCGTTCTTCCAGCGTGCAATCGGTCAAGTCACTCGCAAATGTGGGAATATTTGTAGTGTGCATTTGCGTGCAGGCATCCTTCTAATGACCATGCGCATTGCGCATGCTCGGCAATCCAGTACTGTCCCCAGTGAGTCAGCGTGTCTTGTTCCTTGTGATGCACATCATGCATGGTGCGTATCAGTAAGGCCATCATATCTCACTCACTAACAAATCGACTGATCTAGGACGGTGATTGCCGCCTGTGTCTCACTCCGAGCAGCCCTTCTGGGTATGTCGTGAGACTACTAACCCGTGATGAATCAACACGTGTGATCTAAATGTTCCCCTTGAGATCATATAATGGCACACGAGACCACAGCATCCCCTGGCACGAGTACAGAGAGCGCCAATCTGAGAGAATAAATGAAAGGCGTGTTCCCAGGAAGGTCACTGATTATCTATCTGCAGATGATTCTGATCCATGTTTGAAAAAAATAATTCAAATAAGGTCAGTTGCGCCTTGGGGTAGGGGCAAAGGGGAACGAAGAATCGGCACGAGCATTCACGTTGCATCCTGCAGATCTTATCAACAAGTCAAATCCAGTGAGTACACACGAGATAAACTATATTTCTCTCTTTCAAACCAATCGCTTCTGATTTTTTTCCTGTTTCTTTCGACAGACATGATGACTGCAACAGCTACTCGGACTTTTTCAATTCCAAGACCATCTGAAGCCGAGTTTCGCCGACTTCATAATTCAAGGCATGGAGAAATTGCCCAAGCTCTGGACATGGATGATGACGATTTCACGGTGTTCAAGGTACGCCTGTTCTCTTGCGCCATTTTCCTACTGAACCCAGTATCCGGAATACAGAGACAAGTGCGTGAGAAGATGTATGCATCGCTCGATCCCTCGAAGAAATTCGACGAACAAGATCCTTCGGCCTGGCGAAGATTTGTACAATGGGTAGGTCGATCTGTTTACTACTGCGGCGCCTTTGTAATTCTAGCATCTACTTTTAAGGCTTATGAAACCATGCCCTCCCTGATTTCGAAATATGAAGATGCTTGGCCGGTCGAGTTATATGTAAAAATCAGCCTGAGCAAACGTATTGCGCACGAGCGCTTCCGGTTCAGAAAGGCAGTGGCGAAGTATAAACAGACGATGACCATCAGGTCTTCTTCCTCTGCAGTGCGTCGATTATTCGCCTTCCCTTCTGTCCACGCTCATTATGTACAGCAGGGTGAAGCGGAGATGTCACCGACCGACCTGCCGCCCCCCTACGATGAGATAGATCGAGTCACAGACAGCGAGACTCCTGGTGCACACATGCATCCGGATGCTGCTCCCGAAAACATCGAGAAATTTTTGAGATCCTGTGATTTTGATCTCGGGCATCTCACTAGTACTTTCGTCACCCGACGAGCAGGTCTTTTCAATTTAGGAAGGCTAGAGCTTCTCGCGTCATGGCCTGCCGCGTTGAGACGCGACCACTTGGAGAGGCACTTTGGCACTATGCTCGATGATGTCGAGATAGAGGTTTTGAACAAGCGGTTTGTCGAGATGAGCCATGTTCAAATCTGACTTTGGGTTGAAGACACTAGATTTGTATTTACAATCGAAATGCAAATTAGGCTATCTACTTTGGCTGATCATATTTCATTCAAAGTGTTGTTTGTTGATTCAGCGCATTTGCTGCCTCGTTTGTGACTCACTCCCCTGGACGTAAGCACGACGACTGAATACGTACTCAGGAGTCAACGAGCGATGTAAACTGCGGCGAGGACATGGACCTCGACCGTTGGCGTAACCATACTGCATTCAGAACAAAGGCTGGAAACTGCTGGATCCGAAAGGTCATCCCCACGAAGCTTCCATCGAAACGGTGACTGATGGGCGTCAACCCTTGGACCAAAACTAGATAGTATAGACTTCGGGTCCATGTAGCCTAAGTAGTGGCTTATGTCAGCGGATACTCGATGATGATCAAGCTTCTTCTGATCTTTGTTATTCGAACTTCTCACCCGTCCTGGCCAGTCCGGCCTCCTGACCGAGTTGCCAACTCATGTTGTGCTAGCTGCGGAAGGAGTACTTCAGTTCTCCACAGGAATAGGATCACCGAAGGTTCTTGCAGCAGTCATTTTTTGAAGAGAAGACTCGGCGAGATGTGCGGTGTTACTACTACTAGTGACTACCAAATCAATACGGCGATGCTTTGCAAGACTTGATGACATTGCGCCTTCAAACTTCGAGAATCAAGATATATGCACAACTCGACACGCGGTAAAACAATGTTGGTGTTTAGTCATGCGTCGCGCTGAAACGTCCCTTGAGAAGCCTATCGATTTTGAAGTTCGTCACGGTGACGTGGCGAATTTTCGTGGTCGTATTCTCATGGCAAAACTCCGAACCCCGGATGCTTCCAGTTATGTTCCACCACTGCTCACTAGGTTATAGCCTGTTGTAGCCGGCAAATACACTCCGGATGATATCAAGTTGCGATGAGAATGCATCGCGAAAGCCTGCAAAATATTGGTTTATAAGTTTTTCTTTCGTCATGACTTCACCCGTTCTAACGTTTTCAATTGTGTGGTAGCCTACATAGGAAGAGCGAATGCCGCCATTTTCTTCGGATATACTATGAGAATGGACAAATAGAGCCACCAAGTAACTTATGCTACCGATGGATCAGTGTAGTCAGGCGACTCAGGCCATTCCTTCTTTTTCAAGCCGATGGGCCGGACACCGTGCTGGCAGAGGATCAGTATGGAGAACGGGTATATAATATGCAAGGCATATCAAGACTGAGAGACTTCGTCTTTTCTCGACAGCAAACTGCACCATGGCACATGCAGAGCTTGACCATCTGCAAGCATGTTTGAACCTCGCACTTGACACACTCCGCAAGGAGATAGACAGCTCTCAACTTCCCCCCCTGAGCCAGCAAAGCTCAGTAGCACACCCATTGGATGACCCAACGACATACCTACCTAGTACGGGGTTGTTCAAAGCTCGCCGCCTCTCTTTAGGTACGTCATATTTGCTCTAATATGGACCAATGCATAACTCAAATCATCTATCAGCATGTCTGGTTGGTTACTAACTGTGCTCTATGTTTTATTCATCTGAGTATCTCTTCTAGGGAGAGCTAAAGAACCTTATCCAGTCGCCTTTGGATAAGATCATGGATGAGAGGTTCACGGTATATGGTGTTGCCTGCACCGATACCCTTATCAAGACCGGAATTATCGACTACCTGTCTGATGTGCCAAACCCCTCCCAAGGTGTCCCGGCTACCGAACTGGCCTCCAAATTTGAACTTGATTCTCAAAAAATTATTCCCATTCTTCGTTGCTGTGCAGCCAGCGGTTGGGTCAAGGAGACCCGCGATTCATCATTTGCTTTGAACAGATGCGCGCGCACTTTCATTGAAGGCAACGCTGGTCGGAGACTGAACTTTTCGTATGTTCTTCACTGCATCACCGCTTGACAAGACTAAATATCGAGCAGTATGCCTGGGTTTATGTCGATAATAGAAACCATACCACATTGGGTGGCGGAATCGGATTGGAAGTTGTCACGTTCTCCAGAGCAGACTGCCTTTCAAATCGCGTTCAAAACACCCTTGGTGGCATTCTCTTGGATTATAGAGAATCCAGATGTCCTCGTTCCAATTGCGGATCATCTTCAAGTCAGTTATCCTCCCAGTGTTAGAGAATTGCAGAGCACTCATCTAACTTTTGCTATTTTAGGTCTTTGGTGACATGTCTACGCCGAGTATCGTGGCGGACTACCCATGGGAACAGTTGCAAACCCCCGTCATCGTTGATTGTGGAGGAGGGGAGGGCGGTCTAGTTTCGTCTATCCTAGATGCGTAAGTTGGCGTACGTATTCCTTTTCCAGAGGTATCTCAATCATTACAGGCATCCTTCCTTCCGAGCCATCGTACAGGACATGGAGAATGTAGTCGCACTGACAAGTTCGATCATGGAAGATCGCCGCCCTCACGATGTTGCAAATGGTGTACTCAAGGTGGAACCCCATGACTTTTTCCAGCCTCAGCCTCGGATTGGAAACGAGTACAGCTTTATCTTGCGTCATATAATGTGAGTACTCGTTTCACTTCCCTGAATTTGCTCATAACAGTCTTGTGCCAAAGGCATGATTGGCCGGACAAAGAAGCGGTCGGTGTAGCACATCCTACTTCAATGACATAGCTGACTTTGACTTAGACAACGATACTGGGACATGTAGCTCGTGCATTGGGTCCCAAGGTCAATAACCAAATCTACAGATCAATGCGCTATGTCTGATGGATTTTACAGTCCAGGATACTCATCATCGACATGGTAGCTGTCCCGAACGTAGATTCGACTGCTACGAGCGCACAATCGTTGATGCATGATAGCAAAGCTAAAGGTCCCGACTACAGGATTCCATCGCACTTTGGTTCAGCGTCTAGAATCGTAAGCGGTTCTTCTGTGCACATGATGACCATGATAAATGGTTGCGAGAGGTCTTTGGTACGTGCATAACAAAGTTTGATGATGTGCCACTGACGATTAAACAGCGCGAGTGGGAGAAATTGGTAAAGGGGTGCGGGCTCCGTATCACGAACGTTTACCCGCTGCGAGCTCACACTTCTATTATTGAATGTGCACTTGATACACGAGCATTGCTGTAAAAGAATCCCGGAGTAATGTCACAACGAGATTTCCCATGCTGGTGTTTCCAGGTACACGCATCATACGTTACTTCCTTTCCCCCAAGGCAGATTGCCGCACAAATTTAATCAGATTTTCCGAAAGTTTTCGTCGTGGCCCTTGAGAGCCTGGCAAGAATTTTATCCTGATCCCGAGTTAGCCACAGCTCTCCTCCATGCGGGCTCACCTGACGAACATAGACTCCTCTTCCCAAGTCGAGTTGTTCAGTAAGGTACGAGCAACGTGTGTGCGCTTCCATAGATTGATCTCCAGGGAATATCGAGACCTTCTGCAGGTGAAAACATACACGAGACGAATACCTGATCAGCGCCATGTACACGTTTCAGACGATGGCCCACTTATGTGGAACTGTGTGCCCACCAGAGCATCGATATCTAGCCTATGTTTTTATCTGGACCAATGACGATCATAAGTAATTGCTCATTTTGCCTTCGCCTTTGGTGGCATACTCCAACTGTACATTCCTGCCGGCGGCTTCATTGACTATACTTGATCCTGTCTGTCTCCACGCTCCACGTCTAGTGGACCAGAAGCGTGACGATTGGAGTTACGGGAAGCGCGATCTCGTATCTTTCCTCCTCATACCCGCTCTCTGTGACACTGTATGCAAGTAATCGTGCCTACCCTCGTGCGTAACTTCATTTCTGGACCCCCTTAACCAGAGGATAGCAGAGCATTTGTAAATGACGCCTCGACTGCAGGGAACATCCCATGTTCACAGATAAGTGGGGCACGAGTCCCGTCATTAAAGCGGACGTCAAGTCCTCTGGGGGTAGCGATCTATAGTGACATGATGGCTTTTATACAGATAAGCGCGCTGCCAGTGCGGGAGGCACATGAATCTGGTCAGTCTGCTAAGGTCAGGCCAAAGTTAGAAGACAATAGTACTCTGTTCAGTAACGACACGACTCAAGCCATCCAGACGTCTATCATCGTACAGTGCATCAAACTGGAATCACCTACTTGGGATCGAAACATATAAGAGGGGACAAATCGCAAAAATATCTGACATAAGTAGTTGAAGCGGCGAAGGGAAATATACCAGGAGGCTGATCTATGGCATGTAGTACCAGTACTCGTAGGGTAGCCAATCTTATGCACAATCGCTATACAAGGTCGGGATCTACTACTACTTTGAGGAAAGGCATAAGTGCAACATATTCCGCTCGTTGCTCCTCTGTGGTAATCGCTACAGCGCCGAAATTCAGGTTCTCCAGGGAACGCTCTGACTGTGCCAGAAACCCCTTGAACTCTTCATGGGGCCACATTGATGTATTCCAAACATCAAGTACGCGTAGATTGGGGAGTGAGAGAGTATTGAATACGCCGGATAGTGGGTTACCAAATATCCAAGCTCTGCCACAGACGTGCAAGGATTCGAGTGTGGGGTGCGTGAATGGCTCCAAGGGCTGTACCTGGGAGACTACTATGCCGGTCTTTAACGAGGAGAGGTTGGGACATAGCTGGAGAAGACGGATGAATGCATCTTGTTTATCTACGTAAATCTCGACTTCTGTCAGTTGGGCCCACATGGGAGCGAAAGAAGCCAGCAGCTCGAGGTCGAACCACCACATCCCTGGAAACTTGAGACTGGTCAACGTAGACGGCAGTCGCGAGATGGATTGTGCGATAGCTGCGGTATGACCCACAATGCTTAATTCCTGAAGTGCTGGGAAAAAATTGAATGAAAATGCAGGTTCGTCCACTCCGTGAAAATCGATATAGAGAGAAGTAATTTGATTAATATGAGGCTGAAGAAGGGTTTGTGCTTGTCGGGTCCCGTTACCGTATAAATGGAGTGCCAGCGAGAGCGGTCGACCTAGGGTTCGCTTGAACCATGCCTCATAGCAGAAAACTCTTTGTTGCCAGTCATCGTGCTGGACTTCCAACCGCAGGCTGCACCATAACCTGGGCATGCCCACAACAACCTCCCTCCATCGTCGGCATATTCTTGTCAACAGGATGGGAGCTAGCCTTGACGCAGGTGACAAATACTCGTCTTCTGGGAGACAGTAAACGAAAATGTGGGATAAGATTTCAGTGGGCAAGCGCCATAGAGCCGACGATCCGAGTCTTTCGTGCAAATTGATGGACTCGATGACTTTGTCCTTCTCTTCGATGAGTTGCCCGTGAATGTTTTGGATACTCTCCATAACTGTTTTCAGTGTATCCAACTGCTGCTGGCGTTCAGTGATGATGGCGTTAAGGCTTCGGCTTTTGAGCGTGAGTAGTGCATGATTAGGATTTGGGATGGTGGCTGTGGAGTTTTCGAGGTCTGCGATCTGTTCGCGGTGACGTGGTCAATGACGCGCGGATATGAATACCTACTACTTAGACATACGGTTGCTTGTGAGCGCAGCTGAAGCAATCGGTTACTATTCGGTATGTTTATTATTATGTAATACTTCGGCACTCACCATGTTCTGCAATGCACCGATTACGTCTGAAACCGCCGCGGAGAAATTTACGTTTGAATCGATTGTCTGCACATACATGTTACAGTCGTCGGTCATGATCGTTCGAGGAACTTGAAGATCATGAAATTCGGAACTTCACGGCATTTAAAGTACAGGAGCTCACAGTAGGCTGCCTGAAGCTCCCCCATATGTATGTCTGTCCTCTGGTATCTCGGACCCCAGCTGACCGCTGCTGCGCTGCCAAACTTTATCTCTAGAACAACCCGATGGATAAGAATTCTTTCATATATTCATCCATCTTACAGTGACCCCGAGCTAATTGTGGAGACGCTGACTCGGATACCATGCTTGGTTTCAAGTGCGAATAAATATATATACATATTGTTTAACACTCATTTTCCATAACAACAAGTGAGTCAATATCATACTCTATGAAGAGGACTCTGACGTAGGCGCTGTGGCTGCCACTGCTGGTAGATGTGTCGTCCAGTGTCGTACCATCATTTGCTCGTTTCTCCCGCCGCTTTCAGCATGAGATTCACAATCAAGTGACATTCTCTACCACAACATTGGAAAACGGGTCCTCGTGTTATGAGCTCCCCTAACAATTGTCATTTGTTTCTGTTGAATTCCAAGGCCACTGGCACACTACGTTCTCCACTACGTCGAGGGAAGGAATGAGGGCAACATACTTTGCTCGCCGCACATTCATCCCCGTAAAACCACAGAAACTCAAGCGCTCCAAAGGACAATTTGACCGTGCAATAAGATCTATCATCCGCTTGTGAGGCCACTGTCTAATCTTGCGAGTGTTGCAAGCACAAGCATGAAACACGCGCAAACTGGGGAGTGATAAAGCATTGAACAAGCGAGCTAGCAACGCCCCCTCGTCAGCATAACCCAAGCACAAGGTTTGCAGGTTGGTGTGTGTGAATGGTTCCAAGGCCTGTTGACGATCTACATCTGTTTCTTCCCTCAACCGGGAAAAGATGTCGTATTGTATTTCAACCGTCAACGAGGAAAGGTTGGGGCATAAACGGAGCAAATGGAGAAATGCATACTGATCAAAAAAGCTGATCTTGACCTGTGTCAGGTGGGTCCATGCGGGATCGAGAGAGGATAGATGACGGATGTCAAACGGCAAGTCCATGACATCGAGAATGTGTATTGTGGACGGGAGTTGCGAGATATATTCCTCCATAGGTGGAATGTGACGATCATCAACTAGTATGACCAGCTCTCGAAGTGCTGGCATATCTTTTAACAAAAGTTGTGGTTTGCCCGCTCCGAATCTGCGGGAAAAATATATGGAGAGAAATGAGATTTGATCCATGTAAGGCTGAAGAAGGTTTCCTAAGAGCACAGTTGAGTCGTAGCGCATGAGTGCTATTGAGAGCGGGCGTCCTCGTGACCGCTTGAGCCATAAGTTATAGTGGAAAACTGCTTGCTGCCAGGCTCTGTGGTCGACTTCAACATCTGACCCCTTCTCGAGTCTTCTGTAGTAGTAGTAGTCGTCGTCGTCGTTGCGGTGAAATACAAAATCCTGTTGCCTGACTGTGGTGACGTTGAATTCAACATGAAACCTGCACCATAAACTGGGCATATCAACAGCAACTTCCCTCCATGGTCGGCATATTCTGGTCAACAACATGGGGGTCAGGTTCGATATGGGCAACAAGTCTTTGTCTTCTCGAAGACAGTGATGAAAAATTTGGCATAAGACTTCAGTGGGCAAGCACCAGAGAGCCGATCTGAGTCCCTTGTGAAAAGTCATGGACTGATTAATCTTTTCCTTCCGTTCGACAAGTTGCTGGCGTAAATTTTTGATATCGTCCATGACTGTTTCCAGACCTGAGATCTCGCACGACACTACATCCAGCTGCTGCTGACGTTCAGTGAGAATGGTGCTGATGCTCTCGCTGTTGGAATCGGTGGTAGGGAGGTAGGTATTCGGGACGCTGACTCGGGAGAACGAAGTGGTGAGGTCTGACATCTATGAATGGTCAGTGCCGCATCAGATATCCACAATACAAAGACATGCTTACAACTACTCGTGAACGCAGCTGAAGCGAAAAGTTATTACCTGCAGAGAAGAATGGAAAGATCAGCACTTACGATGTTGTGCAGTGCATCAATGATGTCTGAGGCCGATGAGAGATTGTCTTTTGAGTTAAATGTCTGCATGTTGTTTGCTAGCATGTGGGTCAAGAAGAAGAAAACGAATAAATAGGAGTCGACTTGGAGTTGACAATTTTATGACCGCACCGTGACGTATATCGAACCGTGATGTGACCAATTCAACGTAGGAATGACTCGCAGTGACGCAGTCAAGGCTAATAATTCAGATCAGTGTCGATTGCTTTCATCGTGATTATCCAAGAACCACTCGTCTGCACAGTAACCTTTGGAAGGGTAATGCTGTGGGCAATAGCAACTCGATTTACAAGGTCGCGACAACCGAAGGTACGAAGTGAGTTTTCCTCGTCCCCTACTGTTGTCATGGTATGGCAGGGATGAACACAGTCAGCGGGACATTGAATATGTATTGAAAGCGCCAAGCTCCATATCAGAGGACCGGTCTCGCCCAGGCAGCATTGGACATCCCAAGATTGATTTTCCTGAACAGTACGAAGTTTCCCGTAGCTTTGAGTTTTTTTATTTCCTCTAAATCCACATCTTTCATCTCGACACACCTAGACACGGCTGCAAACGCACACGCACCATATATGTCTTCAGCGCTGACCTGAGCACCAGCACAGAGAGCATGGGAATAAGATAGATGCTGAAGCGCTGATGGGCCTGCATTCCTCTCGCTTGATGCATACCCCTGCATGTCTGTATGCGAGCAGGTGTGCTCTTCTGGAGGTGCATCGCCCTGGCACAGTTTCCGGATATTCGATTATCAGGATCGATACGCCGAGGTTATCTACACATAGCAGCGCGCCCGACTAGTGGGACTCCTCCAACTTTCCTTTCTAGTAATAAACAAAATACATGTAAACAGGACTTTTGTGGCTCGACGCACTAACGGCTTCTCAACTCGGAATCAATCTCGAATATTACAGAATGTCGTCGATCACCATTTCAACCAAATACCGGGTAACTTCTGGAAGGCACCCGTATCATCGTGGACATTACAGACGTTCGTTTTATATTGTCATGGACATGTATATAAATGCTGGTTAGAGTCGCTCAGACTTCAGCAAACTCCTCCAACTTCAATCAATAACAACCATCAGAACACCTTCTCTCAACATCTACTATTTCTGCACTTAATCATGTCTCTAGTGCGCACAATCTACGATCCATTCACCGAGTTCGACAAGCTATTTGACGATGCTTTCAATGCTCGTTTCCGTCCCTCCCCTACCATCGAGGGTAATACTACATTGACTCATCGCCGTGATCGGGCATTCCCTAGGTAAGCATAATCTAAATTTTAATGTAAGTTATGTCATTGACTCGTATCAACACAGAATGGATCTACACGAGAACGCCGAGACCAAGACGGTCACGGCGACATTTGAACTTCCTGGCATCAAACAACAGGATGTCAATGTCGAGGTCCATGGAAATCGCCTGACAATATCCGGAGAGTCGAAATGCTCGGATGATTATAACAAGGGCAGCTATGTGGTGCAGGAGCGCTCTCATGGCAAGTTCTCCAGGACCCTTCAAATTCCTCAGGGAATCAAGGTGAGCACAACAATGTGAATTCCTTGCAGCAATCTGGTGCTGACAGTATTGTACCCTCCAGGCTGAGGATGTCCACGCAAAGATGGAGAATGGAGTGCTTACTGTGTCCTTCCCGAAGGCTGGACCGGACCAGCAACCCCAGCGAATTGCGATCGTGTAACGCGGTTAATCTGCTTAGCCCAACCCATTATCATTTCAAATCTGTATCATTAGCATAGTACGAAGGTGGAAAAGTAATAGCGTATATGTACAATAGTGGTTACCGGGCTCACCTGATCTTTTTTTGGATCGAAGTATTTCAATCATGATGTGCAGCTAAGAGTGGACGCCATAGAAATATAGTAAAGCGTTATCGAGAATTCAATATTCAGTGATCGTTGTGGCGGCGCTGACATGGACACTTGAGCTGTGTTTCATGTAAAAGTCAGGGATCTGTTCACTCTGAGGCTATTCCGTTCTTCGTACCTTGCAAGTGTAACTTACAAGTAGATGGAGTGTGGGGATTTGTTGATATGACTCGGATTACCCGACAAGGCGCGCGCTTGTATCGAGCGGCGTTTAAACTCCGCCCGAAGCCAGGTGACGTTTACCCGACTGTGTATTCATTGCTTAGTACTTACTAATACTCGGGCGCCCAAGACAGTGCGCTCTAAGGTGGGTTACAATACTCGAGTCGGCGTGGAAGACCGAGGTTAACTGATGATGAAAGAGGGTGACAACTAGCCGCCGTGCTGTGCACTGCACACATGGAATATCATAATAGTTGCATCAACTGGTGACATATTGACAGGCTCTGACAACATGAGGACTAGCCTGTCGTCCCACAGCCGCACAGCCTGGTACTACCCATTCAAAGTTGAAACGTTCCTGCCTCATCGAGCTTGGTTTGGGGTATTAAGGTACTACACCACTCCGGGCCCGAGGCACGCATGGATACCCAAGCTCTGATCATCGATCTGATCCGTAGGTGGAGCTACCCTGCCACCATACCATTCGTCCCAGACTCCCACGTTCCGTCCGCGTGTACTGGGCAGTACCCGGATAGCCCTCGAGCCCTCACCCATGTCATACTCTATTGTAGACAACGATTATGCTCTCGGAAGGGGTGTCTTTACTGATTCTCACTTCTCACTGATCCCGATGCCATCGTTCATCTAGTACAATCAGAAACGATCTTGGGTGAGGTATCTCTTTTTAACGCCAAATAACTTCTGGTACATTCACCCTTTGGACCGCTATCTAAACGGAAGATTCATTTAGCCATCCTTTCTAGCGGGTTAGTAACAACACTGCTCCCGACACTGCTTCTAGCGGCGCTGTTTCCCCCAGAATGCATGCAATATCGTGATGCTACTCTGGAACCATACGATAAACGATCTCTGTCGGCCAAGTTCGGCCGTTTCCTTCCGGCATATAAAAATAGGTCTCCCTAAGGTGATTATGTTGTTCCAAGCATAATTGTCTGCTAGTGCAACCTGTGAGCAATGCCCCATTACGATCATCGAGTTTAGCCTGCCACTCGAATGCTGTCCCCAATATTTACGCCCCGATCGGGTTGGGTTCCCGCATGGATAAGAAGGTGCGTGACGTGTATGAGAGAACCCTGTTTCTTCACTTATCGAATGATGGATTCGGCAGTCGATCTTGCAGCGGTCATGAGGTTGCAGCAATTAACGGTGCGTTGCTTTCTTAACACGAAGGCGAGCTAACATACCATGTCCCACCAGTACCTATACGGTACGTGCTTTCTAGCATGCCTCTTCCTCGTTCTAACTTGACAACTCAGTGTCGATAACGGCATTCTGGGTAGGCTTATCCCGACTCTTCTGAGTCCCGTCCGCTGTTAAGCTCGTTTATCCAGATCTATGAATATGTTTGTTCCTTTCACGAAGAGGTAATAATTCGTGTCGTTATACCTCGGGGTTGAGTATTGAACTGTTCAAAGTGGGAATTTCTACGTCGGTCGCGCTGGACCAAAGTAAAAGTCCTTTACATCATTACACGATATCTCCCCTTTTTTCTCATCGTCATGTACCTATGTTGTGCGTTGATGAGCTCCAGCATAATCTTCCCAATAATAAACTGACATGTTGTGTTTCAGTGAACCTCATCCCGAGCGAAAACACCAATGTATGTGGATGTACAGCAGACTTCGGCTGATGCTCACTGCATGATTTCGTCAGAAATGTAGGATATTAATCAACATTTACTCATGTACGTGCACGGTACATACTCCATACACCTCCTTGTCGAGTGCTGCTCTTTCCTCTCATAGTTGTCAGCCAGATATCACTCACTTTCTCTGAAAGTATTTCTTCTTCTTACACGACATATGCGTATTCCTCACCCGATTCAAGGTTTCTTTGCGCTCAGAATATATGCGCTCTGGAACAACAATAGAATCGTACTCTTAGGCCTGCTGTCCACTGCTTTCGTGAGTCCCATGCCCTCAACACACTCATGTTCATGATTGATGAATCAGTCAGGTTATGGTCGCAACGTCCGTTGGCATTCGTTTTACCATTATTGCCACCTCAAATAGTCTGTGATCTCACCTTCCCCCATTACTGTTCGCACATATTCACTCCACTTTCATAGTCACGGCTAGTACGATACCAGGTATCCAAGGCTGCTCCTGGAGCCCGAGCGGTGTCTTATACTTGATGTTGTTTATTTTCTTGTTTGTGTTTCAACTGGGTGTGTTTCCGGGAGCTGGGAGGATAGATTGCACACACACGCTGACTGATGCTTGCCCCAGGACTAGTATCCCTCACACTCATACATGTCATACAGAGCTGGCGGTTGTCCAAGGGCCATCTGTACGCTGTCCTTGTGAAGCATAACATATTCTACTATGCATGCGGTCTCCGTGAGTCCAGACTCATGCATATTTCTGCGCTCATTGGTGATGATTGTTGTCCCGAAAGTTTTCTCTGCCCTAAATGTCAGCATGCCAGTGCTATTTCCCAATGTGCGTACACTTCCTGCCATGCATCAATGTGATCGAGTCGTTGACGTTCCGCACACACAGTCCGCATACTATATCGTCCTGGAAGAGTATGTACCTCCAACTTCTGTTCCGAATTCCTACTACTGATAACGTCACAAACACTTTCAGCCTTCAGGTATGTATCCTTCGGATCCTCGCCACTCGCATGCATCTCCATCTCTGGCATCTCGACCAGCACATGCGCGACTCTGATGCCCTCATATGTACTTCTATGTTCGACATGTCACCTGCAGACCTTACGGTGTAATGACTTATCGCGTAGTTTATCTGTCATGGGAAGAGCGAGATTTGGACTACTTAACAGATGACTGGTTGGGGTGGGACGCACTTGACTTTTAATAATGCATTTTTGTCACATACACAAATATTACAACACGAAATCAGAGCTCATACGTACGTGATCAGAGAGGCCCGGCGGGTGCATATCATGGTCATTCCCCTTTGATTCCCCTAGATATTCATGCATACAATTAGAAGGTATATTAGCGATATCCGCTACTGCCAAGGTAGTAGTGCTACTATTCAAAACGCGAGACTGGAACGCGGGCTGAATGCGTCATGTTTGGTTTCGGTTAGACGCCTGCTCATTTCATAACTCGTGTATCATGACTCACGAACATATTCTATTGAAGGGTTGGCGAAGGGTAAGTATGGGCTATAGCGTAATCTCGTTATCATCTAGTCAACTACATAGTACGAAGCGACTGTCCGAGTCAAGTTAAAAGTAAAACGAGTAACGCATAGGATCTGTCACTAATGAGAGGGAAGGAAAAATGGTACCGTATTCTTCTAGCTGCTGACGCGTAGTCACTACTCCACCGCCAAAGATCAAACTCTCGAGGGGACACTGTGACCGTGTCAAAAATCCCTTGAATGCCTCATGAGGCCATTGTCCTACATTGCGAGCCTCGATCGCGCGTAGATTGGGGAGCGTGATGATATCGAATAACCCGAGACTTCCCGTCCAGTCCAGAAGCAAATCCCCGGATATGCGCAAGGATCGAAGTTTGCAGTGTGGCAATTCTTCCGAGGTCTCGATCACCGACGAAAACATTCCAATTATCGTCAATGACGAGAGGTTGGGACACAGGCGGAACAAGCAGGGGAAGCAATTTAGTGCGTCTACTACGATCTCGAGATTCGTGAGATTGACCCATGCGAGGGGATTGAAGCCAGACAACATTTTGAGGTCAAGCCACAGGTCCGTTAACTTGAGAGTGCGCATGCTGGGCGGCAGTTGCGCGATAGAGTGTGCGACAGAGTGAGCGGTAGTTAGTGCAGAATTAGAACTGGTCGTGTACATAACCAGTTTCTCAAGTCCCCCGAAGTCCGCCGCCACCACTGGACAGGAGCTGGCACCAGAGGATAAGCCAAAAGACAGAGACGATATTTGATTGACGTATGGGTGGAGCAGGCTTCGTAGCTCCTTCCTGTCATCGTTATGACACTCGAGTGTCAACGACAGCTGACGTCCTCGTGATCGCTTGAGGTACGTGTCATAGCAGAAAGCTCTGTGCTGCCAGTTACCGCGCCCGACTTCCAATCGCAGCTTGCGCCATAGACTCGACATGTCCAGTGCAATCTCCCGCCATCGTTGACACACTGTGGTCAAGAGCACGGGATCCAGATGTTGCGCGGGCGTCCGGTCACTGTCTTCTGGGATGCAGCACAGGAAGATTTGGGCGAGGATTTCCGTGGGCAACTGCATAATCGTGACCTTTTCTTCGACGAGCTGCCGGTGACGATAGCTGACATCGTGTTGGTTTGAGACCTGTACATTCCCCTGCTGAAGTGAATGTTTATTATTGTATTCAGATGCCAACACCTCCAAAAGCAAGCACTTACGATGTTCTGTAGGATATGTGAGCCTGCTGATGAATTTGCGTTTGAGTGGGATGTTTGCATATTAACGCGAGTGGAGGTTTGGTTGTTGGAGATGCGGATTGAAAGCAGGAACTTCTGCCGACCGTCGCGTCCCTATTTAAATTACAACGCCACACGTCCACAACGAAGACGCCTTGCCATTGTAGTTTCCCATAGCGGGTCTTATGTAAAACACCAGCCATCCACTGCTGGAGACTTTGCATTGTTGCAAAGGGAGTCAATGCGAACGCTTGTGGAATATGTGGTGACCTTGCCGGTGGTTTCGACACACTTGGTCGGCATCTTCCGATGTGGACAACGATTTGCATGGTTATCGAAGTTGTGGCCTTTATTTCGCCCTATTGTAGTTTCGAGTTTCGAGTTTCGAGTTTCGAGTTTTTGGTTTGATGGGTGTGAAGGTACTCACGAAAATCAGGCTTCGACTCTCCACACTCCTTCCGTACACATTGAATAGTTGATTCCCTTTTCGTCAATCGCGTCCGACTCTCTTCCACTGTTGAATCTTGGTAATGACACACCTGAAGCCTGAACATCAACAGTTATGTTCTTGTTTAAGTTGTGAACAATGTCATCGACATTTTCCTGCTCCAATATTAATGGGAACTAGAACACCGACTGAATATCAAAAAGGGAAATTCATACAAAGCGACTTGACGAGTGGCTCTGGGCTCCGAGTTGAGTCAGTTGACGTTGAACAGTTGATGATATGCTTCCTCAGAAGAGTAAGCATACTGGTCGTCATTCTAGTAATGTCACTGTCTCAGCCATGGCTATGATCCGAGAAGCAAATGTGATGGGTCGAAGAATTCAGGGTACAATGCACAGATTGATTGAAGGGGATGTTGAGGGATATATATATGGATCAAACAGCTTGGATCATCGTCACGTGGACCCGTGCAACCTATACCCACTTTCACAAGTGATACGTACGCGTAAGAATTGAAGCTTCGAAGTTTGGTGTGTGTAAATCTGTGTTTATTGTGACGTTTATCTGATAGGCAGGCCCAAATGTTGAAACGAGATAAGAGCTCGATGTCGAACCATAGCCCCAGGGTGTGGAGACTGCGCAGAGTGGACAGTGTCCTGTTCCGCTTCTGAATCCTCCAATTACATGTCTTCCCTCAGAAGAGAGTTTATTCAACTCCACGATCCAATTGACTCCAGGTTAAGTTGTTCGTAGCCATCCCAGCCAAATTTTGCAAAATATTAACCACGATTCAATTTGATGCAGATTTACGACTGTGATCATCCACTACCTCGAGATGAATGAGGGCCATGAATTTTCGATTCTTGTGATGTATGTGTCGCTAGTACATAGTATCAAAGCCGATGTTCAGGGCGTAACACTGGATCACTTGTTGGCTGCATGGATATCTAGAAGGTCATGTCGTAGATAGTCACAACTGCGAAGAGAGCTTCGATTGCAGTACTATGATGGCGTCGAGTACACAGAATTCCAGTCCAAGTATCGTCTGTTTGAGCAACTAAGTCAACGATGTGTAAGGATTGAATTCGGATGTGCAAGAATGTTTCAGAGATTCTAGTTCCGTTGAATCATAGGCAGATTGCTAACAAGCATAGGTTGCGATATCTGCAGCAAGCGGAGGACTACGTCCGGGCGATGTGTGGGATCTCGGGATTTATCAGGTCAGCCAGAGCTCGAGGTAGAAATGACTTTGTGAGCTTGAAATTGCGCGGAGTGGACGGGAGTCGCGAGAAACATTGCTCAGTAAGCGGCTTATTGGCTATTAGCTCCTGGAGTGCTGCGAGGTCCTTTAAGAAGCAGTCAGGTTTGTCAGACAATGGATAGAGAATGATAAGATTGAATTTATGAAAGACCGAAGGAGGCTTCATAGCTGAGTTGAGTTTCGAACAAAAGAGCAGCAGGTGGGTGCCAACGAGAGCAGACGTCCTCGTGTTCGCTTGAGCCATACGTCAAAGCAGAAAAGGAGGTTCCCGCTGTCTTCTGAGGTCGAATGACCGCTTCCTGACTGAAATCTTATCCTACATTTTCGTTCGCTGTCTCCCGGAAGACAAGTATTTGTCGCCTCATCGAAGCTGGCCTCCATCTTGTTGAAACTTGACCCGAATATGTTGACGATGAAAGAAGGTTGCCACGAGTACGCCTAGTTTGTGCTGCAGGCTAAATGGGCCAAAGAGATGATATGACTCGCCTGTGCATCGTGATGGACAGGATGATCTTTTGCTCCTGTTCAGTAAGTTATCGTGAAGGTTGTTGACTTCGTCGATGACTGTTTCCAGACTTGAGATGTCATGCAAAATTGCATCTAGCTGCTGCTGGCGGTCGGTGATAATGGCACTAATGCTCTGGTCTTTAAGCTCGATTGCGCAGTGGTTGGGATTGGAGAAACCGGGGTGTATGGGGTTTCGACATATGGCCCGGGAATCTGACAATTGGTCAATATCACATCATATGAATCTACATAGACAAACCATTACTCAATTGTGACAGTGCACTAATGATATCCAGGCCAGCGAGAGATACGTCGAGTCGTCGACGTTCTCTTTCGAGTTGACTTCTGCACGTCGTCAGTACTGGCGCGGGTGTGATTAGAGTGGATGAAGACTTGAACTCGAGGCTCAATCGAGGTTACAGAATCGAAACTCATGGTTTGGGTTGGTCATGACTTGCAGCAAAACGGCTAGTGTCAGTGTGTAAGACACCCGGTGACCCGGCACATTGACAACTAAATTCAAACTCCGTGCTTCGCCTGCCAGCTTTTCTCGAGATCGACCAAGTAGTTCGACTTACCTCAAGGCCTTACTCTCAAAAGACGTACGTCGCAGACTGGTCATGACTCTAGCAGTGCAATATTTAAATAAGATCCTTCGAATATACTCAACCATCCTAGGCTGTACTTTATCAGCCTCTATCCGGCCTACATGGTATTCACCAGATCATCATTCAGACGAAGACCGACATACTACATCTGCCCCATTTTAGATTACTGTATCTATGTGGACAAAAGCGTGTTAGTATGATGATTACTTGTGTGCATTTAACACGGCCGAAGTTGATCAGAAGAGGTTGAGCGTTCCTTGTGTACTAAACATAGATCCTTCTAAGGCGATTGCTTGTTTCACTGGCAAATTGTCCGTTAGTCACGGTGCAGCCTGTGAGTAACGCTAGAAATCAATATCGGACTCTAAAAATCAATCTATAGTAAGCTTGCACCTACATACATCTCAACTTGCTATTGAACTCAGATGTTCGACTCTCGCTGTCTGCTGTCTAGGTACCGCTAATACTTTGATGTACTGGTGCGTGCTCACTAATCAGTTCACCGTATCATTACTAACTACGCAGCCAGACTTACTCCGAGTCCATCATGATGGTGGAGTGACGGTCCGACTCGTATTAAAAAACATCGACCAAGCCTAGCCTGCCGCTCAAATGCTGTCCCAAATATCCGATCGTGCCGGGTTCCTGCAGAGATAAGAAGGTGCGTGACGTATGTGCGAGGATCCCGTTTCTTCACTTACTATCAAACAAATGCAGATGGAGTATTCGGCAGTCGATATCTCAGCGGCCACGAGTCTGCAGCGATTAGCGGTGCGTCGCTTTCTTAATAACACGAGAACAAGTTAACATAGCATATTCCATTAGTACCTATACAGTATGTATTGTCTGAACGGCTTCTTCCTCGTTCTAACTTGAAAGCTCAGTGTCGATGACGACGTTCTGGGTAAGCTGATCCTGATATTTTTCTGTCCGCCGTTAAACTTATTTATTCAGACATATGATTATGCCTGTGCAATTCATGAAGAAGTAGTGACTCGTTCCGTGACAACTTCAGTGTGGATACTGACAATATATTGTTCAAAGTGGAAATATCTGCATCGGTCGCGCTGGACCAAAGTAAAAGCCCTTTACATCATGACACGACATCTCCCTTTTTTTCTGATCGTCATGTACCTATCTCGTGCGTCGATGAACTCCAGCACGATTTTCCCAACAACGGACTGACGTATTGTATTTCAGTGAACTTCGCCCCGAACGAAAAACCCAATGTATGTGGATATACAGTGGACTTACACTGATACTTACTGCATGAGTTCACCAGAAATGTCGGATATTGATCAATGTCTACTCATGTACGTGCACATTACATGCTCCATACGGGTCCCTGTCGAGTGCTGCTCTTCATCTCGCAGCTCTCAGTCAGATATCAATCATTTGCTCTGAATGTATTTTTTTTCTTACATAACATATGCGCATTCCTCATCCGGTTCATCGAGGTTTTTTCATGATTAGAACATATGCGCTCTGGAACAACAATAGGATCGTACTTGTAGGCCTGCTGTCCACTGCTTTCGTGAGTCCCATTCCCTCAACGCATCCAATCTCATGGTTGCTGAATCATCCAGGCTATGGCCGTGACATCCGTCAGCGTTCGTTTTGCCACCATTGCCACCTCATATGGTTTGTGACTTCACCTTCTCCTGCTACTATTCGCACATATTCACTCGGCCACTTTCACAGTTACGACTAGCGCGATCTCAGGCATCCCTAGCTGCTCCTGGAGCTCAAGTGGTGCTCTATACTTCATGTCGTTTATTTTATTATTTGTATTTCAACTGGGTATGTTGCTGGGAACCAGGAGGATAGATTGCAAACGCGTGCTCACTGACACTCGCCCCAGGATTGATCACACTCACACTCACACGTGCCATACAGAGCTGGTGGTCGACAAAGGGCCCTCTGCAAGCCATCTTGGTGAAGCATAACATATTCTACTATGTATGCGGTCTCCGTGAGTCAGGACTTTGTATGTTTCACGTTTCCGTACTCATCGGTGATGACTACTGTTCCGAAAGTTCTCTCGGCCGTCAACGTCCTCGTGCCAGCGGCATTTCCTAATGTGCGTAAACCTCCCGGGACCCTTCGATATGATCGTGTCGTTGATGTTCCGCACATACAGTCCCCATACTACACTGCCCTCGAAAAGTATGCACCTCTAACTTCTGTCATTAATTCTTACTACTAATAACATCAAAACACTTACAGCTTTCAAGTATGCGTCCTTGCGATCCTTGCCACGCGCATGCACCTCCATCTCTGGCATCTCGACCAGCACATGCACAACTCTGATGCCCTCATATACATTTGTATGTCCGACATGTCACCTGCAGACTGTACGGTGTAATGTCTTGCCATGTGGCTTATCCGTCGTGGGAGGAGCGAGATTTGGACTAGTAGATGACTGGTCGGGGTGGAATGCGCTTGACTTATAATAATAATGAATTTTTGTCACATACACAAATATTATAATACGAAATAATAGAGCTAATACGTGATCAGAGAGGCCTTGCGGGTGTATATCATGGCCATTCCCCTTTGATTCCCCTAGATCTTCATGCATACAGTTAGAAGGTATATTAGTGATATCCCTAGTACTGCCAAGGTAGTAATGTTACTATTCAAAACGCGAGGGTGGAACGCGGACTGAATGAGTCTTCGTTTCAGTTAGACGCCTGCTCATTTCATAACTCATGTATCATGACTCACGAACATAATATATTGAAGGGTTGGCGAAGGGTAAGTATGGGCTATAGCATAATCTCGTTATCATCATCTAGTCAACTACATAGTATGAAACAACTGTCCGAGTCAAAGTAAAACGAGCAACGCGTAGGATCTGTCTTTAATGAGAGAGAAGGAAAAAGGGTACGGTATTCTTCTAGCTGCTGAGCAGCGACGCTCAGAACGGGTATCTGGGGATATGACGAATCATTTGACGATGGATGTCATTTTGGATCAAAGAATGTTTGACATAGTCTATTGAAGGGTTGGCAATGAGTAGGTATAGGCTACATATAGCATAATCGTGTGAGCATCATTTCGTCAACTATGTACATAAACTGTCCCAGTCTAGTATTCTAAAAACAAGGAACGCGTAGTATCTATCACTAGTTTGAGAGATGGGAAAAGAGTAACATATTCTGCTCGTTGCTGAGCCGTCGTCGTCACTCTACCGCGGAAGATCAAGCTTTCTAGGGGACACTGTGACCGTGTTATCAACGCCTTGAATTCTTCGTGAGCCCATCCTCCTATGTTGCTAACTTCGACGATGCGTAAATTTGGGAGCGTGACGTTAGCGAATAGCCCAAGAAGTCCGGACAAGAGCGAGTTCGTAGATAAATTGCCGGAAATGCGCAAGGATTGAAGTTTGGTGTGCGCCAATTGTCCTGAGGTCTCGATCGCCACCATGAATACTCCACCCATCGTCAACGACGAAAGATTGGGACAAAGACGGAGCAAGCGGGGTAAGGAAACTACGCCCACTACCAGAACCTCAAGATTTGTGAGACCGGCCCATGAGGGAGAATTGAGGCGAGTTAACCTCCGAAAGTCAAGCAACACGTCCAATAACCTGAGACTGCGCATCTTGGGCGGCAAATGCGTGATAGAGTGCGTGATAGAGTGCGTGACAGCTGGTACTGGATCTAAACCATCCGACGTGTATATAGCCAGCTCCTCGAGTCCGCCGAAGTCCGCCGGCACCAGTGGAAAGGAGCTGGTACCGGAGGATAACCCAACATGCAGTGAGGAAATTTGATCGACGTATGGCTGGAGCAGGCTTCGTAGCTCTGTCCAGTTATTGTTATCACACTCGAGTGTCAACGACAGTTGACGTCCCCGTGATCGCTTGAGGTAGGAGTCATAGCAGAAAGCTCTCTGCTGCCAGTCTCCGTGCCCTATTTCCAATCGCAGCCTGCGCCATAAATTCGGCATGTTCACAGCAATCTCCCGCCATCGTTGACATACTGCAGTCAACTGCATGGGGGCTAGATCTGGCGCGGGCGCCCAGTTTGCGTCTTCTGGGATGCAGCAGAGAAAAATTTCAGCGAGGATTTCGGTGGGCAGGCGCCCGATAGGCGATGAAGATCCCCTGGGAGGACCGATGGACTGCACAATCTGGGCCATCTCTTGGACGAGTTGCCAGTAACGATAGTTGACATGGCTTGGGTTTGAGACCTCGCGCATGACTACATGCGACTGCTGAAGTGGATGTTTGTTCAGATGCCAACACCTTCAAAATCGAGTACTTACAAGGCGACTAATGGTGCCCGAGATGGCTGATGAATCGACGTTTGATCGCATATTGACACGAAGGAGGTTGAGATGTGAAGATGGAGGTCGGAAATGATTCTGACGTTCGGCCAACCATTGCGTCCCTATTTAAACTACAACGCTTCGCAAACCACAGGTCCACAACAAACATACCTTGCTATTGTAGTTTTTCGCAGCGGGTCTTGTGTGAAACACCGACCATCCACATCTAGAGACTTTGCATTGTTGCAAAGAGGGTCAGTGCGAACGCCTGTAGAATTTGTGGAAGGGTGACTTCAACATACTTAGTCGGCACTATTAGGTCATCCGGGAATTTTGTTTTGTTTCGCAGCTTTGTGGAGCTGTGACCTTTATTTCGCCTTATTCAGTAGTATTGTGTTTTTAGTTTGATAGGTGCGAAGGTACTCACAAAACCAGGCTGTGGGTCTCCTCCCCACATTCCTACCGACCTTACTAGTATGTACGCACTAAAGGGCCAAAACTGGCACCTCGACTAGGAATGTCGTAGAGGCTGGACGGACCTTGGAAGAGGCAGAAGTAGGTTTGAATCAAACTGTACGATGCACAGCCATCCGGTCCCTAGATTCGGAACACATGGCAGGCCTACGATGTGCTCTTCGGATAGAGTACTGTTCGGAACGTGCGCGTGAGGCCTCGAGGCTGAACAAACAGCAGCTATAGGAAAAGGTGTTATCGTGATGAGAAGCATAGTGTGATAATTCTATGAAACTGCGAAGAAATAAATATCCGATGAAATTTGAGATCATATTCAATTGAAACAGTAGGTAAGAACAAAACCTTGTGTAAAGTATTTCGATCAAGACTCTTCAGATTGTGATACTACAACTTGAACTTCAAGAGAAGGAATAAGAGCAATGCACTCCGCTCGCTGCTTGCGTCTCATCATCGCTTCAGTGCCCAAAATCACCGTCTCCAGGGGACAATTTGATCGTGTCAGGAATGACTTGAACTCCTGATGAGGCCATGGCACACCGTGAATTTCAATTCTGCGTAAACTCGGGAGTGAGAGAGCATTGAGAAGGCCAGGTAAAGGGTTTGGGGTTGAGTATTCAATATCGCTGAGTAGATGATGTGGGTGTTGAATGATGTCGACGATGATGTGCAGGGATTGAATTCGGATATGCACGAGTGGTTGAAAGATTTCAGTTCTATCGAATCTTGGGCGGATCGTTAAGGAGCAGAGGTTGGGACATAGCTGCAGCAAGCGGAGGATCGTATCCGGGCGATGTATAGGGATCTCGACATTTGTCAGGTTAGCCCATACGGGCTCACACGAAGGAAAGAACTCGAGCTCAGAATATGGTGATGTGACCCTGAAACTGCGCAGAGTGGGTGGCAGTAGTGAGAAACATTGTTCAGTAAGCGGCCTATTGACTATTAGCTCCTGGAGTGCGGTGAGGCCTTCCAATAAGGGGTCAAATTTGTCAGAAATCACGCGACAACAGATAGAGAATGATGAGATTCGATGTATGTAAGGTTGGAGGAGGCGTCGTAGCTCGATCGTGATCGAGCTAAAGCAACAGGTGAGCGCCAATGAGAGCAGACGTCCTCGTGAGCGCTTGAGCCATATGTCAAGGCAAAAGGGAAGTTCCCGCTTTCTTCTGAGGTCGTATGGCACACCTAGCCTGTCCCACAAACTAGGCGTACCCACAGCAATCTCCCTCCATCGTCGACATATTCTGGTCAACAGAACGGGGGCCAGCTTCGATGCAGGCGACAAGTACTTGTCTTCTGGGAGACAGTGAACGAAAATATGGGATAAGACTTCAGTCGGCAAGTGCCAAATAGGTGATATGAGTCGCTTGTGCAACATGATGGACGATATGAGCTTTTCCTTCTGTTCAGCTAGTTGTCGGTGAAGATTGTTGACTTTGTCGATAACTGTTTCCAAACTTGAGATGTCGTGCAAAGTTGCATCTAGCTGCTGCTGGCGGTGGGTGATAATGGCACGAATGCTTTGGTCTTTAAACTCGACTGCGCAGTGGTTGGAATTGGGGGAAGTGGTTTGGGAATAAGGTGTTCCAACGTCTGGCATCTGGTAAATGGTCAATAACACATCAGATACTGTACATCTACATAGACAAACCACTGCTTGCGAACGTAGCTAAAACGAATGGTTATTGTTTGCACTGTTTGAAACTTCAGCACTTACGATGATATGCAGTGCACTAATAATCTCCGAGGCCGGCGAGAGATTGACGTTTTCTTTTGAGTTGGTACGCATGTTGCTTGCTGGCGCGGGTGTAGATGTTCAGTGGAAACCCGGATTCGGGGCCTGGATGAGTTGTGCTGGTTTCGGTGCTCGCAGCTTACGAGTATCATAGTGTGCGTAGACACGGTCCTGCCCAATGCCCACCGCCTGCCGCGGTCGTGACGCGGCCGTAACGCGGCGTGACGCGCATGTAACGCGGCACCGACGAGCCTTGAGATTTCGAAAGCTTGACGCGGCGCCATTAATCCTATATTCTACATTCAACTTCCAGATCAAGTTGGATGAGTTCACCACCATTCCTGTGTTATTTTATTTGCCATAGGGCCATGTACAACTATGCATACATAAACCAGTGACTATTTTCTTTTCCTCCCTTTCTGGACCCTTCGAGCCTGTGGAGCACCGTGACATCGACGTTTAACGGGCGGACATTCTTCAGCCGGCAGAGAAGGAACCTTCGGATAGCTCGTCTGCAGACTCCAAAGATGTAGCATCAGAGTTATCACTGAATAAGGAGCCGTGCTGTCAATCACATAAGTTAGATATCTATTGAATGGAGCAGGTAATGTCTTCCTCACTTCAAGTTCACTCTCGCTATAATCTCTTCCAGAAACCCATTCAGCAGGAATTCCGAGATACACATTCCATCGCCTGTGATGTTGGCCAGCATCCAAACCCCACTGCTGGTTGCCTGCAGGTCCTGCTTCTTCGGAATCCTCGAATATCCTTGCTTCTAGTGCGGTCAGACACTCGAGGTCGATGTCAGCCACGAAGCTGTTGGTAGGATAGCTTATCATGGGTTATAACAAGTGTACTCCGTATTTTCAAAGCACTCACAAAGGCCATGATACGATTTACAAAAGTGTGATAATAAGGGCTTCTTCTCTAGGCCAGAGGAGACAAAACGAAAGAATGCTTACTGAATTTGTTACAGTGCCGTGTCATAGGCGCGTCACGACTGCGGCAGGGCCGCGTCAATTTCACCTGGCCCTCATAGTGTGGCGAAGGACAAATATGGTATAAACGGGGTCTCAACATGGCACCGAATCATCGATCCACTTGTGCACGTGTGAAAGGCGAGCTTAAACAAATCCGGGTCAGTCACTTTGCACTTATGATTTGCTTATGATGAGGATCCTGCAAGATTGGCTGTTGAATCGTACATCTTGGACCTTCATTCCAGTATCTAGCTCAGTTCTAACACAACTCAGAGGACGACGGCCGGCACAGTGGTATACTTTTGTGCGGCTTAGAGGAGCTCAACACCATGTGTTTGATTTTGAAATACACAACTATGCCGCAATGGCCAAGCAACATTCTGGGACCCCATGCCTATCGCGGCTTCCTTCATCCTAAATAATGTGGGTCCAGTGCTCTTTCGACCTGCAAGGAAAACAGCTCTGAGCTGTAATACAGTATGCAAGGCAAGTACTCTTTCCACGGAGGGCTGGATCTCCCGAGGTGTCTTCTGCATTGGCCGCCACCCGCGGCGGTTGACAGTATTCGTATTTCAACTGTGATCAACACGTGGACTCACTCTTCCATTGGCCTTGTGTACAACGCAGTCATATTATGCATCTTCGCCACTTAAGATGCATTTAATGTTGTGTGTTATTAAATTCTGAATCGTTTATCCGATGACTCTGGAGCACTATGAGGTCATGAATAGGCTCACATCGCGACGCCCTACCATTCGCCAGGCATCACTATTTTGCCAATTTGATCTAAGGACTACCAAGGTCACGTTCCTGGTATGCGTAGGATATAAAGGCCAGCCTGCATCTCACTATGTCTACTCACCTCAAAGTCATCATTCGAGATCAGATCGCGTATCAGAAATGCATTTCTCCGCCCTCGCTGTTATTGTTGCTTTGACAGTATCTTTGCCTGTTAGTGGTAATGCATGCAGCAACCTAGGCCAGGCTTGCAAAGTCACCACGGATTGCTGCGGTAACTTTTATACTTGTAGGGGGGTGAGTATGGATCGTTTGTTTCATTCGGCATCATGGCTCACCCTTTGTAATACTCATAGGGAACCTGTCAGTACACCTCTGAAGAGTAGTTGCAGCCAGAGTTACTGATATGTCGCAACAGTGAGTCATATCCCTGTCTTCTAATTCATGATGCCATGACTGACAGCACAATACATAGTTTGTTGTTGGGTCGGTGAAGGTTCTGTGCAGGGTTAAACAATGAACTTTGGATAAGGGAAAATATTTACTGTTGTACCAAGAAATGACTCGCAACTGGGAAAGCGAAGCTATGAGACAGTTATCTTCCTTCATGTCAGACCAGACGCCTTTGTCAAGCTGCACCATCCTGATATTTCACTCCGGAGTCGAGCTACCCAGTAAGGTACGAGCAATGAATGCGCGGTTCCACAGACTGGCTCTTCATGGAGACCAGGTTCTAGAAACTTGACAAGTTCACAACGGTGGAATTCCTACACGAGTAAGCTTGAAAGAGCAGTGCTATAACACCTTCGGGTGCTTTCTACGAGTCATGGCCAGCTTCGCCGCCAGACTTGCCTTCATTGCATGGAAATGCACATAGTAAGTATCTGAGCCATTAGAGCTTACCGGAGTTTGTGGAAGAAAATAAGATCAGAAAGATAGCAGGCTGCCGGGTGCCCACGTGCACAGGGGCGCCGGCAGACAGTAACGAAATGTTCACTGATACTTTATATTTCTAAATTCTCTTGTCGTGCAAGCCTGATCTAACATTTGAAATTTTACATCCGCTTACCTAAATATTAAGTACATATTTCATACGACATCCCCAATGCAATATTTATGCTGCATCTCGTTCTCAGTCTTGTCGACCTGCCGTCTAATGAAATAATTCGAATGGGTTCGGACAAGTTCGGACTAGGTTCAAGGATTTGGTTTCCCCCCATTGCCCAAACTTTGAACTGGATTCCCGGATTCCGGGTTCGAACCATGATTCAGAACTAGACCTGGGTCCTGGCCACATGCAGGAAAAAGTTTAAACATTCGTCAGGGTAATCTATAGACGCATCGAGCGTGTCCATCCGGCGTTTGTGTAACGGCATTAATCGCCGGTCTTTGATGGTGCCACATCTAAAAAAACTCGAGTCAGTCGATACAAGTTTCAAAACCTGTTCTGAACAAGCCGCATTAGGCGTAGCTCAGGACAGTGTTCGTAAATACTTGTCTTAGTTTAATTGAGGCAGAGTTCAACCGGATGTGCTTAAGTAAGTGAGATAGTCGAATATAATTAATTTTGCAAGGCAAAAAGAGTCGCATTTACGAGGTATACATATATGAGAAAGATATATACAGGTATCGTGATTTATAATATACATGTCACGCATCGGCGTCCGAGTCACGCTCTAAGTCTGCGGGGCTCAAGTCGAAATCTGACAGCTCATTCCCGACGCGCTGTTGCGAAATCCCGCAAATGACCATATGGTCTTTCCACCCGTCCAACTCAGCTTTCTCCTCGTCCGTAAGACTGTCCATGTCCGAGCAGAGCATCTGAAAGGTAGAAGAATTTGAGTCCGATGATACCTTAGATGCAGTAAGTGTCGCGTGTCCCTGTTCCAACAGTATACATTTTGTGAATGTGCCGGCTGCCCCCATCACGTAGTGTAACTCCCTGCATGGCGAGATGAGTAAAGTGTCCAGTCGGAAGCGCATGTTCCATACCAATCTCGTGACTAGGTGTAGGATGAACGGATTTTTGAATTTTGAATGGATCTTTAGCGTCCCATCCTGTTGACGAGTTAGCGTGCGATTTGAAGTGAAAAAAAAACGTACCGCATTGAACGAATATTCGTGCATAAATTTGTTCTCTTGAATGAGATGTCTCACACGCTCAATACGAAAGGCTTCGGGGGAAATCAAGCTACCCTGCGGAGGAAAGAGTTTGTAGGCGAGTACAACGCCTTCTCGAGTAAGCGTTGTGAGCTCCGTGCGCATAATGAGTACCGCGCGCCAGATCTTTGTGAGATCCTTCTTTTGGTTGTCCCAGCGGGGGGTTCCTATTAGTCGATTAGTTAGAAAACAATGACAAACTTTGAGTTGACATACCACGAAGGCCGGGAATCTTAGGCATCGCGTTTCGAATCACAGACTTAACGATTCGTTCTTTGTCGGCAGGAGATGAAGCCATCGCGTCTTCCATAAACACGATACCTACCACAAGTTCCTTCGAGCAATTGAAGATCTGCTCGCGCATTGGTCCTGTAAGCTGGAAACGGCGGTTGCTGTCCGGTGCTTCTGCAAGGCCTGCAGCTGCCTGCATTGTCGCGGAGACAACGGTCTCATGAGCAATGTACGGCGTTGCAGGTAGCTTTCGGGTACGTCGTCGCGTGTTAGATGAGCGAGCGGGTCCTGCTGTCTATACCACAGACTTTCAGTGAAATATGCGAAAGATAATTAAAGCTACTTACATGTATGACATGCGATTGTGATATTTCACCCGTCGTGATGGGGAGAGGACGACGTTGAGGCTCCGTCGGCTCATCCTCGTCGTCAAACGATTGCGGAAGTTGTATATGGTGCGGATTAGGTGCCTGCATACTGTTGAAGTGGGACAGATTGTTGAGGTGCCTCGAACTATACAAGTCTTATGATTCATTAGCCGCAATGTCATATTGATGATCGAGCGAACTCACCATAGTCTTCATAAGTGTTTGATGGTCCAGCGTAAGTGTCGATGACGTCGTGAGCAGGGGTGAAGGGCGCATAACCAGCCTGCGCGCTTGATGGACCGGCGTAAGCGTTTGATGGTCCAGCGTGAGTGTCGATGACGTCGTGAGCAGGGGTGAAGGGCGCATAACCAGCCTGTGCGCTAGATGGACCGGCGTAAGCGTTTGATGAACGTTGAGAGAGAGAAATACGCACTATGAATTGAGCCCTTCATGCGGATTGAAAGCATTGGGCATCGGCTCATGGGGTTGTTCGTCGCTGAGGTGCATTTGACTGTCCGCTGGGACGTGGGAAGGGTTCAGACCGGACCCGCGAGTGGGTTTTGATATCGTAGTTTTACCTCTGGCTCGTTTCGCAGGCATGCGCTGGCAGGACTGGGGTAATTGAGGGTGCAGTAAGGGTGGAGGGTACAGATAAATATCCGCATAATATTCTACTACAAACCATACTTGAACAAGAGATATGTCATCAAGAAGCAATGATAAGACGCTGAAGAAGGGTGAGATGAAGGGGTACTATGTAAAAGTAAAGCATGCGCGATGACAAACCAATACAATCTGGAGGGGGTCGCCATCATAATGAAACATTGGCACAAGCAGCGTGTATTATTACATGTCCTCTTATCGATTGATCAGTGTCGTACGCAGTGAATACAAAATTCGTGTCACATACCACAATTGGAAGGGCCTGAATAGCCACCGATCTAGTTCGCATCATGGGGCGCCTCGCCCCCCACTGGTGCCCCGAGACACTCTTCTTCATCGGAATCTGAGTCCAAAGAATCATCCAGAACGATCTCATCATCATCGCTGTTGTGGATCTCAAGGCTAGGGAGCCGGGATCACGAGTCCGTAGGTCCGGATTGCAAAAACGCATCTTTGGTTCGTGAACCCAAGATCTTTGAAATCTGTTCAGCTTGGGCTGAGGTAACACGAAGGACTTCGCATTCATCTTCATAGATGGCTTGAAGATAATCTTTATCGTCCTCAACCTCCTTGCAGCCACGGTCAGAAAAAATGCTCCTAAAACTCTGCAACTCCCTATCCGCAAATCCAAGTCGTTCTTTGTTCTCATCATGCAGGGCATCAAGGAATGCAGTGAAGCACTCTGACTCCTCAATTTCCCACGCGGTCACCACCAGGCGCTGGCGGGCAGTCTCATGAGCAGCAAGCTTGGCTTTGTACCCTTTGTATAAGGTCGAGGAACGTAGTTGCGCGAGGCCATTTTCTAAAAGTCCAAAGTGCTTTTTCAATATAAAAATCAGTCTTCGTAATTAGGTAGAAGAAATGTATTGTACCTGGAGAAGTGTTTCGAATGATACATATGGATCGCGGTCGCGTCCCATGACACGAGCTGCATAACGAACCTCGATTGGAGCTGAATATACAGAATATGGATGCTGCTTCCTCTTCATTCTGTCTTGTATGAACCGCTGTCGAGCAGCACGTTCAGGGTTCAGAGGCCTAGACGGATCAAAAAATATGCTATCCGTCTCTTTGGCAGGACTCCCAGGTGTCCTTTCTGGCCTTGTGCTTAGCGGTGAAGTACATAAGTCAGAATTCATAGTGTTAGGAGAGCTCCCTGACTTGGAGCTAGAATAAAAAAGAGACGTTTCAGGAGTGGTAGCATGTCCACTGGACAGAGGAGAAGATGGAGGGCTATTTGATGGACTTGGGGGGCTGGGAGAACTTCTGGGAGGAGGAGGAGGAGGAGATGAGACTCGGGAAGGACTACTGGGCTGAGAGTGAGATGGAGAAGACATCTGTACGCACTTTGAACTTGACAATAGAAGGAACTCACTGATATATAGACGAAACCTGCCAATACTATAGGCTGATATCAGCACGATACCCTGTGAATGCACAGTCTGCGGAGTCTCAAAGACATAGTTACTGCCAGCAACTCGTCAGCAAAGCTCACAAGGAAGGGCCTAGTCAAGACTTGGCTATTTAGCGGATGTGAGTATCTTTTATCACTATTATTACATTACATAGACTGACGTATACCAGGCTGTGTCCCAACTGCAATGAGGAGTTCCTTTCCATCGAGGCAGTTATTCTGCATCTCGATTCTCAGTCTACCTGCTGGCCACGTGAATCACGCCCGCAACAATTCCCAATTCCACCCGGATTGCGAGGTTCTCGTTCATCTACATCGTCCACTACTGGCTCTTATCATCCTCGATCCGGGTATGTCTTTGGTGTGGGCAAAAACCTATTCGACAGGTTGCAAGAAGATCAATATGATTACCGGAGGAAAATAAATACCTATTATCCTTTCCACGATGAAGGAGAGTGGGAATTAGCAAGGTTTCTAGTTGAAAACCTGACTCAAACTCAGATCGACAAGTTTTTGAAGTTGAAATGGGTAGGAGACTCGGAGCCCTATTTAACAGGTCTGACTCTACGTTTACAGTTTCACACCCGCCCAAGACCATCTTTCACCTCAAAAGATCAACTTCTTGATTGGATTGATGCGCTCCCCTCTTTTGTACCATGGAAAGTCTCGACCATGGAGTTCACAGGCTACAAGACGACTTATCCCTTGCAACTCATCTGGCGTGATGCTCTCAAAGTCGTCAAACAGCTCTTCAGTGATCCTGTTTTTGCTAACCATATCACTTTTCAACCGCATGTTGTTAATACTGGGGGTCAGCGTGAATATGGGGATTATATGAGCGCTGACATGGCATGGAAAATTCAGGTCAATTCTATCTGTTAGTCTACTGTTCAAATATTGACTTTGTATTCTTAGGACCATCTCCCAGTAGGTGCTACACAAGTACCGATAATCTTGGGATCAGATAAAACACCTGTGACGCGCACCACTGGAGGGCTTGAGATGCACCCACTTTTCATTACGATTGGTAACCTCGATTTGGAAGTTCGCTCCAAGGCTACACTACGAGCTTGGCGCTGTATTGCTTACATGCCCATCGCTAAATTTCATGTGCATCCTGATTATCAGGGCATTCTGCAGGCACGCCTGTGGCATAGATGTGTCGATCTCGTCTGCGCCAACCTCAAGGTCGCAGCAAAGGATGGTTGTTTTATGCCCGATCCTTCCCGATACATCCATTATGTCTTTACACCACTTGTCTCTCACGTATGTGACCTTCCAGAGGCTACCATGATCGCTACAGTCAGTAAAAGTTAGGGATCAGCAGGGGTAAACCCCTGGGTATCATAAGCCCAACCCACACCCCTACCCCTGGAGGGTCTTACCCCTCAGACCAAGGGTCAGGGGTAACCCAGGGGTATTATAAGGGTACAAGGGTATCACAAGGGTACAGGGGTATTATCACCATCTAGGCTAGAAGATATAGTAGGCTGACTTTAATTTATGCTTCTTGAGTCCTAGCCAAGTGTGTAGATGAGACTCAAACCATGGGCAAGTAAATCTTATACATTATGAACCATCTAAAATAACTTAAATGTTTCCTTTGATTGTATTTTACTTATATCATACTCAAATAAGAGCTAACTCACAATATAAGATCACAATAAGCCCAATAACCATTATATTGTTGAGAACTTCAAAATTTTATACTTATCAATCACTCCTATGGTAATCAATTTGGGGATGTATTATGCCTAGGCCCAGGGGTACTACCAATTGTCCAGGGGTACAGGGGTCTCCAAATCCAAACCCATACCCCTACCCTCAAGTACCCTTACCCCTGACCCCCAGGGGTTACCCATACCCCTGCTGATCCCTAGTAAAAGTGCCTCTCCCATAACTATGGCGACACAAGCAAATTTTGGTGACGGAGTTCTCTACCCTCCTCGCACTGGACAACACACACTGCAACTCGTCTATGAGATCTCCAAGGAGGTCGATCCTTGGGATCTTGATAAATTCCAGAAGGCAGCAAAAGCGGTGCATCTGTCTGGAGTTCACATGCCATATTGGCGTGATTGGACGTTTGCATGCCCATCTGTCTTTCTCACCGGTGAAGTTTTGCATACCTGTATCAAGTTTTTTGCGGACCATCCGCTCAATTGGATCAAGGAGACGGTAGGGAAACCTGAGCTCAATGCTCGCTTCATGGTTCAGCATAAGCGGGTGGGAACTCGTCACTTCACCAAAGGTGTCACCCATGTCAACCAAATGACAGGGCGCGAGCACCGAGATATTCAACGCACCATTGTTGCTTCGATTGCAGGCGCTGCTCCACCCAGGTTCATTCGTTCCATCTGTGCCCTCATAGAGTTCATCTACCTTTCTCAAGATCCGGTTCATTCTCCTGATTCCCTGCAGTTGATGGCGCAAGCACTTTCGGATTTTCACTCATTCAAGGATGCTATCGTTGACGCTGAGGCGAGGAGGGGAAAGAAAGGTGTTAAAGACGATTTTTTTATCCCGAAACTCGAGCTATTGCAAAGCTTCAGAGGCATGGTCGAGAAACTGGGCACGTTGATGCAGTTTTCAGCTGATATGACAGAGCGCTTACTCATTACACACTGCAAACATCTCTTTGAGCGCACAAACCGGCGATCTACTGATTTTACAGAGCAGTGCGTACGGATCCTCAACCGCCAGGAGTCGATGGAATTATTCAACCTGTATGCGTTATTCTATTCTCGTGGCGCGTCACTTGTCAATGCCATACGCATCGAAGATGAAGAAGTGACGACCGTTAATCCAGCGCTTTCCTGGATTTCTCGTGTTCTCCCTGATGAAACGCATTCTGTTCATGGACCTCGGCCAGTTCGGAATCATTTTCTTAAGGGCATTCTTTCTGGAGACGCTCTCACTGCCTTCCATCTGACCTCGACGCCGGATTTTAATGCTCTGACGCCCATCGCTATTGAAGCTAAATACTCACTTGTTGATTTCAATCATGCGCTCTCTCAGTTTATCAATCAATTATCCCTCTCCACTGGCGAGCATACCCGCTGGGACCATGGATACGGACGCTTTTGCACATGGAATAAATTTCGACTACAGCTTCACTCTGCTTTCCAGCCACGAGTCATTATGCCAAGCAGAGTGATACAAGCATACCCGCCAAGTGATGCATTCCCCCTCGGAAACTGCGATACTGTCCTAATCAATGTCACGGGCGATGACGGCCAAAGCAGTAAGTGTATTCTTGCACTCGTGTTCCAGATCTAATTTGAGATCATCTTCAGCCAGTCGTGTTGCACAAGTTCGACTCATCTTTCAGCCAAAGATTCCACGGGCTTCTGACTTGGTGTTACCAATGTACCTTTCAAGTCCACTCCTCTACGTCCAATTCTTCCACTTCGTCGCTAATCCCAGTGACCGTCCTGAACTTGCGATGTGGACAGTGGAGCGCACGTACATGATAGACCAACGTGGCAGACGTTGTAGGTGTGGTGGTGTCGTGTCGTTGACAGATGTAACACACGCCGTCGAATTGATACCAGAATATGGTAACAAGGTAGACGAGAGGATTTCTTCAGCCACTAGTTTGGAGAGCTATGACCGGTTTTTTCTCAACAGTTTCGCAGATAAGGAAAGCTATCATACATTTAGCACAGAGTTCGCATAGACCCAGTATCAGTAGCTCATACTACTACTAGTAGTGACGACGGAGACGATGATCTTAAATCCATGCACAATCATTATAAAATTTTACAACAGTCGTCATCGCTGATTATAAATGGCCCTAGTCTAGGGTTCGGAATGAGTATTCGCATTCCAAATCCTAGACTAGTGGCTCTAAACAATAAACTCAATATAATACCATTATTTCGAACCATTTAACAATTATGACGCTACCGCATTATTAGATTTACATTTTACTATGGATAACTTTGTTCCACCAATCGCGTTGCTCCATCACTAGCGCCGTAAGCTCACCGTAAGCATCAAACTTCTTTTTGACAAGCGAAAATTATGGGTCTCTTGCTGATGCAGCATCAATAGACACGACGGATTTCCCACCAGCCTTTCCTATCAAAAGCACATGCTTGCTTCAGCAGGGCAGATTGGGCATTTCTTCCGCCACGTCAAACCGGCAGACTTTTGTCAACAACATTACTGTGGATTAATCACTCGTAGCCAAGGGAACGTATAATGGCGGTGGCCGCATCAGTGTACCGGTGAGTTCTTGCTGGCGATTATGCTGATTGTGGCACATTTACATGGTCATATATTCCTTTATATTCCGATGTATTCGATAGTACATCACAATATCTTCTTCTCACCGGTTCTCTGACGGCGCTTCTTGCCCTACAACCGATAGCATACTATGGCCCATGCAGAGCTTGATCGTCTCCAAGCATGTTTAAACTTCTCACTCGACGCCCTCCGGAAAGAGATGGACAATTCTCAGCTTCTTCCCCTGAGTCAACACAGCTCAGTAGAACACCCGTTGGATGACCCAACGACTTACCTACCCAGCACGGCGTTGTTTGATGCCCGCCGCCTGTCTCTAGGTATTAAACCATTATGCTTTACACTCAGCGATACCTAACCTTCATAAAATATCCCCTAGCATGCCTGGTTGGTTATTACCGAGCCCTGCCTTTTATTCATCTGAGTGCCTTTTCTAGGGAGAACTAAAGAACCTTATCCAGTCGCCTTTAGATAAGCGCATGGATGAGAAGTACTCAGCGTATGGCGCTGCCTCCATTGATATCCTCATCAAGACCAATATCATCGACTACCTGTCTGACCTGTCAAATCCCTCAGAAGGCATCCCAGTTACTGAATTGGCCTCGAAATTTGGACTTGATTCTCAAAAGCTCGTTCCCATTCTACGCTGCTGTGCAGCCAACGGTTGGGTGCGGGAGACCCGTGATTCTTCATTTGCTTTGAACAGATGCTCGCGCACTTTCGTCGAAGGTCATGCAGGTCGGAGATTGAACCTTTGGTACGTATTCACTGTATGAGCACCCACAAATCAACTAAGTGAAGCAGTACGCCTGGGTTCATGTCAATAGTCGGAGCTATGCCACGTTGGGTGACGGAATCGGATTGGAAACTCTCGCGCTCTCCAGCGCAGACCGCTTTCCAGGTCGCATTCAGGACTCCTTTGCAGCGATTCTCCTGGGTCATGCAAAATCCGCAGGCCCTTGTTCCACTGGCGGATCATCTTCAAGTCAGTATGTCTGTAAGAGTTACACAGCACTTACCAGAACGTTGGCGTTATAGGTCCTTGGTGACATGTCTACGCCGGGTATTGTGGCAGACTACCCATGGGAACAACTGGAAACACCCATCATCGTTGATTGTGGAGGGGGAGAGGGCGGTTTAGTCACTGCCATCCTAGACGCGTAAGTCTTACCTGTCATATTCCTAACATTCCTGAATTCTCGATCATGGCAGGCATCCTTCCTTCCGAGCCATCGTACAAGACATGGAGAATGTTGTCGCATTGACAAGTTCGATCATGAAAGAACGCCGCCCTCGTGATATAGAAAATGGTACACTCAAGGCGGAAGCCCACGACCTTTTCCAGCCCCAACCACGGATCGGAAACGAGTATAGTTTCATCCTGCGTCATATACTGTGAGTGCTGGTCCTCAGTGCTGATTTTGTTCACACCAGTCCTACGTACCAAAGGCACGATTGGCCTGACAAAGAAGCGGTGGGCAGTGTACATCCTACTTAAGTGGCACAGCTGACTTTACCTCAGGCGGCGATATTGGGCAACGTAGCTCGTTCATTGGGCCCCAAGGCAAATAGCCAGATCAACATATCGATGTGTATCTGACATGTTTCACAGTCCAAAATACTCATCATCGAAATGGTAGCTGTCCCGAACGTAGACTCAGCTGCTACAACGAGTGCCAAATCATTCTTACTGGATGGCGATGATAAGCGTCCCGACCATTGTGTTCCATCGCACTTTGGTTCAGCGTCCAAACTAGTCAACGCGTTCTCGGTGCACATGCTGAGCTTGATGAACGGTTGCGAGAGGTCTTTGGTACGTGCCTCACAAAGTTTGACCTATACGTTGCTGAAGATTGAATAGCGTGAATGGGAGAGCCTTGTCAAGGGGTGCGGGCTTTGCATCACGAACGTTTATCCGCTGCGAGCTCACACTTCCGTTATCGAGTGTGCGCTTGACTCACGTGTGTTATTGTAACCTCAAAGAGAGAATGTTGGATCTCAGAGTAATGTCAATTTGCCTGTACAACGGATGTATCTTTCCGGTACCGACGATATATGACTTCCTTTCCCCCATCGCGGATTGTATGATACACTAAGGAGTCAATTAAGTTCGTTTATCGTCGAAGAAACTGGCTCTTCGTGGAGACCAGGTTCTAGAAATCTGACAAGTTCACAACGTTGAAATTCTTATACGAGTAAGCTTGAGAGAGCAGTGCTATAACACCTTCGAGTGCTTTCTACTCATGGCCGGCTTCCCCACCAGACTCGCCTTCATTGCATGCAGATGCACATAGTAAGTATCTGAGCCATCAGGGCTTACCAGAGTTTGTGGAAGAAAATAAGACCCAAAAGATAGCAGGCTGCAGACAGGGCGCCGGCGCTTGCTGGAGTGTCACAAGCAGCTAGTAGAAGGGAAATGAAGCCACGTGTTGAGTACTGGCAGCCGCTGCACGAAGTCCTGATCGAATCCCAACCCTACAATTCGTGGTAGAATTCCAATCATTGTAAAAACCCTACACCTGATATCCCTCGCTGCTTGGACATCATTTACAGAGGTTGGTGCTGTCGCACTCGAAAATGAGTTCCTTGATAACTAGTCCTTCCATATTCCCAACGGCATGCTCCGTAAGATCTTACTTGACTCGTCTATTCCATGTCAGATAACGCTGTGGAAGCCAATCTGGCTCCTTCCACTCTTTATCAGAAATCTCAGCCAGAATCATTTGCGCAAGGACTTCGGCGCTGGAAACCATGTCATGTATGGATTGATTTAGCTGTACAATGTAATATAAGACTTACCATCCAAATGCGCGTGGCATTCCATGGCCGGCATATCTTGCGGCGATGTACTGTTCGATAGTTGTGAAAAACGGCAGCTATACCTCACCCGATGGGCATACATTTAGACTGGCGAAGTCATACATTGCGCATAGCCTCATTTATGATCCTTTGGGGATGCTAGTCAAGTGGTGGTGATGTGTAACTTGGGGGCAGTTTCACGGGTATTGTTCATGGGTGTCTTGGTGAGGGTATGGTGGCGCACGATATCTGCCGCTATGAGGTGAAAAGAAATGGAATAAGTAAGATGGAGATATTCGAAATGTCACGCTACCTGATGCCAGAAGCTACGCATGTGCTTCAACTCCCCCTGGACCTCATACGAGTGAACTCAGAGATATGCACGTGTGTCACTTTTAGTTTCTGTTCTGTCACTATTCGTTCTTCCAAAAATAGTGAATGGACGGACTCGCGCAAGTTTGAATTTGAGACGCTGACTGACAGGCCTGGAGGAGCACTCATTGTCTCGAGATGATCGAGGCGATTGATTGTCACAAACTGATCCAGGCGAAACATGTATGAAGAGAATTCTTGACGCAGATGAAATCTATTGATATACCCAACTTTCTGCAGACCAATGTTGATCCTCTCGTCGAGCCTATTCGACATCACATCCTGGATAGTTCTCCTCCTTTGACACTTTCGGACACCCCGAACCCCCATCCTGTAACATGCCGTGATCCTGATGTGACCATCCAACGTGTCAAATGAGAACGATGAGCTGCTCAGCATCCAGAAAACACGTACCGCATACTCGCAGGTCATCACGTCGTCCATCTTATCCACGTAGCTGCCGGACCGTCAGTCACCCTTCTCGATGAAGATGTGAGTGTGACTTACATGCACTTCTTGGACCCGTTGTCGGAATTCTCGATCCTGACCAGCCCGTAGGTCAATACACCGTCGACATACAACACTTCTTGGCACGCTGCGCATTCTGCGTTGGCACCAGCGAGGAGGGTGAGCAGGGCAAGAATGGTGAAGCGGGAAGTGAAGATCATGGAGCTTGTTGCAGTGAGCAATGCAAGGCCATAGCATGCATGCAGGGATTTTGTAGGCAGATGGCCTCACGATTTTCGCTTTCGCCTCGGGCTGTTACATGTTACTCTATGAACAAAAGTTGAGTTGATCGGTTCACAAGTTAAACCAACAACATGACGTAAAGTACATTACATAATTATGGGCGGACCGAATTAAGTAGTAGATCCACCTCCTCCCAATCCAATTACTTATGGACCATGGTGAACGACCAGAGGGCAGGCTATAATGTCATTTTAATGCACAGAAACAGGCTAATTAGCAGAGTTTTGTCATGCAACAGCATTGCTAGAGGCTGCATGCATTACCCACTATCCTAATGCAGAATGTGATGCTGTAACTAGTGCTGCCGCAGTCCGGTCCAGGACCTAGGTTCGAACCCGAACCTTTGTGGACCGGACCCATGGTTCGGTCACAGGTCCAGAATTTCTCTTGGACCGAACCCCTTGGTAGGTTCGAGGTTCGGTGTGTTGTCGATAAATCCGGACCGGTTCTGGACGCATCCGGACCGGTTCGAACCTATCATGTCGCTGGCTTTGACTTACGATTTTCGAAGTCGAAGCCTCATGTTTTTGGTGAGGCTTTCTATTTAAGTATCATCCTTGCCCTTCTGTTCACCGTCTTCTCCTACTTCTCCTGCAAGGCAATCTCTCGGCTACTTCAGTAATGCAACTCATTCATGCGCCAGTGAGTTCGCAACAAGTCTACTGTCTGTCACAATTAACTTATGATGTGATTTATTTCAGAACATACCTACAGTTGTGATTCACCATACTGATTATCTGCCATGGGTTCTCATTTTGGTGTTTCATGGTGCGCAACAGTTTTAAATCTAGTTTTAAATAAATTCACTTGGTACCTAGGTTTGAAATTTATGCCCCCTGCTGCTATGTCCTCTGCACGTCGCGCTGACGGTTCGTTGAAAGACGCCAGTGAGATAGCGTGGTACAATGATGCCGAAGACGACTCTCCAATGGTTCCTCCCCCTGCTCCTGCACACAACGGCACTCTCAATTCGTTTGTACGTCGTTCTGGTCGAGCGGTCAAACCCACAGAGAAGATCCGCGAGACTCTGACTGCCAGCAGTACCTCAGCCAAACGGTCAGCTGTAGAACCTCCTCAGGGTGTCCCTGCACCCAAACGAGTGTTCGTTGGTACCATCCCCACCGTACAAAAACGCATGATGAGATCCTCGAACGTGTGAAGCTGGCAGTCGAGCGCGTGAAAGAGAAGCTCAAGCATGTCGACAGCAAAATTTCCATGACGTTCGACTCGTGGACATCTTTTCCTGGTCACCCTTTCCTATCCATTACAGCGCATTACATAGACTCCCCGATCGAAAAGCCTCACGGTCATTGTGAACGAGGAGTAGCTGTACGTAGCATACAAATTTGTCGTTGTTGTCTTGTAAAATTTTGATTTTTTTGCAAATTGAAATAAAGGGTTCGAGGGTTCGAACGCGTTCTGAACTTGAACCAAACCCTTCCGAACGCGTTCACAGGGGTCCGGTCCATGGTTCAGCCTCCTTGCTCGAACCTGACCAATGGTCAGGTTCGGGGTTCGCAAATATAGGGCCATGAACTGGACCGAACCGGACTTCGGCAGCACTAGCTGTAACATGGTCAGACTGCCGCCACGCATAACCGTTACACCAAAAGGTGAAATACTGAAAGCTTAGCTTTCAGTATCAGCGATGGTATATGTACTGATTATGAGAACTCAGGTAAGCCAGCGTGCTTACAGATGCATCGGTGATGCATCACATTTGAGATGATGCATTACCTCCTACTACCCTTTTAGGATGCGTTCAGGGACACCGTGCCTAGCTATTTGATTGTACCTTGCATCCTTTTGATGTGCCCTGCTTACCTTTACACTTCTTTATGTGGCATCTGGTTTGTCCCGGCCACTTAGCTTTTTTTTGGCAGGCCTTTTGCTATTCAAACATTAAAGTACACCACCTGGCTACTACTAATTTGTTTTGGAAGGCCTTTTGCTAAACGTGCGCGTAGTACCTGGCTACTACTAATTCGAGCCGGTGATTAGTAACAGTAATCTATGACATCAGTCTTGCTTTTTCATGCACTAAGTCCACGCATGATGATTAGTACAATCCTTATATGTTATTAAAGTCCTGCAGGTGATTGCCTTATGTTGTCCAATTTGCGAACACTTCATGCATGAAAAGGACAAGAAAATAATAGATTTTATTAAACAAGTAAATATGTCATGCAATACTATATCACAGTCACAAGGTACAAGATATAAAATACATTGATTAACGAAATATGTACTACATTGAATCACGAGCGTTGTGCCCTCCTGCGGGAATCATCAGCAATGATCCAAAACGCAAAAGGAACATATACATACTTGTGGGATCCACCATTTTCACTGTGCCTACAGTCATTGCGTGGGATTGGGTCACCAATTGCATTGTCTCGCTCTCGTGGATTGAATGCAACATGGTGATGATGAAGACGAGATCCCTCAGGTGCAGTAGCATCTGGTGGTTGACTACTGTCAACCATTTTGGCATGATTACGCTTCCCACCGCCAACTCGCCGAGACTGTTGTTGTTGTGAAGGATTGGGTGCAGGAGTTGACGAAGGATTGGGTGCAGGAGTCGATGAAGGAGCGGGTGCAGGAGTCGATGAAGGAGCAGGCGTGGGATTTAATGAAGGAGTGGGTGCAGGAGTCAACGAAGGAGTGGACACAGGATTCAACAAAGGAGTGGGTGCAGGAGTTGACGAAGGAGTGGCCACAAGAGTCAATGAAGGAGTGGGCGCGGGAGTCCACAAAGGAGTTGGCATGGGAGTCCACAAAGGAGTGGGCGTGGGAGTCAATGAAGGAGTGATGTTTGTGTTTGAAAAGGGTACCGCAGGAAGAGTTACTTCTGTTATAGGAATGTAGTTTGTGTCCAAATGCGAAAGGTCAGGAAAAGTAAAGCCATCAGATGACAAAAAGTCCAAAGCTTTGAGGGCCAATATGACCTCGGGGGGAGCATTATTGATGAAAGAGTACGGGTCAAAAGCAGCCGGGTCAGCATTCAAGAGACTATCATATGGGACTTGATGGGAATATTGAAACACCTGCAGTGGATTACTGACAGGTGCCGGTGATGCATGACCCGGTGCATTACCTGTGCCTGGTAATGTATGACCCAATGCATTACCAGTGTCTGGTAATGCATCACTGCTGCTCAAGAGTGATGTAATAGTATGGTCAGAGGAGGCCTGCAGCAGTCAGATCTGTACGCATTGCATTTTAAATGCATCACATACCATTGTGATACCAGTGAGAGAATCATCCGGTTCATCCATCCTATACAAGCCTTGGTCCCAGGAACTTTCATGCACCCCGCTATCATCACCTGCCACTGAGTCTGAGGAAGTATCTTTATCGTCCTCGTCAATACTATCGTCCAAATCTTCGACACTGTCTGCCTCATGGGAGAACGCTGAGTCAAACACTATGCAAACATAGTGAGTACTAAGTAATTCAAGGTCTCTTAAACATACCAATGGCATCCTTGACAAAGCTCAAGAAAGTGCTCTGCATCGAATCAAAGTTATTGTATGCTTGGTCAAACTGTGCGCTGCTCTCCAATTCCCCAATGTGGTAGCTTAATAATATTAATATTGGCGAGTGCCGTCATTGTTTGCTGTTGGCACTTACTTGAATACAGACACTTTGCCGGTACTTGGATCGTGCCCCCCCATCAACATGGTGAACTTCCAACCACCCATGATATGTCCGAGGTATTGAAGAATACGATCCAGCATGGGTCCCAGTTCGCAAATTGCCCTGGTTTATTCACATCAAGAACTTGAACAATGTAGATACACATAACTGGTACGCACTTTGTTTTAGTTTCTTCATCGACTTTGGGTGCCTTCTTTTTTTGCAGATTTGTGCGAGTTTTTGCATACTTCGCCTTTGCTTTAGAATACTTCCTCTCGATCTTAGCTTTGACTTCTTCGCTCTCTGCCATGTACATCTGGCGAACAATATCGCGACGTTTATTCAACTTTGGACCTCGCTTGGTAATGTTCTGCTCTTGAATGGCCTTGTCTGCTACGTGCTTGATCTTCTTTTCGTAGAATTTGCTAGAGTATATGTCCATTTTTTGGGGAGCACAGGTACCTTTCATCTCAACACCACCGGCTAACACAGTGTCAAACTTCAGCACCCCCCTAACACCATTTCTACGGCCCAGACATGACAGATTTGTTTGCCATCTATACCAGGTGATTAACTGCTACAATACAGTCAGTATATCTCTAATGCGACTTGTACATGACGCCTACCTTTTTGGTCTCTGCAACAGCTTGTGCTAGATCTTCGTTTTGCTCTGGTGTAAGTACCTCATTGTCTGGCAGGTCACCGAAGAGAGCATTCCGCTCAGGCCAATGCTCGAAGAATTTTATGTTAATGTCAGACCAGAAATCCTCGTACTTCCTGGACACGGTGCATGTTCGATACTGTGGCAAGTGACTTATGAGGAACTCCTCTTGGTCTTCGGTCCACTTTTTCTGCGGCATCCTTTAGCTTTGTAAGGTGGAAAACGCGCTTTTTCAAAATGAGTAGATGACGCGACGCGACACGACTATGTGGAATGTGGATGAGTAAGGCAACTGGTAGGAGAATCTTCGCGTTTAGTTCTCAATTTTGATCTACCAATCAGGTGTCCTGTCCTTCTGACTATTTCCTATTTGATAGCAAGACATTTCTACCATAGGACAACCAGTTAATACTAAATGGTATGTGCACTCTCCTGTGCTTGCTGATGAGTTCTATGTTCTAATGTATCAATTTTTTTAGACTGTTTCTCCAAGAATCACGGTGCAACACAATTCAAGATGCTGTTCAACTCGATTAATGTATGAGGTACGTTGAAGCATTTCTTTTGAAGTCAGGTGCTTCAAGAGATCGTTAACGCTTGAGGTCAGTTGAAGCGTTTCTTTTGAAGTCAGAGATTGTTACTTATGAGGTCAGTTGAAGTGTTTCTTTTGAAGTCGGGTGCTTCAAGAGATCATTGACTACAGTTTTCTTAGCCTCGACATCTTGAGTCTTGACACAGTATCATGAGAAGATCAATACTAAATTCTACGTGTGCTCTCCCGAGCTCTATGTTCTAATGTACCAATTTTTTTAGCCTCGACATCTTGATCGACACAATATCACGAGGTCGAACTCACCTTTTGTATTTTTTGACCGCAAAATAACTTTTCAGGGTAGTTGGACGTGTAGATGACTCTCTGAACAAATAGTTCATGTGGATGAACCATTGTATACGCTGCGACAAACGAAGTTAGAATGCTTCAGTCAGAAAGGTGAGAAAACATACGCGACGCCTGAGTATGATCGCACGATTGACTATTGCCTGCTCCAAGCTACTCAACTCCTCAGTCAGCAGTATCTCTGGATAGTGGACTGCACGTTCCGGCCACATCATGAAAAATTGGGACTCGACACTATCCCAAAATGTCTCTAGCTCATCTACTGACCCGTTTTTTGCAATCTTAAAGGCAGGTATAAATGACTTGAGCATTTGATGTTGCTCGAGCGAGAGAACTGTTGTCTGTGACATGGACATGTTGGTCTGGACCAAGGTGCACGTTTCAAGGCATTCCAGACTTACACTCATACTGTTTTAAGGACTTCGACAAGGGATTTGCATACTACGACCAATTACAGTACGTGCACCAATATATCTATTAACGAAGCTGACCAATTCCGAACCTCAACACGGGATTCCCATCAAATTCACCAGTAAGTGTTGCGGCGCCTCAAACCACCTCGAAAGTATCGAAGAATCCACTGGATTTCGAATCAGCAAACAATATTGAATTGAAGTGCGTGGTACTTACCTGCTTCGTCCTCCGCACAGCTTCCATTACTGCAAGTGCTTGGTCCGCTGACAATGGTGAATTGGTGGGCATGCGAGGGAATAGAGCTCGTTCCGGTGGCCAAAGTCTGAACCGCCGGTAAAAGATGTCATTGAAAAAATTGTTGAAATCTTCCAGGCTGGCGCGAGCATTGAAAAGCTCGAAGTACTCATCCATGTTGGCTTGGAGAAAGTCATTTTGTGCACTCCATACACGATGACGGTAAGCGGGACACCCTGGCATTATCTATATTACTGACATGTCAGTTATGATCGATATGAAGGAAACATGGGGCTCGTACGATCACTTGAGTGGACGGTGATGATAGGGATCAATTTTGGTAGGAATTGGTAGGAATGGTTTATCTTAAGCTTGCCCCATAAATAATGAACTGTTCCTATCATGTGATAATGATGTACTAGAACTACGTAACTAATTTTACAACAATGTCTGGCATAACAGAGCTCGATGGCTGTACTTTGACATCAAGTCCTCGTCTACCTCACTCACAGCAGCATAGCACCATAGTTCTTCAGTAGCCGCAACAATAAATTTACACCGGCATCTGAGGCCATCGATGTGATCACCATGAACTGAGCCTGTAGAATGCAGATAGTCCTCAATGTGGCCCAATGTCTCAAGCTGTTCCGATAGGGTGTCTAAAACTGATTGTCGGTCATGTAGAAAGTTATTGGCCAATCTGTCGCAGAGTCTGTCCAGCGGAATGAATGTCCTGAGTTTGGACTTGACATCTTCAATATCAATTCTTTAGCAGATTGTTCAAAGTCAGTAAAGTCTGAATACATTCATTTGAAACAAAAACATACACAGCTGCAGCATTGGCCAGCTGAATGTGCCTAGACTCGACATTTTCAATATCAATTCTTTAGTAGGACATAAATCAGTGAGGTCTAGATACATTCATTGAATAAATTCATACACACTCAGCTGTGTTGCGCTTCTTGCACAAATTCTGCTTAGCAACGATGATTCGTTCCTTATTCCTAGTAGTATATGAGACCTGTTACTACAATTCAGACCAAAGTGAATATTCACGCACCTCTCATAGTATTTTCGTCTGTACCTACGCGCAGCTTCAGTACGTTCATCTGGAGTTCTATACAATCGAGGATGGCCCATGAATATTCTACCAGTTCACTGTGAGTTGGAGATTTACTTGGGTTGGAGATTTATAGTAGATTTACAATAGCCTACAGCTCGTCGTGCATGCTGAGGACATGAGCTAGGCTGCGGATTTGGGTTCTTGTTGAGATTCACACCGAAGCTACACCCAGGTTGTCACAGAAATTTGAAAGAATGTCGAAACACCATTCAAGTCGAGTATACATACAGTTTTGTCCGAGAATCATGCTGCGAATGAGTAAAGTGTTTTGTTTGAAGTCCGGTGCTTTGAGGTCAGTTGAAGCGTTTCATTTGAAGTCGGGTGCTTCAAGAGATCATTGACATATGAGGTCAGTTGAAGTGTTTACGTACAGTTTTCTGAGAATTATACTGCGAATGAGGTAAGTTGACATGGCAGTCTGAAGTATGGGGTCAGTTGAAGCGTTTCCGGGTGCTTCAGAAGATTGAATAGGACTGACACTTCTCAATCTTACCCAACTCACACTGAAATTCACGGCATTCATTGACGGTATGAGGTCAGTTGAAACATTTCATTCGAAGTTGGGTGAATTGAGATATGAAGTGTTTTGTTTGAAGTCGGGTGCTTCGAGATATTGTTGACATACAAGGTCCTGAAATTCATGGCGGGCAAGCAGTATCACAGTCATATTACACACGGTACAAACAACTTGGTAAGGCTTCAAAAAATCAATTGGTGCATACAATGTACACATTAGGGCAACACCTCCGTTTCACCGCAGGTAATTGCCTCCTCCATCAACTGTATGCCTTCGGCTACTGAGTGGACCTTAGAAAAGGAGGCCCTGCTCACGCCAATGACATGGGAGGAGGTCTGCTGCCTGTTGGCGAATCACTGATTAGCATTTAATTTTAAATGAAGAAATGCGAATCAATTACCAAGTAGAAAAGATACCAATGCAGCGTCCACGGGTCACCCAATAGAAGGGTCCTGTAGCATCAGCCGCTGGTACATTGTACGTCACATTGACTATCTGGGTAATGACCGAAGCTGCAGGCGAAGGAATAGCAGCTCCAGTGGAAAGAACAGCAGCTCCAGCGATGGTCATGACAGGCAGTGGATCAAGCACTGACACAGGTAATGCAGTGACACTTGACACTGTAGGAGAGGTGGTGAGTTTGTCTGTAGGCTCAACTGAAGCTAGATCTGGAGTTGGCGCCGGAGTGAGTGGAGCTGAAGTCTTGGAGACCTTGCTGATGGCAGAAACAGCAGAGACTAATGCGTTCTAAACCATGTCATGGATCGTGGAGGTCACATCGGACGCTTGCTGTCCAGTGATGTTCATCTGGGCCAAAAGTGCTGCAAGAGTATCTGTGAATAAACACAGGTGAGGAGCAGAGCGCACTTGAGAACATTGTGACTTACCACCATTACTACTGGCAATGGGCGCCGCAGGCACAGTATCTATCGTGCTTGTGGAGACCATCATTGGGTGTAAATAGTGGGAGGAGAGCTGAAGACTGGGACTTACCTACATGTAACTCTGGCTTTTGTACTGGGAGAGCCGTCAACATTGCATGATGTAAAAATTGTTACTATGCTAGTAGTTCTTGCATTGCAGTTCGTTCGAGTTTGATGAGTCCGAGGAGACAAACAAAAGTTTCTCATGACTTCCAACATCACGTGATGTTGCAAGAGTAATGCAGAATAATGCAAAAAGGTAATAAGAGGGATGGACAGGCAAAGAGTAATGCAAGCGATGCAAAAAGGTAATGCAGACTCGGACGTGATGCAAATGAGCCATGACTTGTGTCATGTGATGTTGACCATCACGTGACACAAGTCATGGCTCATTTGCATCACGTCCGAGTCTGCATTACCTTTTTGCATCGCTTGCATTACTCTTTGCCTGTCCATCCCTCTTATTACCTTTTTGCATTATTCTGCATTACTCTGTATGGGCTGATTTTGTCTACTATATTCCCTAATAAAACTTTCATTCTACAGATCACCAAGCTCGCCCTCCAGGGTCTGTTACCAGCATCCGCATAACATCATAGATGGCCTCTGCCCAAGGTAAGTGCATGCTGGCTGCTCATGAAGTTCTGAATTGTATTTGATACTACTAGATCACACCTCTCAGCGCCCATGTCACACGGCAAATCCTTTACCTCGGACCTTTCGACAAATCAATAGCCGCAAATGTTCCAGATTGAATGTGTATATACCACCGTCAACCTCACAGCCCAAAATCGCCTCTTAGTCTCACACTAAGTGGCACTCTTAAGTAGGACCCCGAAAACTGCTTAAGAACATTGCGCTCAACAGCGCCAACGATGCTCAACAAGCGTCAAAACCCTCTTTCTCTTCCTCTATAAAACCCTTTAAAAACCTAATCATCCACTATTGGATACTTTTTAGCTAGAAAATGCCTGGGGATAATATGGATGATGATTCACTCACCCAAACCCAAACAAGATCAAGCCAAAGGAAGAAAGACCAGTATCTCCGTCCATCTAATAGATCCATACCTGATATACTTGCTAACCCACAGACCCCATCAAATGTAATAGACGCAGCCACAGCTAGAATTGAATTAACTAGCCGGGGAATGTTGATACCCGTATCCGGAGCGTCAATAGAAACCCTAGTCGAATCCCTTCTTGAATTCACGCTTCAAGCCCCGGGACTCACCAGACTGCACACTGATATTATACGGGCGATTGCAATCATGCTAGACCAAGCGGATTATGTCCTGAAAGCTCAACGCATCGCAAACGAGACCACACTTCAAATGTCAGGTCTATTTAACAGGTTGGAAAAACTAATAGACAGACAGGAAGCCACCAACTCCCCGACTAACCCAACATCTGGCAACATGGTTAACCCTCAAGACTCATCAATAGTGGATCAAGTCGCGGCAGTCATAGCCCCCCAAATGGAAAAGGTAATAACTTTCACAAAGACGCTAACAGACACCTTAGGTCAAGCCGAAGAGACTCAATGCTCACTAATCAGAGAACGTGAAGAGAAAGAACAAGACCTCAAAACATCGGCAGAAAGAATTGAGGAAGCTGCGGATGCCTTCTACCACTCGGCCGAGGACTGCCAGAATGCCATGAAATTACTAACCCCATCACTCGACTCAGCTCAAAACAAGATCAACTCACTATCTACTTAACTACAATCCCAGCCAGAAATCCGCCCACCGACCGCTAATGGACCACCCACGTTCAGTGACGCAGTGCGATCATTCACTCCTGGCCCAGCAGACCAAGCGCTAGCCAGGGCAGCGATCAGAGCACGCCAAATCCTTTTAGACCCAACACCAGGTAATTGTATATTCCCAGCTAACGCCACTCATGCAGAAGTAGTCGAGAATCTGCGAAACGCACTGAAGACGGTAAAGCCAGACAACATAGCAAACACTGACATCAAGGCAGTGATACAATTGAGAAATGGAGGTATAATCATGGAGCTAAACACCGAAGAATCAGCTAAATGGCTGCGCACTGCAGAAGCCAGAACGAAGCTGACCGCAGCACTCAAGATTCCGATCAACTTCCGTGACCAAACTTACGCCCTAATAGTCCAATATCTCCCTACTACTCTTCATATCGACAGACCTCAGTTCCTAAGACTCGTGGAAGAAGAGAACCTGCTCAAGACAGACAGCCTAGCCTCTATACGCTGGATCAAAGCACCCGAACGCCGACCCCCAGGTCAACTTACTGCATTTGCTATGCTCCAGGTCTCAGATCCCGCCACGGCCAACCAACTCCTCAAGGACGGGCTCTACATCAATAGGGAGAAACTACGGGCCCACAAAGATCGACGTGAACCTATCCGATGCGCTAAATGCCAACACTTCGGACATATGGCCAAGAACTGCCAAGCTGCACAAGACTCATGCGGGACATGTGGAAAGGAACATCACACTTCGGAATGCACAGGGCACTCAAACCAGGACGTCTGGTGTACTAACTGTCGCAACAACAACCATACCAGTTGGAGCAGGGAATGCCCAACATTTGGCAATCAATGTCAGTTACTGAACGACAGATACCCCGAGAACACAATGCCATACTTCCCCACCCCAGAACCCTGGACCCAAGTTATGCTGCCACCGAAAGCTACTCCACACCAGCGACAAGCCACTGAAAACCCCCCTCAATCGAGAACACTTCGACAAACCACTTTAAACTCATTCCCAAGACCACATCCATTCAATGCCTACCCTCCTCCACATACATCACCACACCAACAGAGACCTCAGTCCCCCAACCGGACTCAATTTTGACCCATGAGCCAGACCCAGAACCGGCAGGCTAGCTACGACCGAACCCGCTCGACAGCAGCCCCAACATCTAACCGCTTCTCCTCCTTACCCGTTGAAGATACTAACTCTCCCTCTCCCCCAACAGCAGAACCCCCCGCGACCCTAGTCCAATGTTAGAACACCAAGATGATCCCGTTAGGCTGCGAATATGGCAACAGAATCTCAATAACTCCAGAACGGCTCAAGAATCACTCCTCAATGGCCCAAAAGCAAAGTTCTGGGACCTATTAGCACTACAAGAACCCTGCTCGAACAAGCTACGCAACACGAAATCAACGCGCCAATGGCACTCCGTCTACCCAACACAACACTTCACCCACCTGCTCCAGAGAACCCGTGCCGTCACGCTTGTCAGTGCAGCCCTGGACACGAATGGATGGAAGCAACTCGCATTCCCCTCTTCAGATGTAATCATAATTCAATTCTCAGGTCCCTTCGGCAAATGCACCGTGTTCAACATTTACAACGACGGCGAAAGACAAGATACACTAACAGCACTCAATACTTACATGGAGGCTAACATAGCGATCATCCACCCGACGGTGGACGATCATATAATCTGGCTAGGCGACTTCAACCGGCACCATCCGCTATGGGAGGAAGAGAGAAACCACCATCTATATAACTATGAAGCTGCGCAACCGCTACTGGACTTAATGGCTGACTATGGCTTAGATCAGGCTCTTCCCAGAGGAATGCCGACCCTGCAATCCACGAGCACCGGGAACTGGACGCGCCCAGACAATGTTCTCTGTACTGACCATACTCTAGAAACATTCACGATTTGCAAGACCAACCCTGCATTAAGAGGCCCGAAGACTGACCATGTTCCTATCCAAAGCATACTTGAACTTTCAATCCCGAGAGTTACCAAAGACCCCATACGGAACTATCGAGACACAGACTGGCAGAAGTTCAATACTGCTCTCGAAACTCACCTTACCTGCTTACCAGCACCACGCCCATGGGTAACAGAGGATGAGTTTCAACAAGCAGCAAGGAGTCTGGCAAAGGCACTGGACGACACGATAATGGAGACGGTACCTCTGTCAAAACCCAACCCACATTCCAAGAGATGGTGGACCCATGATCTCACAATGCTACGCAGAAAGGTAAATGAACTCAGTCATCAATCGCACAAGATGCGCGGAATCCCCCAACACCCATGCCATGAGGAACATCGACGAATCCGAAACGAATACTCAGAAGCAATCCTCAAGACCAAGAAGGAACACTGGATAGACTGGCTAGAGCAGATCACAGGCAACGAACTATGGATAGCTAATAAATACATCACCGCAGAACCAACGGATGGCGGGAAAGCCCGAATCCCCACATTACACATCCGCAACGCTGATGGCATTGTACATGATGCCGCCGACAATGAAGAAAAGAGCCAAGCATTGGCTAAGTCTTTCTTTCCATCTGCTCCGAACATCTCAACCATTCCCAGAGATGCCATATATCCAGAACCAGTCGCCCCAATGGCACCGATCACAAGCAAACAGTTGATGTGGAACATCGCCAAGCTCAGCCCTTACAAAGCCCCAGGCCCCGACGGTATTTGTAACATAGTATTCAAGGAATGCTCCGTCCTTCTCAAGCCCCACCTTTTGGAATTATTCAACTCAGTATTCACAATGCGCACCTACTATGACCCTTGGCGCGAATTCACGACCGTGGTTCTACGCAAACCAGGGAAGCCAGACTATACCATTATGAAAGCATATCGTCCCATTGCCCTGATTAATACCACGTGCAAACTACTGACAGCCATCATTGCAGACCAGATAACCTACATGCTCGAACGCCACCAATTACTCCCGGACACTCACTTTGGAGGCCGACCTGGCCGCTCAACAACTGACTCGCTACATCTCCTGGAAACCACCATTAAGAACACATGGAGAACGGGTAAGGTAGCATCAGTCCTGTTCCTGGACATTGAAGGCGCATTTCCGAATGCCGTTACTGACCGTTTATTGCATAACATGCGAATGCAAAGACTCCCCTCAGCACTAGTAGAATTCACAGAACGTGTTCTCACAGGCAGAAGAACCCAACTGCGCTTTGACGATCACACGTCAGACTGGATCCCAGTCAACAATGGTATAGGACAGGGTGACCCGCTTTCAATGATCCTTTACATCATATACGACGCAGACCTGATTGACATCGCAAAAGGCCGCAAAGGGGAATCAACGCTCGCTTTTGTGGATGACACTGCATTCATAGCCACCGGCAACTCATTTGAGGAGGCGCACAGAATTCTGAAAGACATGTTGGAGCGCAAAGATGGAGGGTTTGATTGGTCGCAAGCCCACAACTCACGCTTCAAGACAAGTAAATTTGCACTAATGGACTTTTCTATGAACAGAGCACGCAACCGACCACCAATGACCATCAGAGGCAATGTCATCACGCCCACCCCAACTCACAGATTCCTAGGCATCATCCTAGATCAAGAACTATGCTGGAAAGCGCACATCGACTATGCTATAGCCAAAGGCACAAGTTATGTACTCCAGTTACGTCGTCTTTCGTCCACTTCCACAGGTCTCCCCATGCACTTGATCCGTCAACTTTACCAGGCAGTAGCTATCCCGAAAATGCTCTATGCAGCCGATGTCTGGTTCTCACCTGCTTTCCGAGAAGGTTCTGACATCACCCAAAGAGGTTCAATAGGTATCGCAAAGAGAATGTCTACAGTACAACGAATGGCTGCTATAGCAATCACAGGCGCAATGCGAACCACTGCCACTGACATCCTCGAAGCACATGCTAACCTCTTACCGATTCAACTCCTGTTGCAGAACACGTGCCATAGAGCAGTCATCCGCCTAGCCACACACCCAGACACTCACCCTCTTCACAAGCACATTCGCCGCGCTGCAAAGCGCTACGTCAAGCGCCATCGCACAGCCCTACACCGCCTGACCCACTCATTCAACATCGACCCCGAAGATATAGAGACATTAATCCCTGCACGCCGTTCTCCCGCAGCAAGCTGCCCTTACACGGTGAAGATAGCTATGACCCGAGAAGACGCTATCCGCGAGCAGGCAGAACTGCAAGACGAAATACAAATCTTCTGCGACGGATCAGGACAGAATGGTAAGATCGGCGCAGCAGCAGTGTTTATGCGAGCAGGAAACAGACCACGGATCCTACGATACCATCTTGGCACTGAGAAGGAACACACCGTATATGAAGCCAAAGCTGTCGGCTTAACTCTTGCAGCTAAGTTGATCGCCACTGAATGACACCTAACATTCCCGATCTCCATCCTAGTAGATAATCAAGCGGTCATCCAATCAGGCGACATCACGGACCCAAGAGCAGGGCACTATATCATAGATCGTTTCCACAGAATGACTAAGCGCATCCAGACTCTCAACCGCAATGACTACTCACTGACTGTACGCTGGATCTCAGGGCACAGTGGAGTACACGGCAATGAGAAAGCAGATGAAGAAGCCAAGAAAGCCGCGGAAAGCCCTACATTCAATAGCGCACTTGACCACCTACCAGAATTCCTTCGTCAAGGCCTCCCCAGCAGTATATCCGCCATCAAGCAAGCACACAAGGAAAGAACTAACGCCCACTGGACTCGTCTCTGGGAGAAGTCACCACATTATGCACGCATGAAAGAAATTGACCCATCTTTATTACAGTGTTCCTTTGTGAAATTGGTGGAGAAGCTCCCCAAGAGACTAATAGGCCTGTACATGTACTTCCAGACACGCCATATCGCTCTTAATCACCACCTTCACCGCATCAATCGCAGCGCCACTCCATCCTGTCCCATATGTCCCGACACCCATGAAACCATTCATCACTTCCTCTTCACATGTCCCCAATATGACCGAGAACACCACATCCTCACATGCGCGCTTCGCAGGAAGGCCTCCTCATTACCATTCCTACTGGCAGATCCCAAAGCTGTGGAGCACTTCCTCCGTTACATCAATAGCACAGGCAGACTCAAACCTACATTTGGTGACATTTCTCTTCCACCGCCTCGCGAATAGACAATGATTAGCAGTTTCAATTACAGTCCCAACCGGATTCATCATCGCTAGATATCTTACCACCTATACTCTCGACACGAAGATACCGGCCTCAAGCCAGTGGGACTCAGTTACTGAAGATGCAGGGGAAAATTATTGGGAGACAAGCTGACCATTTGGAAAACAGACGAGGATAGACGAAGAACGCAGCCTCAGACACACGGAAACCGAGATCAACAGCCAATATACTACCACCATCACTCTCAGCACCTCGCCAACTCTCATTCCCCCCCACCTTTCGTGCACTCCTATCATAACTTCCTGTCCTTGGCTGCTTAGGCGGCCGAGTACGCGTTTACGACGACCAAATGCTCGCAGCCACTCAAGACTCATTATCGCTTTTGTAGAATAGTCGGCCCATCTTCGATAAGTTGTGCATCTAAAACGGCCGGCGGGAACGGCGGACCAGGGGGTACGTCCTATCCTGGGACATTTGCAAACTTAGAGATGAGGCGCGGGGCACAGGGGCCCCCTAGACTAGATAGTAGTGTCCAACATAGGGTAGTATACCCCAAAGGACAAAAATTTGATTTAAAAAAAAAAAAAAAAAAACCTCACAGCCCAAGAAGCCTGTACATACTTCAGTTAGATTCGCTTCATGTCTAGATGGAACGATGCACATGTCAGGCCGGCATGTTATTGGAGAGAATTCAACTGCTATCTTGAGCACCTCACATGCAGAGTGCAAGGACACATGCTTCGACTTTTCCGAGGCCGACAATTTCTTCACCATGGATGGGGTCACCACTAGCGATATGGATTGGCCACAAAAGCATAAGCGAACAACTGCTGTAAGCCCTTATCACTGTCACATTTATATTTCGCTGATTTGGGCATAGGACCACCCCCTTCTCATTTGGTTGAGTGAGCGGGACAATTACCTTGCAGAGTTGATTCGGATAGATGGCCGTGGAGATGTTGGTGATATGTGTGCAGGCTGTGGCACTGTTCCTGCATCGGTTCGATGTGAGAGCTGTGATGATTTACAAATGTACTGTCGCGAACCATTTACGCTTGCCCACCCATCGTGTTGACGAGGTTTTTTTCCAGAGGATGTCACTCAAGAAGCTGGGCCTTCGTATTCAACTTGGACATCCCGTTGGCCAGCACTGCATCCTTCCCCATCAGGCCTTCAATGACGACTTCATTCTCATAGACACGGATGGCATATATGAGATTGGACTTGATTTTTGTGGCTGCGAGACTGCACAAACGCACACAAAACAACTACTCCGAAATTGATGGTTCCCATCTACTTCAACTGATCCCAGGACCGCTGCGACATTTCGAGTACTACAACAGTATCAGATCCTTTCCTTCAAGTCAAAGGCTTCTGCCTACGAATTCTATCACACACTCGTTCACCTGACAGATAATACAGGCTTGTCGAAACGCAAGGTGGAGTTCTTCATTCTCTCAGATGTTACAGAATACTGATATTTAAATTCAGGATCACTATGAATCATTTATGAGAATGGTGCATGAATGGTGCCACCTGAAGATGGTGAAGTGTTTCAGTCGCGGCCACGACCCAAATGGTGTCAATGCTACATCACCCAGAGAGTGTGCTGTTCTCTGTCCAGCATGTCCACAGCCGGGTAAGAACCTACCTCATGGTTGGGAAGATGTCACAAAGGCCAAATGGTATGTGGCCGCAAATCGATGGCTTGATGAGGGGCTAACATGTTCAGGTGGCTATATGCAATTTTTGTTGCGATCGATGCAAACTTTCGATTGAAGAGACACAATGTATCGAGCAATAAAGTAGACCCAAGCCTTGCAAAAGGCTGGGCATATTTTGTGGAGGAAACAGAATACAAGGCCTTTCTGGGACAATGCCTTGGAGATGAGCAGGAGGTACATTACATAGTCCACTTAGTTCGTGTTTATTCACACTGTCCTGCAGAAAAGCATGTGTTCGAGTCATAACACTGTCAACATGGCTGATACGAAGCTGTCACAAGGGCTCGCAGCTACAGGCATGGGCACAGTCGACTGTGCCTGTCATAATATGAAACGACCAAATGGAGTCGGAGATTTGCAGAAAGGTGAAAAGTACGTTGTTTTTTCTGTCACTTATTTATTTCATGTCTCATCACGCATTCAACAGATATATCAACATGGACTATCTCTTTTTTTCTACCTTGTGCGGCACACAACTCCAAATGTTGAATGTGTCATATGACATCGCATGCCAATGGCACAAACACCTATGGGCAAGGATGAAATTCTTGCCACAATCTCATGCTTTGGACTAGGAGCCTCCCTCCTCCTTAAGATGAGAGATGCCCTCACTGAGAGGGCTGAACACGAAATGTCATTCAAAGAATTCAACACCGCTATTACTACTGACCATTGTTTGGCGTGGTTAGCAGAGATGGAGGCTTGGGAAGACAACCCCAATGATACGACTGTCCCTAATCCCCTCGAGGCAAAAGCTACATGTGAGTACGGTGTTTTGTTCTATGGATCTCGGGGGCTAACGATCATGTAGCCATCATGCAAGCAGGCGCACGGCTAAAGCTTGCTGAGTTGGAGGCTGAGGAACTTCAGCGAGGCATTGACACTTCTTTGCATCCGGAAATATCACGCAGTGTACTCGTTGCCTCCGGCATAGACCTTGAAGAGGAACAGTGAGTCATCTCATATTGTCATGCATACACTAATTAATTTTGCAAGGCGTTGTTTGACCACTGCTGTGGAATCCCTGGGTCTCCATGCTACTGATACACAAAAAGGCACCATTGTGCGAATGCGCAACTCGCTTCGCCATAAAATTGAGATGTGGAGACGTGCGCAGGTCCTCTACCTCCCCGCTGTCCAAATCATTATCAATCATGCAGCACATGAAGTTTAAGAGAGTGCTGAATGCATGACGCTATGGCTACCTTCCCAACTGAAAGACAAACCGTGTGATCCGCGCCTGCAACATGATGAGTGGGAATTACGCTATGCTCAGGCCCATGACGCGCTCGAGGAAATCTGTCAGTGCTTGCGGATTCATTGCTCTCTGCTATCATTCAAGAGAGAGTGGGTCTGTGGTCAAGGTGCAAACATGCGAGCTCAGAGCACTCTTGCTCGCGTCCATTCAAGGCGCACTGCATGCGTAAAGCGATACCAGTTGGCATGGGTGGCACTCAAGGCTCTAGCTACGGTGCTGAAGAAGAAAGACTGGCAGGTAAAGTTGCAGGAGTTGACAGATGCTGACATCAAGCCCATCGTGGATCCGTTCGATACTGGTGAAGGGAGACGTCATGTGTCGTGGATCTGGATGATGGACGGTGTCGATTGTGATGATGAAGGCGATAATGATGGTATGTTTTGATTTGATCCATCCTTTCAGGAGCTGATGCACTGCAAGGCATCCACATTGAGTGGTGTAAGAGCCGTGCGAGGGCATTGTGGTGGTCAGAAGAGGTTGAGCTGTTGAGGGAAGAGATGCGCAGGGTGCTTGAGTTTTTCGCTTGGCAGGCAGCATGGTGGGATGAACAGGGAAAGCGGTACATCGGGGAGTGTACTGCGCACACCGAAGGCCTGCGAACATATGCTGCCTGACAGGCTGACCTCCGTCATAGGCTGGCCGTCCATTTTTGCACACTGTGGTCACCTTACCTTTTGCCTCAAGCCATCCCCATCAACCCGCCATCTCAGTCGTCTGTGCTGTCATTACCGGACCTCACCATACCCGATATCCCCTAGCTTCCATGTGCCTGCCAATTGATCATACCTTCTGATGCTTCTGTCTACACAGTGTACCTTATATTACGCACATTGCTCAATGTCATGTTCACCGGCTTTCATTGACTGTTTGAGCCTTAAGTTGCCGCAAACTTGCCGGCACCATCTGAGATCTGACAACAATACATACAAGAGGCAGGCTTAGACTGACAGGTACTGTCTGCTAGTGAGCATATTGTCATGCATCATATTACATGCTAACGAGCAACGTTAATGCATGAGTTCACTCTTCTAAGTAGCAGACTTAATGCATTACTATGCCATGGACTGGTGCAGAGGGTTCGCATTGTCAATCATGTGGAATGGAAACACCGAGCCCAGAGACACTCGTCAATTTGCTTCGCTTCAGTTTCACTTTCCATGAGGTTGCATCAAAACTGAGGATGCCATCAGCGAATTCATGAGTTGGCGATATTGTAGCCATGATGATTATAGAAATATATAATTCTGCTTCTACCAAATATATCTATTTATATGCCAATAAATTTGACTTGCTAGTACATATGTATGGATGAATGCAAATCTATGCTACACTGAGGAATTAGTGACAACATTAGGACATTGGGACATCCCCACCAGTAAGGGACCATGGAGAAATTGTGTTGAAGTTGTTAAACATGTTCACCTACTGTAATTTAATTCTTCAATGACAAACCTATTTATGACTTTATCATGGAAAGTAGCACTAGCAGTGGACATCAGATATATATTAACATTGGAGTCTGCAGCAACACTATGACATTGTACAATTACAGCAGAAAAGTGAATGGTGGGCAATTGTGCCTGGTCTGCCAAGCATCTGCATTTTTCCATCATGCGTGTTTTCATTACCTGACAATGGATACGTATGTAATACGTGTAATATTGCTACAGTACTGGAACACAATATAAAATTTTCCAATGCAAAATGACTTTCGCACTGGTCAACAAATTTAGACCAGTTCTCGATGAAGGTGTGGCAGCTGGCCTACACAATATCGCGGGGATTTTCTCTTCAACCCAAGCAAGGTCTTAGAGATATTTCAGAAGTTCACCATGATACAGATTGGTCGCAAGTGCAAAAACTGGAAACAGAATTGAATACCCTCCTCCTAGTTCTACCGAAATTATGCTAGATCGATCAGAATCGTGCCCATAAGTATATACAGCATGTAAAAGTCCTACAGTGTTCCGTTGTCCTCCAGAGATATCATGATAGTGTATAGCCCTTGTTGTTCTGCCGTTTGAATCACTGTGTCAAGTTTCTGTAGTCACAGGCACCCAGGACACGTCACATCCGCATCCTTCCACTGAAGACAAGCATCCCCGAGACGGACGATTAAGGAGTTGCAATGTGGGGAAGTGAAAGGCAATTCGGTGCCATCGCAGCTGGCTTGCACCATCGAAAAAAGACGCCAGTTAGTAGAAGTCACAGAACGAGTATGATCATACTCACCTGCACACGCTGCAGCCTTTCGACAAGTATCTCCGAGACGGACGATTAAGGAGTTGCAATGTGGAGAAGTGAAAGGCAATTCGGTGCCATCGTGGCTGGCTTGCACCATCGAAAAAAGACACCAGTGAGTAAAAGTCAGAATGAGTATGATTATACTCACCTGCACATGCTGCAGCCTTTCGACAAGTATCTCCGAGACGGACGATATTGTGTAGGCCAGCTGCCACACCTTCATCGAGAACTGGTCTAAATTTGTTGACCAGTGCGAAAGGTTGCAATGTGGAGAAGTGAAAGGCAATTTGGTGCCATCACGGCTGGCTTGCACCATTGAAAAAAGACGCCAGTGAGTAAAAGTCACAGAATGAGTATGACAATACTCACCTACACACGCTGCATCCTTTTTCTGATATTTGTAGTGCTCTGTATTAGTTACTATGTATTCTCAGAGTGAATGCAAAGAACTGACCTTCTTGATGTGAGCTGACATAGTATCATGTTCCAAGCGCTGGTGACTATGCGACAGTGAACGTAACATCAGGAATTCAACAAGCAAGGGTTTGGCCAGTGCTAACTGCGGATGATTCGTGGAGCGCACGACCCTCACAAAGGTGAACCGCTAGTACAAGAGACTTACCCAAATTGATTGTTCATCTGGAAAATGCCAGGGATATTTTAAATATATCGCTATCCAAATCGGGATGTTTCTCCTGGACATGATCAATGATTCCATAATGCAGGTATGTATTCATTCACTTTTGATTCGATTTTCTATCTACAAACTCTAGTACTAGTATGAACAACGATAATTACAACAATGCCAATGGAGCCAGAAACCAAAATCATGAGGTGTGTCAATGATGTTCTGACATCGGCTACTCAACGATAATCAATAACCAACAGATTCCTCGACACTTTCTCCAACACGCACCGAGGCCTTGGGAGGTCAGATTTATGTTGACGGACAGGCAGTTGGTAAGTGATATACTTATTTTGAAGCTGACATGCTGACACGCTGACATCGTTAAGGAATTGATGTATGTCATTTGGGCTGCCGCGCGAGGCCGCGTGTGCCAGCAAGTGTATCATCTGGAATTGCCGATCCCTCCCTATCCATTACCTCCGGTCTGGCCAGATGACATATGGGCAATGGTGATCCTATGGGTTGCAAGGGAGCGCCGGATGTTTGAAATGGAGATGATCGAGCTCAAGTATATCCTGGGCCTCAGGGTTTGTGCACGTTAAGTACTTATAGGTAAGCCGTTTTCAAACTAAAAAAAATCTGAATGGACTTAGGAGTTTTCAGACCAGGCAAAGAGAGCATCGAAGAGTCTAGGAGACCGAAAGTATGATTCAGCAGCTGCAGAGATTGGTGATACGAGATGTACTTACTCTGGATTTCCCATGCAAACTGTACAAAATTATTATTCCAGCGGACGTTAATAGTCTTGAGTTGGTTTTGCCTGAAGGAGGTCAGCCAACACACGCTCTTCAAGGCCCAAATTACCTTGAGGTTAACGTATTATTGAGATAATCAGTGGCGCAGAGAGAGTGAACGATCCTCAATAGCAAGAGACATCCATGGCAATTGCAAGTGTATTGATGGGCGAGGATGGCCAAGGGCAACTGTAATTGGCAGAGGAATATGCAAGGCATCAGCAACCTCCGCACCATACATATCCCGTCCAGAAAGTATCAGAATTGCTGAGGACATCAGCGGGTATGGTTGTGACATTCTCCCAACTCGTCCAGTTAGACCAACTCAGTGTGAAGTCACCTAAGTACCTGAACATATCCACTCCATAGGTACAGTGCGTGAATGTGTACTGGCCGTCAGTGTAGTTGAAATCTGTGTTATCATAATCAGACTCGGGGAACACCATGACATTGTTCCCTTTGCCCTTGCGCAGCACGAGATGGTCTATGCTCTACGGACCATGAGCAAAACACAACAGAGTACAGAAAAAAACAGACACACTCTAGTAGATAGTGTCCCATCAAATGATGTTGGATTGTTAACAATAATGTCCAAAATCCCATCCGGAACATCAGTCAATGTACCAGACCATGACCACTGCGAGTACGGAGTTCTGGCAACGGATGACATGGTGGGATTCGTGACAGCATTGCATATCACTGAAGTCAGGTTGAGCATAGGCTGCCCACCAATGCCAGAAGACAACATGTTGAATGACAAACTCTGTGTGACGCTATCACATGACAGATTTACATTGAACTCCAGCACGAGCTCCACAATCATAGTGTTTGGCTCTCCCTGCATGACTTTGATGCGCGCATCATGCCCAGGCAGGAACTTGGTGAGCATAGGGGGGGCAGGGACCCACTTGCTGATAGGAACCAAAGCCTTGAAGCCGAACATGTCCATCTCCACCATCTGGAGACACCCATACCATGGTCTCAATTGGTATCAGTGGTGAGTGAAATAGTGACTGACAGGTATAGGGACCCAAAGGTGTCACTGCCAGTGACTTCACTGGTGATATAAAAGTTCTTCTTTCCAAGATTAGTGGCACAAGCACGAGTTGCAGATGCCCAAGCGGTTAGGCCATCGACGGTGAGCTGTGTGGACTTGTCGACACAAATGGCATCGATATCAAGGGCTGGGGTGGTCATGCAGGAGAAGGTAGTGAGTTTGTCCATAACAGAAGGCTTCCATTCGTGGAGACGGTCCTGTACAGATGCAAATTTGGAAAGCTGACACTGCCAGGCAGGTGAAGACCGAAAGCGTCCATGTCACCATATTGGTCAAAGTCAGACTTGTAACAACCGTCATGTCCCATTACAGGCTGGATTGTTCCATCATCTTGCCAAAAGACGGGGCACTGGCATTGACATAACTGGTGTGAGTGAGTGAGCAAGTAATTGTAGTTGGTGGATAGGGTGAACAAACCCTTCAGAACCGAGAAGGTCGGACATGGTTCCGACTGGGAAATCCAACATGATATACATGCCGCGTGTGTGTAGGATGTCGACAAAGTTTACCCAATCATCAATAGTACCTCAATAAGGATCCAAAACGGAGAAGTCAAGAGGAGAATAACCTAAAGGTGAGTTGTAAATGAGATTGAGATAAGGACATACTATCAGCTTGCCATATCATGTTCAAGAATATTGTACCTGAGAGATATATGGCCTTGATGCCCATGCCTTGGATGTAGTCCAATTTCGAGATTAGACCTTTGAGGTCACTGCCAAAATGAAGTTGGGTTTCTATCCAATCCCATTCGTATGGGGAGTTGAAGAACTGATTATTTGAAGGGTCACCATCGGCAAACTTGTCCATAAGGACAGTGTACATTGGGATTGAACACCAGTTCTATGGAGAAGGAGTGCAGGTGGTGTTTGATCTTGTGGTTGAATAATCTATAGGAGGCTGGGCAGATTGGTTTACATTGAGATTGTAGGATGTCAGGTCTGGATGATAAGGGGAAGCACATATGAATGAAGAAAAGCATAGTGATGAAGCAAGGGCAGTTATGAACCGCATCTTGGACCACTTTGAGAAAGGAATGGTAGAAAAAATGATTGACAAGGATGGTGGTTTCTAGTTGGGGATTCCAGGGAGAGACAGTAATCGTAGAAAAGAAGAGGGAAACTGCATTATACATTGGAAACCTGCTGAAGAACGGCGAGAGACACTAAAGCCAATAAGGCAGAGATTAGCGAGACAAAACAATCAATACTAAAATCAGGGTACAGTTAACAGAAGAGCTGACCGGTCTTGGTCCAAGGTTTCTCCATGAGTTGTATGTAGTATCGCTCGTGAGCCTTGTGCAATTGACGAATCTTCTCGTCAAGTGAACACTCCGAGAAAAATGTCTGTATAGATGAATGAAAACCAGTGAGGAAGAAGGGCCAGATGATGTGGGCGCTTACCTTGGTCAAGTTGACGTTCTCTGGGTTCACTGTCCAAATCGCTCCAGTCCTAAGGCTTTCCTTCACAGGTTCATCAACGTCTAATAGGAAAAACGGTGCAAGGGATCGAAAAACGCAGTGCATGACTTGAAGAGAGTGCTGAGATGGTGTGATTGGTTGTCACCTGGCCAGTCAGCTACATCAAATACCAAGCTTTTGAACAAAAGAAAGCCTATTCAAAAGCTTTACCTCCAGGAAACTCTAGTAAGACCAATCACGAGAAAATACAATGAGTGCTTTGTATGGATCCTTCAAGTTAGTTACTAGTAGTAAAGCTTTTAACATCACTACAAGATGTTACACAATCTGTTACTACTGTAATAGGTGTCTATCTGGCAGAAATTACTTTGAATCGGATAACAACTTGCACATAGTGACATTCGATTGACTTGACTCACTCGTTTCTGAGTTACGATCATGCCATTGATTGACCAGACATCACATTTGAAGTTTGCTGAAGCTCGTATTACAGCACACGTACATTATGTTGAACGGAGGGAATCTAAAAAGATAAGTCGTCATCGTCATCATCATCCACATCCTCTTCGCCGTCGTTCGAGTCTCCATCTTCCATTTTGTCATCACTAATCTCTTTATCACTCTCCTCTTCTGTATCGCTGCATCCTGCATAACGCTCTTCGTCACTGCTACTTTCGTAGTCCCTCTCTGCTTCATTGCTGTTGCTTACAATGGTAGTACCTCATGACTCGAACCCGAGACAATCTTTGACCATGTTCCACAGCACAGCCGGATGACCAACACCAAGGTGAGTATACCGCATAAACATATCCCGATCCACAAATCTGTCCTGAATATTAAGAATCAATGGACCATAGGAGTAGATATATTTGCTCATGTGCTAACACAGAAAACTTCCCAATCATCTAACTCCCCTTCAGGACGCGCCAACGATCGTCCGTGGCGAAGAGAGCTGACACCATGACCTGAAGCAAAGGCAGGAATCAAATGCGCACCTCGAATCACCTGCCCTGGATCAAGAAAACCGAATGCATCTGGATCTGACTCATCCACAAAGGCAACCTTGGGAAGACATGCATGTCTCGTGCCAGATTTATGATTTCATACAGGGGCCAGCCATCTGACCCACAGAACCTCGAGGTGCTGCTTCACAGGTTTGCCCCCATCATTGAGCCAGGTTTCCATATGAAAGATACCTAAAACACGAGCATACCAATATGGGTGCGTCGGTGTTGTCTCACCTGAAAGCACCATGACATCGGGATGTGTCCCAGGGTTGATGGTGTCATACTCACGCCTCATGTCATACGTGGTGTAATGTACTTGCATGGTGTGGACGGAGTAGATAGTGTCATTAGGAATGATTACTGAGTTATGCTCTTCATCTGTGAAGGTATGGTCGCAAAATCTGATGTCTAACTTGCGCAGCCTGTAAAGGACATGGTCCTTTAGTTTCAGTATGAATCTCTGGAAACCTTCATAAGTATGTGTTTAAGATATCACAACTCCACTTCTACCTTGAGAGCTGGGTCATCATCATACTCTCGGAGGAGCGTGAATAGAGCGACTGGTTTGTTCCGACAGCATGCAATATGATGATGCTTGCCAGGGGAGGAGGGATCAACTGGTGATTGACTGATGGACGGGGATATGCCTGATGCCTCTGCCACCTGTCGAAGTACACGGCGCCTGCGTTCATGTTTACTTAGCTGTGCTGGAGTGTCTATTTTGTTGGCCAGTGGATAGAACGCCTTAAGGGCTCAGTGTGCAAGCTCCCCCTGTACAAAGGTTTTAGGTGTATAATAGAAGAAATATCGTTGATACTAGTAGTGTCATGGCTCGGTTTTGGCCGGTCCGGTCTCGGCTGTTACCAACTTCCCAGCAGTTCAGCTATTCCCATGAACCAAGTCACTCATGTGCGACTTGGTCTGGTCCGCAAGGCACCTAAACCGGCACCAGATAGCACAAGCCAAGAATGTGGGAACAACGGCTTGAGCCAGCCTCAAGCCAGCTGAAGGGGGTTGTGTGGCGAACTCATTTTCAGGATTTCTCCAACTTCCCTCTCCCCATTGTCCCCACTATTCAGTTGGATTCACTGTAAGTTACCATGAATAAGGTCCTGGTTCGAGTAGATGGTAGATTTAGGCTGGGAGAGGTTTTAGGATCTGGCTCCTATGGTATGTAGTAATGTATTCAAATTTATTGTTCACATTATATAGTACAACTTAGCTGTCATGTATTCTGCACAGAATATCATCAATGATGATAATGTTGCCCTCAAACTCGAAACCGTTGTCAACCACTCATCTTCTGTGGAGCGTGAATACTGGATTTTGAAACAACTTGAAGGCGGAGTTGGCATCCCCCGCACCCTCTGGTTTGGTAGAGAGTCAGTGTATCATGCTCTTGTTCTCGAACACCTTGGGCCATCGCTCCACCAACTCTTCCTCGTGAACAATTGAAGATTCAGCCTTCTCAATGTTGTAAATCTAGGAGTCCAGTTGGTCAGTCGTTCCATTTGAGGTCTTTGTAGATAGGTCGACTGACTTTCCTAGCTCTCACGTCTTGAATATATTTACTCGCACAACTACGTTCACGGCGACATCAAACCACAGAACATCTGCACCATACCATCATCTCACTCACCCAGAATACTATATATCTTGCCATCATGTTTGCTCATGCTGATCAAACATGTGGTCGATGATCGATGATTGCCAAGGTGAGGGTCTCAGCACTTATGGTTATTCACCACCAAAGTTTTGAACCACTTTCACACAGGCAGCCACTGATCAGGCAACTATCGCAATTGTACTTCTTGTGCAAGGTAATTGATTCATCCAACCAATTCTTATTGTATTGATCATAAAATTGTACTCTGTGCTGTGTGGTGATTAAAATTTAGGAGTGGTAGTCACTGATCTGCACCTACATGCAAGGCTGCAGGGGGGACCTTTTCCTAATGTATCGCTAACCTTTTGGTGGAACTGCCTTGTGATCTGGCTTCGCAATTGAAACCCTGAAGATGAAGGTAAGCTGTTTGTTACTCAAGCTATCTATCTGATCACGGTGATATAGAGAACCACATGGAGCCAATTCACTTCAGGTATGTCCTTCATTGAGTGAGATTTCCCCCACCCTCACCTCCACCAAATTATAGCGGTTTGCGAGCATTCATTGACGGAAATCAGATGAAGAAGACCAATTGCGCCCACACCCTGTCACTGGCCAGTCATCCGACAGGCGCCAAACTCGTGTGTCGCACTTTACTGTTTGCTTCTCGCTCTCAGATGTAAATGACTCAATTCTCACATCGGCTTTGGCCTATATGACTTCTCGTGCATGTTGTTGTTTTCTGGGGTTTCCCGGAAAGAACACACCTATATAGACAGACGGTTCTGTCATTCGAATGTCACCACTACTACCACAAATGCCACCTCATCAACGTGGGCAGAACAAGGCCTGGGCAGCTGATGTTGACGCTGTTATCCCCACTGCCTCTGCTGCTATCCCTGCTGCATCCGCTATCCTCGCTGCCATCCCCACTCCCGTTGCTGTCCCCGCGGCTATCCAAGCTGCTATTCCTGCTGCTGCTGCAGCAAATGCTACTACTCTTCAAAACCCACGTCGGCGACAACTTCCTGTTAGATACAGAACCGATGCAGCTTGTGCTGGTCCAGATGAGGGTGAAGTCTTCGACCTGGACAATATTTCAGGGGATGAAGAGGAACCGGGCAATCTTCCTGCACCCACCGCTGTGGCACCTGCAGGCTTTAATTCAAGCCCACTCCAGACTGTCACCAGCACCGTCCACACAGACCCTTTGGTGACCGGCAACCTCAAGCAGACTAAAGGGCCGACTGATATAAGTCACTTCTACCAGATTGATACCGACACCAAGAGCAAAACCTGTATTGCTTGCGAGTAAGTATCTTATCTGCAATCTTTTGTTGTTTCTCACGCCCTTCACCAGAACACTTCATGAAATCGACGCAACGCACAAGGTCATGGTATACGCAGGCTCAACGTCCAGCTCAGCTCCCCATACACATGCTTTCACTCACCACACCGAACTTTATCTCGAAGCAGCCGAGCGTTTTGGCTGGCGCATACAGATCAAGGATCTAAATGAACGCCTTGCTGAAGGGTGGTCATTGACGACGATTCACGAACGGCTCAAGAAATCACCTTGCACAATGCAATTGCTTGGTCCTCCCCCTAACCAGGGATCTGGTGCCTTGCTGGTAGGAACAAGCTCTCCAGAAGACCGAATTCCGGACTTCACGCTTGACGAAATGCATCGTCAAATTGTGAAGTTTATTGTCGCGGATGATCAAGTGAGTCGCAGTTCATGCCTACAGCCACCATTAATAATTGCCCCCAGGCAATAGACATAATTGAGTGCCCTGAATTCAGGCGCCTCATCCGTCTCCTCCGCCCAGAAATTGGCGAGTCTGGCCTATTTCACCGCATGAAGGCTCGCGAAATGGTCATCGAGCAATGGCAGGAATACTTTGTGGCCTTGAAGCAGGATCTTGCCGTAAGTGCATAGTTGCCAAGCCTCATACGAAGTACCTTATTTCTTTTAGAATGCGCAGGGAAAAGTCTGCTTTACATCTGATCTGTGGTCAGATATAAAGCTCCGGCCTTTTATGGCTGTTACGGCTCACTGGATTGCCAGGGCCAATCAAGATTCAATGCTCGTGTTAAAGACCGCCCTCATTGCTTTCCACCACGTTCCCGGCAACCATGATGGCCAATCTCTCGGTTCTATGATCCTATATCTCCTCGATCGTGCAGAAACTGCAGCCAAGGTCAGTACTTATCTCTATTGTGTCGCATGCTCTGACATTGTTCAGACTGGACATTTTACTCTTGACAACGCAGGCAACAATCACACCGTGATGCAGGAGCTTTCCAGCCTGCTTGGTGAATGCGGGATCGAGTTTGATCCTATTGAACACAGGATACTGTGTTTCCCGCACGTGATAAACATATGCATGAAGCACATCATCGATAAATATTCTACTGCCGATTATTCCACTGTGGACGATACATGGATAGTCGAAGATCAGATCATCAAGAAAGTCGATTATGTCCAGGCTGTGGAGGCAAAGCCTCTCGAGCGAGCCAGGCACATCGTGCGATTGGTCTGCGCATCAAACCAGCGGCGTGACAGGTTTCGTGAGACCATCGTTAGGGGTAATGAGGGAGGGTGGTTTTGAGATGACAATGGCGAGCTTACACAGCTCCCGGTCATAGAACTCCTCCTCGATGAGCCTACTAGATGGGATTCCGTCTATGTTATGATCAACCGTTTGTGGACACTGCGCCAGGTAAGATTTCGCACCGTTAAACATATGTTGTAGACTAATACTGGCCCAGGCAGTAACCACCTTTTTCGATGCTTGGGCTCAATGTAGCATATCCGATAAAAAATTTTGTGAGATGGATTGGCAGTTCCTCCAGGACCTGGAAGTGATCTTGGAGGTAAGTACTAATGCATTCAAACTTTGAAGTCTGTGATCTAATTTACCATTTCATACCAGGCACCCCACACCACCCAGCAAAAACTCTCCAGTGAACGCACTCCCGTGCTCAGCCATGCCATTCCAACTTTTGAAGAGTTGGTTGATGGCTGGGAGTCTATTGGCCTGCACGCACCTCACTGTAAGCCTATCGTTGACATAGGCTTATTCTGGGCGAGCAAATACACCGACCAGATGGGTGCAACTCATGCTTATTCTGTCGCTATGTGTCAGTCCCGTCTTTTGTCCTAATAAATGCTGATTTCATGATCACTTTTGTAGTCATTGATCCTGCGATGCGGATGTTTTGGATGGACAGTCAATGGAAGAAGGACCGTGTTGATGACACAAAGGAGTTTATATTGAAGCTGGTATGTCTCTGTAGTAAACAAAAGCACAACATTGGATAGACTCATTCCGCAGATGCAGAGTAAGAGAGCGGAAAACTCTACGCATTCTCAACCTGTAGTGGTTCCATGAATGGTGGTACGCACACTAGGCTCACGTCGCTATGGACTTCCCAGGGCGCATGCACATGTGCATCACCACGACGGTGGCCAAACGATAGATCAAGAATTCACAGCATATGCTACGGCTACACTTAGTCCTCATGGAACGGATATACTTTCATTTTGGAATGTGAGTCCATTCCTTCAAGGCACACCCTATGTTATTGACCACGAGCTATTGACTAGGCTTCACAGTCCATGTTCCCCACTATATACTTGGTTGCTATGGAATACGCCCCAGTACAAGCCTCTGTGGTGCCGTGTGAACGGGTATTTTCATCAAGTAGCAAAACCCATATGAAAAAAAGGAATCGCCTCAGCCCCGTTTTGATGGAAGCATTACAGATGGTCAAGTTTTTCCTGAAGAAAGAACAGCTTGACTTTACGAAAGGCTGGGCAGCCTCTCAATGGGACATGGAACATGGGGTAGTATACGACCGAGGCTCTAATGAGCAGTTGACAGCCACCGCCAGCGCAAATGACGCTCTTCTCAGAGCCATTGCTGAGGAGGAATGTGACAATATCGAGGACACTGCTATGATTTACGACAAGTGACGCTTACTTCTTATTTGACTTTTTCATCTGTCATCTGCTATTTCGCCTCTCGCCTTTTGTTCACACTATCTTGCTCTTTGTTGTGCTGGTTTTGATTTCAATTGTTTATTTATTTCTCACAAGCCACACAGTGTGCGCCTCTGACTTCAACCCTCCAGCAAGGAGTTTTAGGACGTGCTCTTGAGACCATGGGCGGTGTTTTTACCAAGCTCATTCCCCGCAACACAGACTCGCTGCATCTGTATGATTACGGCTCGATCATCATCGCACTGCTCCAAGGAAAGGCTGGCACCTGACTATATCCCCACAGCAGATTTGGGATGCTGTCCAACGGCACAACACCGGCGGTCACAATGCCCTAATGGCAAGGGAGTCTGTAAGTTACACTCCTTTCCATCAGCACATTACCTCTCATCATTTGCTAGCCTTCTTCATGCGAAAGGGCGCCGACTGCCTGTCAAAATGGGTCGGTGAGGCTGAATGCCAACTTCGTCTTCTGTTCGAGGAAGCACAGAACTGCCAACTGAGTATCATCTTCTTTGATGAAATTGATGGATTAGCACCCGTCCAGTCATCGAAGCAGGATCAGATCCATGCTTTGATTATCTCAACACTTCTTGCATTGATGGACAGTATGGATGGACATGGTCAGGTAATAGTCATAGGCACCACCAACCGTCCAGATGCCATCAACCCTGCGCTATGAAGACCTGGTCGATTTGACAGGGAGTTTTACTTTCCCCTTCCATCTCTGGAGGCTCGTGAACGTATTTTGATGATTAGAGAATATCAAGGGACTTGCAAAGTTCACGAAGGGCTACGGTGGTGCTGATCTTCGGGTATGTGAATACAACTGCATATGCTGGTCATGATACTCACCTAGCTACAGGCCTTGTGCACAGAGGCAGCCTTGAATGCTATTCAACGGTGATATCCTCAAATATACCAGTCCAGTGACCGACTTCTCCTCAAGCCTGAGACTATTGGTGTCACATTCAGAGACTTCATGATCTCCATTAAAAGTATGTTTTGCAATCATACAATACAGATTGTTAAAACTGATGTCGCACCTTTAGAGCTCATCCCATCATCTAGAGCTCGTCCCATCATCTGCACGCTCAAGTCTGTCGTCCCTCCTTCGAACTTGAGCCACGCTGATTCCAGTCGTTACCCCCCGTTTGCAGATCATCAGTCTGTCGACCCTCCTTCGAGCACGAGCCGTGCTGCTCAGAGTCATTGCCCACCATTTGCACATACAGTGAGTCTGTCGTTTTCATTTTCGCCAGTTACAACATCAATTCATGTCTCAATCACATATCGCAAACGTCTATTCCAACATGCATATCACAAACCTCCCACCTCGACACTAATTCCCGCTACCATGACCGTGACATAAAAGCCTCTTGAAGTAACATCCCCACCTGCATCTCCAAGTCGTTTGAACGATCCTTTCCCCTTCTCCTTCTATTTCAGCAACTCTCTCAACTCTCTCAACTCCCTGCCGCCTTTCAATGGGTCTCTGCATGTTTTGCGCTGATGTGCGCTGTTCTCGTACTCTTCGTGCACAAGTAGCACTACTGTATAACTAGATACTTATTTAGTTTTTGATTGAATGTTATCGAAATCACTCACTTTGTCTTGTGGACCCATCGATATGAATAATGTGACTTGTAAATGTGAAGCGCGTTGTGAATTGGTGCGATCGACACTGCTTCTCTAAGTTCTCGTGGCGGTTCTTGAGGTTCTGAATTCTAACATCTATTTTTGGCTTATAATTTAAAAATATATCTGAGTTGGTTTTAAGCCCTTAAGTCGACTTAGCTATAACTAATCGAGCCGAGCCGGACCATAATTATACAAGCCATAACCACTTGTCAACTCAGCTATTTATAGCTCGGGCCGCGGCTAGAACCGGCAACAAGCCGGAGCCGCGGCAACACCAACAGTGCCGCGTCATAGGTGCGTCACGACCGCGGCAGGGCCGCGTCAATTTCACCTGGCCCTCATAGTGTGGCGAAGGACAAATATGGTATAAACGGGGCAACATGGCACCGAATCATCGATCCACTTGTGCACGTGTGAAAGGCGAGCTTAAACAAATCCGGGTCAGTCACTTTGCACTTATGATTTGCTTATGATGAGGATCCTGCAAGATTGGCTGTTGAATCGTACATCTTGGACCTTCATTCCAGTATCTAGATAAGTTCTAACACAACTCAGAGGACGACGGCCGGCAAAGTGGTATCCTTTTGTGCGGCTTAGAGGAGCTCAACACCATGTGTTTGATTTTGAAATACACAACTATGCCGCAATTCACTAAACGATAGACCAAGCAACATCCTGGGACCCCATGCCTATCGCGGCTTCCTTCATCCTAAATAATGTGAGTCTAGTGCTTTTTCGACCTGCAAGGAAAACGACTCTGAGCTGTAATACAGTATGCAAGACAAGTACTCTTTCCACGGAGGGCTAGATCCTCCGAGGTGTCTTCTGCATTGGCCGCCACCCGCGGCGGTTCACAATATTCATATATCAACACGTGGACTCACTATTACATTGGCCTTGCGTACAACGCAGTCATATTATCCATCTTCGCCACTTAGGATGCATTCAATGGTGTGTTTATTAAATTCTGGATCGTTTATCCGATGACCCTGGAGCACTATGAGGTTATGAATAGACTCACATCGCGACGCCCTACCATTCGCCAGGCATCACTATTTTGCCAATTTGATCTAAGGACTGCCAAGGTCACGTTCCTAGTATGCGTAGGATATAAAGGTCAGGCTGCATCTCACCGTGTCTACTCACTTCAAAGCCATCATTCGAGATCAAATCGCGTATCAGAAATGCATTTCTCCGCCCTCGCTGTTATTGCTGCTTTGACGATATCTTTCCCTGCCAGTGTTAGTTCATGCAGCAACCTAAACCAGGCTTGCAATGTCACCACGGATTGCTGCGGTAACTTTTATACTTGTAGGGGGGTGAGTATGGATCGTTTGTTTCATTCGGCATCATGGCTCACCCTTTGTAATACTCATAGGGAACCTGTCAGTACACCTCTGAAGAGTAGTTGCAGCCAGAGTTACTGACACGTCGCAACAGTGAGTCATATCCCTGTCTTCTAATTCATGATGCCATGACTGACGGCACAACATATAGTTTGTTGATGGGTCGGTGAAGGTTCTGTGCAGGGCTAAACAATGAACTTTGGATAAGGGAAAATATTTACTGTTGTACCAAGGAATGACTCGCAACTGGGAAAGTGAAGCTGTGAGACAGTTATCTTCCTTAATGTCAGACCAGACGCCTTTGTCAAGCTGCACCATCCTGATATTTTACTCCGGAGTTGAGCTACCCAGTAAGATACGAGCAACGAATGCGCGGTTCCACAGACTGGCTCTTCATGGAGACCAGGTTCTAGAAACCTGACAAGTTCACAACGGTGGAATTCCTACACGAGTAAGCTTGAAAGAGCAGTCCTATAACACCTTCGAGTGCTTTCTACTCATGGCCGGCTTCCCCACCAGACTCGCCTTCATTGCATGTAGATGCGCATAGTAAGTATCTGAGCCATCAGAGCTTACCGGAGTTTGTGAGATCAGAAAGATAGCAGGCTGCCCACAGGGCGCCGGCGCTTGCTGGCGTGTCACAAGCAGCTAGTAGAAGGGAAAAGAAGCCACGTGTTGAGTACTGGCAGCCCTGCACGAAGTCCTTATCGAATCCCAACCCTACAATTCGTGGTAGAATTCCAATCATTGTGAAGGCCCTACACCTGATATCCCTCGCTGCTTGGACATCGTTTACAGAGGTTGGTGCTGTCGCACTCGAAAATGAGTTCCTTGATAACTAGTCTTTCCATATTCCCAACGTCATGCTCCGTAAGATCTTACTCGACTCGTCTATTCCATGTCAGATAACGCTGTGGAAGCCAATCTGGCTCCTTCCACTCTTTATCAGAAATCTCAGCCAGAATCATTTGCGCAAGGACTTCGGCGCTGGAAACCATGTCATTTATGGATTGATTTAGCTGTACAATGTAAGACTTACCATCCAAATGCGCGCGGCATTCCATGACCGGCATATCCTGCGGCGATGTACTGTTTCCTATACAGCTCTCTCTCTGGATCGGCTACGAGTAGGTCTGTTACAGACCCAACCTGGCGAGGGACACATCAACCACAGTAGTTGTAAAAGTCGCTTGGACGTACAAACGGGTCCCCCGTCCTCGTGAAGCCCATAATACCAGTCTAAACCCTCGTCAGGGATATCTTCACCCATGTAAAAAGAGTACCTACCCATTCCATCTCAGGCTCCGAAAGGGGGTCATATTTACCTTCGAATATAGATGGTAAGAACTCGCGAAGCACCTTCCCAACGAGAGGGTGCGTTTCAGAGTCATCGTCCACATATAGCTCGTATTGGGGTCCCACAGCTTCCCGGCCACCACCAATGATGATCAATGGTTTTTCAGTGTCGTGCTTTACGGGTCGGGGGAACCAGTATGCAAATCCCTAAAAGAGATATTAGTCGCGACAAGACAGGCTAGGATGGAATGGCTTACTTCGTTTCCGCTCCAGCTCGGTATCTTAATTTGATCTATACCGACAGAAGCACGGGTGGCTATTACTTGTCCCCGAGTTGGTATAATTCCATCTGGACCCGCGAGGAAAGGAAGGAGATAAGAGGCGTACGCATTCGTGGCATGGACAACGCGGGAGCACGATATGCTACCCCTGTTCGTCACGACTGTAGAAGTGGATGAATTGTCGGTCGTTTCATGTGTGACTGCAGTCACCGGCGTTCGAGTGTGCAAGCTTAGAGAGGCGTATTGTCCAGCGTGTGCTTGAGCATGCTGGTACAGCTTCGTGACGAGTTTCAGTGGCCAGACATTATTTCCTGGCTCGCGGAATCCTGAGTAAGGTGCACCATATTCCTGGTAATGAGCGGGCTGAATCAGACTATCAAGATTATGACTAGCGAGAACAAGCACCTCCTCGAGTTCCTCCTTCGAGAGCCATTCCACACCATCTAGATTGAGCTGCGCTTGACGTGCCGTGTCGAAGTCTTTGTGCGCGTTTTCTGCTTCCTTCTCTGTGAACAAGAGGTTTATGTGTCCACCTTCTACTAGGTCAACATCGCTTGCCCAGCCATTCTCCTCTATTATTTGGACAAGCAGAGAAGCGGTGTGTTGTTCGAGTTTATATGACTTGATGGCCTCGACCGTGTCGAATAATGCCTGACGCTGAGCAAACTCGAGGAAAGCGGCCGGCGTAAGATGTCCACCATTCCTTCCTGCGAACAATATTCTCCGCACGAGGAACTAAAAAAACACGTAGTACTCCACGTACCAGTCGCTCCTGAGCCTGGAACGAGTCAGTACAGTACGATAAACTCACGATAAGCATGGGACAGACTAACAGAAATCTCTTGCCTCGAGTATCACGATGCTGAGCGGGTGTTTGACAGAAAGCGAGGCATTATTCAAGAGTTCGATAAGGTGATACGCGACGCCAACGCCAGTGATACCAGCCCCGATAATGCAGACGTCTGCCTTGCTAGGCAGAGGATCTTGGCTGCCTTGGCGAGCGAGTGGATTTGCATCCGGGGAGGAATCGATCCAGAAGGAGCGGGTTGGATTGCGAGATGGGAGTTTAGCAGGAGTTGGATGTTCCAATGGCGGTGTCTCGAGTACCTTCTGAGAATGTTCTAACTTACCGAGTAACTGAGGGTTAACAGGCATTATCGACCAACACAGAAGAACACAGAAGACGAGAAAGGTCTGCATCCAGTCTCTCATTTCCGTGAATCAAGTACGAAAGTCCCAAAGATAAGATAACATGACCAGGTTCTGGAGTCTGGGCCCTGGAATTCGGGGCTTTGAGGTGTCAAAACATCATGTGACGATGACTTGAGTTGTTGGTCTTTGTATGTCACTCTCCTCGTCGTGGGCGTCAAAGACTCTGAGATAAGTCTATAGCGTTCCATGGACTTGTGGTTGGCGCTCCAGAGTCTTAGGCTAGGCGTCAAAACTGTCCCGACTTCCCGACGCGTTTAGTGCGTCTATTTCTACAGTCTGCAATGACAAACGTTAATCGTCGGGGACGATGATGGGGGGTCTCCGCTTGCACTAGCTTCCCAAGAATTGCAAGGTGTTGCATAACAAAGTGCGACTCTGCCAACTTCTTCCTCCCATCCACATGTACTCACTCTCACCAAGTACGCATGAACCGAATCCACCGCATCTGCTCGTACTGATAGATCTAACTGTGTGCAACTGATTCACCCGCACGAATAACTCCGCTATGGGGTGCTACATAAACCCGAGCTCGACCTACATTTCCAAACATTCTTTCGACCCAGGCTGCCCATTTATGTGGCAATATGACACTGCCTCAAAGAGCTAGCTCGTCTCACCGTCCACAGCGCTCATTCTATCCTACACTGGCAAGCTCGACTACCTTCGGTACAGTGCCTAACGGATATGCCATCGGGTATGACGATAGTTGTGAAAAACGGCAGCTATACCTCACCCGATGGGCATACATTTAGACTGGCGAAGTCATACATTGCGCATAGCCTCATTTATTATCCTTTGGGGATGCTAGTCAAGTGGCGGTGATGTGTAACTTGGGGGCAGTTTCACGGGTATTTTTCATGGGTGTCTTGGTGAGGGTATGGTGGCGCACGACATCTGCCGCTATGAGGTGAAAAGAAATGGAATAAGTAAGATGGAGATGTTCGAAATGTCACGCTACCTGATGCCAGAAGCTACGCATGTGCTTCAACTCCCCCTGGACCTCATACGAGTGAACTCAGAGATATGCACGTGTGTCACTTTTAGTTTCTGTTCTGTCACTATTCGTTCTTCCAAAAATAGTGAATGGACGGACTCGCGCAAGTTTGAATTTGAGACGCTGACTGACAGGCCTGGAGGAGCACTCATTGTCTCGAGATGATCGAGGCGATTGATTGTCACAAATTGGTCCAGGCGAAACACGTATGAAGAGAATTCTTGACGCAGATGAAATCTATTGATATACCCAACTTTCTACAGACCAATGTTGATCCTCTCTCGTCGAGCCTATTCGACATCACATCCTGGATAGTTCTCCTCCTTTGACACTTTCGGACACCCCGAACCCCCACCCTGTAACATGCCATCATCCTGATGACCATCCAACGTGTCAAATGAGAACGATGAGCTGCTCAGCATCCAGAAAACACGTACCGCATACTCGCAGGTCATCACGTCGTCCATCTTATCCACGTAGCTGCCGGACCGTCAGTCACCCTTCTCGATGAAGATGTGAGTGTGACTTACATGCACTTCTTGGACCCGTTGTCGGAATTCTCGATCCTGACCAGCCCGTAGGTCAATACACCGTCGACATACAACACTTCTTGGCACGCTGCGCATTCCGCGTTGGCACCAGCGAGGAGGGTGAGCAGGGCAAGAATGGTGAAGCGGGAAGTGAAGATCATGGAACTTGTTGCAGTGGGCAATGCAAGGCCATAGCATGCATGCAGAGATTTTGTAGGCAGATGGCCTCACGATTTTCGCTTTCGCCTCGGGCTGTTACATGTTACTCTATGAACAAAAGTTGAGTTGATCGGTTCACAAGTTAAACCAACAACATGACGTAAAGTACATTACATAATTATGGGCGGACCGAATTAAGTAGTAGATCCACCTCAAGAGGTGTGCAATCGAGAAGTTCAAGACACTAACCTCAGAAACTTCGAAGACGCCTACGCCTACCGTGACAGCGTGACCGATCACTTAATTTATCCATATTAAGTAGTCGTCCAGCGGTGCCAAAGTGCACCGAGCATAGAATACAACGCGTAGCGTGCGTGCATGAACGTGTAAGCAGTAACAAAGCGTAGCAGCGCATAGGACAGTACAAGTAACAAGCATAAAGACAGGCAATGACAAGCAAAATCTACGTCCTGAGGTCAAGTGCACAACGAAACAGCGGCATGAACATTCGCGAGATTGGTTCGAGTCTTTTTGGAAGCCCGGGGTCAAGAGGTGTGCAAAACTAGAATATAGCACATACACCCGGAGAAACCTCAGAGGCGTCCCCCCCTCCTGTCACAGCGTGATGGTCACTGTAATTACACCATATTTGGAAGCTTAGTCACGCAATCTCAATGCAAACCAAGTCCCAGTACTGATACAAGGGAGGGGCAAACGAGCGCAAGCAAGCTACATATACATGAACGTACAGTTCGGAAAACACGTAGAAAGCATGAGTGATCTGAACATGAGATATGCAACGAGGAATAGTGAAGTGCAAAGCAAAATATCAAGCGACTGCCGAAAAACTGACTTGAAGTCTGCTAGAAGCTGCGCGAGCTTTCTTCGAGGGGCGAGAAGTACCGATCTGTGTTCCAGAACGCTTGAGTTTGCGAGAGCCTGACGCAACGGGATGATTCTCTTTGTCGTGCATGGTCACCATGGCTGGAGGAGGCGACACTTGGAAACGCTCCCGTGGAATACCTGCGGCCTTCTGCTCTAGTTCTTCGAGTTTCATCGTCAACCATACACCCTCCGGCAAAGCAGCGCCAATCTCTCTATGCCCAGGAACCGCATACTCCTCGTGTTCGGCCAGGATATGCTCCACCATGTTGTAACGCCAGACACCTTCGACGTAACCCTCGCGTGCTCTTCGCTTGGACTTTCCAAGCTCAGGAACGAGCGCGGGATGGCAGAGGTAGCAGTTGAGGGGTACATTGCGAGATGGTGTGTTCGCCGAGCCTGCGTCCGCAAAGCCATATCTAAATGTGTGCTTGTACACACACTTCGTCTCCCAGCTAAGAGGACCGCTGGCTGCAACTTTGACCTTGAGAGCACACTCAGGTCGACCTGATCGGCCACAAAACCCGCACGGAAGAATGGTACCAACCTGTTGTAGTCTGTCGTTAGAATGTAGCATATCAAATTAATAAAATATGCTTACCGAGTCTTTCATGTTGGCTTCCGGTATGTGATACAACGCTCGCAAAATATGAAGGCCCATATGAGGCCGCATGCCGGATACTTTAGCTTCGCATAATAGGCAAGTAGTGATGCGTTCTCCTCCGGATGCAGCGAGTTGGTTGGTTGCTTCCACGGAGACAATAGCTAGTGTACCTAAGAGAATTTCAGCAAATATAGACAACGAAAAACTATGCGAGAGACATACCATCTGCGAGCTGATACGGGAACGCCTTGAGATCTGATGGGACGACAACTGCGATAGAATTGAGTGAGACACTCATATCGGTGGCCTTGGCCCAAAGGAGATCGCATGCTGCTTGAAGAGCATCTCGTGCAATCTGCCAAGTGCTCTGGCCACCGTTGACTTGAGAGAAGTCGTCCGTATTGATGTCGTCTCGTAAGCGAATGAAAGTGGGATCAGGGTTGATTGGTTCTACGAGTGAACCAGGGACAGTGACAATGATGACGCGCTCTGTCGCAGACGTTGTACCTTGAATTGCCGAGCGAGAAGTTACGTATCCTCCATTCCACAGAAACAAAACTGCGTTATCAGGCGAGGCTTGAGTTGGAATGATGGTGAGGAGTTGGCCAGTAATTTTGACGGTGGTTCGTGATGCTTTCATGACGGTGACATTTATTGATGGGCGGGACACGTTGCTCACACTTAAGGTTGTCGAGCGAAGCGCACCGATAGAGAGAGAACGACCACTACGGAGAAGCGTTAGGAATATATCCCCAACCAAAAACAAGTTCTGGTTGGTGATTCTCCCAGCCGACATGTCAATCCTCTTGTGAACTTTCGTGTAGCCTGATCGGACGCGTTCGAGGCGATTAAGGGATTTCGACACAAAATCTTTGTTGATTACAAGGCGGCAGACCGTCTGCTTGTGAATCCAGCGACCCTTGAAGAGGAGATAGTCGTCAGGTCGTATTCCAGGGCCTTCGGGCAATGGAGGGGCTGACAGATCTCGAACGACATGCGAGCGAGTAGCTGCCGAGGGAGAGTCGATAGATGACTCGTCAACGAGTTGCTCCTCGAACGTAAGCATCAATTCATCATCTTCGTTTGCTTCCATCTCTCCAGACGCTGGAAGATTGTAAGCGTCCCCATCCAACGATGTCTCCAGGTGCTGTAAGGATGGCAAAAGGGTGGGTGCAGGAGGAGAAGGGATAGGAACTCGACTAGTGTCTTCGAGGTTGTCATCTGTGTTGATGCCGAGATACTTGTTCTCTCCAAATGGACGGAGCATGTCGATTTCGCCGGAATTGAAAAGATCTGTGAACGAATAATGAATGGGATCGAGCTGTGACTTGGAAAGGATAGTGAGGGCAGATTCACGGCCCGAACGCCACGAAAACGGAAGATCACAGCGACCTGCAATAATATCACCCTTCCATAGTTCACGATTGATATGATCTACCCCCTCCTGTCGTGTAAGCTTGAGGCGGCGGTGCCCAGGATCAAGCTCTGGTCGTCGCTTGAATATGGTGTCAATATCCTTTGCTGCACCAATTCGATCTAGAGCCTGAGCATATGAGAACGCTGAATTATGACCGCCGATCATACGTGTGCGACCGAACAAGAGCTCGAGTGGGTCATCTCCGATGTCGCCGAGAAAGAAAGGTGCGTGCGGATCCAGACATTGTTGCTTTGCAAGACAGAAGAATGCGTTCTTAATGGTCGTTTGGATGTCATAATAGAGTTGATACGACATGAAAGAGCGTCGATGGGCGTGGAAAAATGCGAATGCGAGATGGGAGCAACAGCTGAGGGATTTCATTTGATCAGACAGGGACATTGAGACATCAATGAAAGGCGAGAGGATTGATTCAATTAGTGCGCTTAGGAGGGCGATAGAATTGAAATCTGCGCGAGCATCGATATCGGTGGAAAATGAATTGTTGATGCCATGCTGTTGGTGCTTGCAGAACTCAATGATAGCCTGCATTAGCTCCACGGCACGAGGGACATCTTGAGGGTCGTCTGGGTACAGGAGCTTTATAACAGCTTCCTCGTCATAGGCCGGCAACCACACAAGGTAACGCAGCAAGACCATCGAATTGATGACTCGTCCGTTATTAAGGACAATCCCGGCTGGAGACCGTATGAGCGTGCAAATACCTGTATCAAATTTTAGATGTGAGGCTCGTTGAGAAAGAACACTTACGTTTGAAGATGTGTTTAAAGTCGAAATCAAGCGTCACCTCCCCATCGCCAGTGAACAGGTTCAGCCCTGCAAGGTTGATGAGTGAACCGTACAAGGGTGAGTCTTCAGAGAGAGAAGTCTTGAGAAAGAGTTTGTGCCCTGCAGCGCGACGTGTCGCATCACCATCAGTAGCAAATGACCAAATTGGTCCAACTCTTGCAGCTGCGCCTGATGTACTCCAGCACCGAATCGTACGAGCAAGGATCTTTTCCATGTCGGTAGCGTCCTCTGTTTTGCAGGTTGGGGCAGCTAAAAGAGGGTATATCTCATCTTCACCAAAGCATGAGGCTCCGATGACGGTGAGCTCCTTGCCCAGATGGACATCACCATCATGAATCTTCTGTGCAATGTCGGCAGCTGAGTTATACGTGCGAAGGACGGGATCTACAATATGGGAATGCTTCCAGCAAAGACCGCCTACTTTGTTGTACTTGCTGAAGTGTACTGCCATCTCCTCTAATGCTATTTCGTCAATCATAAGACTAACTCCACGACGGGGTGAAGAATCGCCGTGAGAGCTAAGTACAATAGAGTCGATATTCTGGTGGAACTGCTCATCCCGAATAGGCCCGATGGTAGGCATGACAGAGGTGAATGTCGACTTAGTGCGAAGGGTGCGAAGGGAAGGAAGTCCAAGTTTGTGATTGAGCGCAAACAATAGCTGACGGCCTCCGAGTCGGAAGACAAGAGTAGCAATATCAAGGTCTTCAGCACCATAACCACGAGGGCTATATGCGCCCTCCAGTGCATCCTCGAGTTTGTTGACGACCTCACGGATACTGGCTCCATTCCGCATGGCGACATTGATAATCTGCTGAAGTCGAGGGATGTCCCCCTCGGAGATGGCCATCAGAAGGCGGCTGTAGTCATCAAGTTGCGTGAGGGTATATATATGCTTGCGGGACTCATTGCATGCCTAAAAAGAGTAAGTTGGAACTTAAAGCTAACAACGACGTAAATATACCTGAAGCTTGAGGTGCTTGACTTGCTCGGTAGATGCTTTGAGCAGATCTTGCAAGTGCCCAAGCCCTAAGAAGCGGTAATTGGTGTTAGGCTTGGGATCTTGCGCGATTTTGATAAGGTGGGCAACGTGCTCATGGACGTCAGCACAATTGTGACAAGGAGTGCCCTCGTGTGGTGTGAACACAACACAACACTTCGATCGGGCATAGAGTGCGCTTGGATCCCGGGTGTCGATGGTGAATGGTAGGGCATCCTGGCCATTATGGTAACGCTCCCATGGGAAGAGCATGACAAAAGGACGCATATCGTCAGGCCAGACGATAGGGACTCCTGCGCAAAGATCGTGGTCGAGTGCAAGAGAGGGCCTGGGAGTTTGTTGACTGTAAGCGAGTAACATGCATACTATTACATAGATAAAATTTAAAATGAAACACACCTATTTTGAAGCGAGAGTGCCTCAGGTAAACGAGGGATTGGCTCATCAGACATGTTCTGTTCAGGAACACGCTGCTTTCGTTTGTTAGTCACAGTCTGGGCACACTTCTTACTGCCCCGGTGGTTCCTCAACGATATGAACTGGCCTTCGATCCAGAGTGGAATGGAGGAGTGAGTACTCGTCTGGCACCATTCATCGCATTCTGGGCAGAGCATGACCCATCTCTGCTGAGGGCCAACCTGGACTTTTAGTTTGTCTGCCTTGAATAATCGATAGAGTGAGTCGGCAGTATTTAATTTGAGCTCGAGCGCTTCGTCAACATTGGTGAAGTCTGATTCGAGGACAGGAGGCTGCCAGTTGAGCGGGTCGCGATCTTCAGTATCAGATGTATTGATGGAATAACCAGAGTCGTAGTCGGGAGAGTAAGGCGCATGATAGTACGTATCTGGTTCTAGTTCTGGTTCTGGTTCTGGTTCTGCAAGTAAATGTAATGGTATTTCGAAGTCTACGAGAGGGCTTTGCGAGTGTCCAGATGCATGTGGGGTATCGAAAAATTGCGAAGGATGATTAGATCTCGGTTCCGTTGTTTGATATGAATGATGGTCGTTACTATGCCAGTGCGTGCTGTTGTCGTGATTGATGCTGTTGTCATACAGATTGTGCTGGTTTGTAGAATACATATTGCAATAAGTTTATGATTCAAGAGAGTAGTGCGATGCGACAGGGACAAGACAGGGATATCATGGATATGAGACGAGACGCGACGCGTATATTGATATCGACGCGTCAATTCTATAAATCACGTGTTTAATTTTTTTTGCTTCAAAATCACTCGGTAGTACGGTAGCGTCATTCCACAGGCGGTTTTGATTAAACTGACTATCTAAATGTATTCTAGACTAGAAAATAACCCCTCTTCCAGTATCGAATTAATGATTTTATGAATGTCGGAGGGCACCATCGAGAACCTCCAATGCGTTGCTCTCGAAACTTCGTGTGGCTGTATATTAAGGTTTTTTAGCTGATGTAATGGGTAGGTGTATGTTCGGGATTTTCCTTTTGCACACCTCTTGCCCGGGGTGCCATGGTAGATGGGGCAGAGCGTTTGGATGCGCGAGAATTGGATAAGTGAGGTATAGTACAAGATGAGCTATGCAAATGATTGTCCGTGTGTGATGGTACTTGAAAATCTATAGTCGGTGTCTGCGAATGTCCAGATGATGTATTAGAATAATGTGAATGGTGATTTGATCCGGGTTGCATGGTTTGAAAGGAATCATCTTCGAAGTCCGTGATATATGCAGTGTTGTCGTCGTTATTACTAGAAGCAAACCATGAGTCGTAACATGTAGATTGATGAGTCGTAGAATACATAATGAATGAGGTGTAAGGAAAGAGAGATGCGCGTCATTGAGGAGACACGTCGAATTGATATTGACGCGTCATATTGATATCGACGTGTATGACTTTGCTCACGTGCTTCCAAAAATCACATCCAAGATCTCTCGTTTAGTGGGTAGTATCTTTGGATGGGTGTGTACCATTGAAATAACTATCCAGAGCTGTTATACACTAGTAAAAACACCCCCTGTTCAGTACTTGACAAACGATTTTATGAACTTTTGAGGCCGCTGGCGAGAAACTCAAAACGCATCGCCAGTAACTTAGAGTGGCTATACATTAAGGTTTTTTAGCTTAGGTAAAGTTGAGCTCTGTGTTCGGGATTTTGCGAACGCACACCTCTTGATCCACCTCCTCCCAATCCAATTACTTATGGACCATGGTGAACGACCAGAGGGTTCGCATTGTCAATCATGTGGAATGGAGACTCCGAACCCAGAGACACTCGTCAATTCACTTCGCTTCAGTTTCACTGTCCATGAGGTTGCATCAAAACTGAGGATGCCATATTAATGTCAAGCCTGCCAGTGAGAGCGTGACTCTGTTTAAATTCAGGTGCGTCATTATTAAGATTCAATTCAAGAATGTAGTGGAGGAGACATGAATGACGAAAAGTGAATTGGCCCTTAAGTGCGTACATATTAGTAAGGTCGGTAGGAATGTGGGGAGGAGACCCCTTCGCACCTATCAAACTAAAAACACAATACTACTGAATAAGGCCAAATAAAGGTCACAGCTCCACAAAGCTGCAAAACAAAACAAAATTCCCGGATGACCTATTAGTGCCGACTAAGTATGTTGAAGTCACCCTTCCACAAATTCTACAGGCGTTCGCACTGACCCTCTTTGCAACAATGCAAAGTCTCTAGATGTGGATGGTCGGTGTTTCACACAAGACCCGCTGCGAAAAACTACAATAGCAAGGTATGTTTGTTGTGGACCTGTGGTTTGAGAAGCGTTGTAGTTTAAATAGGGACGCAATGGTTGGCCGAACGTCAGAATCATTTCCGACCTCCATCTTCACATCTCAACCTCCTTCGTGTCAATATGCGATCAAACACCAATTCATCAACCATCTCGGGTACCATTAGTCGCCTCGTAAGTACTTGATTTTGAAGGTGTTGGCGTCTGAACAAACATCCACTTCAGCAGTCGCGTGTAGTCAACCGCGAGGCTTCAGACTCAAACCATGTAAACTATCGTTACTGGCAACTCGTCCAAGAGATGGCCCAGATTGTGCAGTCCATCGGTCCTCCCAGGGGATCTTCATCGCCTATCAGGCGTCTGCCCACCGAAATCCTCGCTGAAATTTTCCTCTACTGCATCCCAGAAGACGCAAACTGGACGCCCGCGCCAGATCTAGCCCCCATGCAGTTGACTGCAGTATGTCAACGATGGAGGGAGATTGCTGTGAACATGCCGAATTTATGGCGCAGGCTGCGATTGGAAATAGGGCACGGAGACTGGCAGCAGAGAGCTTTCTGCTATGACTCCTACCTCAAGCGATCACGGGGACGTCAACTGTCGTTGACACTCGAGTGTGATAACAATAAGTGGACAGGGCTACGAAGACTGCTCCGGCCATACGTCAATCAAATTTCCTCACTGCATGTTGGATTATCCTCCGGTACCAGCTCCTTTCCACTGGTGGCGGCGGACTTCGGCGGACTTCAGGAGCTGGCTATATACACGGATAGTTTACTACATCCAGTACCAGCTGCTGTCAGGCGCTCTATCATGCACTCTATCATCCATTTGCCGCCCAACATACGCAGTCTCAGGTTATTGGATGTGTTGCTTGACCCTGATGTTCGGGACTCAACTCACCTCATTTCTCCCTCATGGGCCGGTCTCACAAATCTTGAGGTTGTGGTAGGGGCACTACGACTTTCCTTACCCCGCTTGCTCCGTCTTTGTCCCAATCTTTCGTCGTTGACGGCGATGGGTGGACTATTCGTGGTGGCGAGCGAGACCTCAAGACCATTGGTGCACACCAAACTTCAATATTTGCGCATTTCCGGCGATTTACCTACGAGCGCGCACTTGCTCGGACTTCTTGGGCTATTCCCTAACGTCACGCTCCCGAATTTACGCATCCTCGAAGTTAACAATATAGGGGGATGGGTTCACCACGAATTCAAGGCGTTGATAACACGGTCACAGTGTCCCCTGGAAAGCTTGATCTTCGGCCGTGGAGTGAGGACGATACCTCAGTATCTAGCAGAATATGTCACTCTTTTCCCATCTCTCAAATTAGTGGTAGATCCTACGCGTTCAGGCTTGTGGTTAGAATTCTAGACTGGGACAGTTTATGTACATAGTTGACGAAATGATGCTCACACGATTATGCTATATGTTGCCTATACCTACTCATTGCCAACCCTTCAATAGACTATGCCAAACATTCTTTGATCCAAAATGACATCCATCGTCAAATTATTTGTCGTATCCTCAGATACCCGTTCTGAGCGTCGTTTCGACCTCCACGTGACGATCGAGCAGCTCAAGGGTCCGTACGTTGCGTAGTCTACCATAACACATCTTGCAGATTCCAGAACACTAAAGACAACCACGCATATCATCGTGATTCGTGCACCACCCAATATCTAGGCGAAACTAGAACTCATCACAGGCATCCCCGTTCAGAATCAAAAAATATTGTTGCACAATGGCGATGACGATCCTCAGGTCGTCGCGCAGCTGGATGATGATGCTAGTAAGCCGCTTGATGTTCGGGATTTCCACATCAGTAAATCATGAGTTTACCTTATCCTTACTTATTTCAAACTTTTCCCACTTATTTCAAATGGATCTACTTATTTTTCTTAAATCACTACCTGGTCCCAACTGAACTATCAGAATCTGTTAACCATTGTTATAAATGCGTGCTATAAAATTATTGGATTTTCAATTTGCAAGATGGTACCTCAAGAGAACATTTAAGAAAGAAAATCATCAGCATTAATGTGTCACTTGAACTTCATACTAGTCACTAATTGTTGGTCTTATGCAATGAAACATGTCTCTCAGGCCCAATAAACATATTGGAATACTCGAGTTTGAAGCAGTTGTCAAATTTCAGAAAAAAAGTAGGTCCATTTTAAATAACTTGAAATAAGTGGGAAAAGTTCAAAATAAGTAAGGATAAGGTAAACTCATAATTTCCTGATGGCCAGACGATCAATGTATTTTCTGTTCGAGTCTTCACAAAGCAGTCGTTTATGCATATGCTGGCGTCGTTTGTTATAGGTTGTAGATACGAACCCTTCGACGTCATTTACGGGTCAACTCTCCGATGTAGAGAAGTTTGAGCTTAGCGACGACGCGTATGCACAACGAGCCGGCGATCAATCAGTCATTCCTTATAATTTACTACTGGTTCTGATTTTTTTTATTTGAAAGACTCCGTGTTGGCTTACAAGCAAAGACATAAAGTAGGGCGCTTTGCGCCCGCTTCAACAGAACCTACTCCTGAACCTGCGGTAAACATCCCCATCGGATCACGCTGCAAGGTAGAATCAACAGAACCGGGCTTGAATAAGCGTGGTACAGTGGTCAGACTGAGTTTGCTGCTGGACTTTGGGTCGGTGTCGAGTATGATGAGCCGATGGGCAAGAATGATGGGTCGTAAGTTTGAACCCTCGTATTATTTGTCGATACTCATCTGGACACCTAGTCTCAAAGGGGTGCAGTATTTTACATGTCGTCCGAACTACGGAGTGTTCGTACGCCCTGCAAAAGTCGGTGACTTCCGAAGTTCCCTGTGGAAGAGATCGATTTTGATGACGAAGAAATCTGATGGGGTGTTGACATACTCGTTGTAATATATCCGCCGAGTATTCACAGTTGTTGCAGATCCATGATTAGGACCTTAAGGTGTATTGAAACCTTTACCCTACCCCAATGCCTCGGACCGGCCAGCCTTGGCAGCAAAACGTACTGACCCCTGGTTCTTGGGACTCTATATTTAATCTAACAATACAGTCGTTGTTCACCGTAGCTAGTCGGTCATCACGTCGGTAGAACCCAATCTTGTCCGTCCACTTTAATCAACGATACTGAGCTCCCTCAAGCGTGTCTTTGCAAATTCATCCTTATAAGTGTTCCATATCCTGTATGGAACACAACTAAGCTCGACACGGGCGACGAAGGGGGGGATGGAATACCCACCTGGTCAATTCCTCGATATACAACCGTTGCACTCTTTCGATCTCCTCTAATGATGGTTTTTCGCAGCGTTGAACATGAATCGGTCGGCCGACTATTCAGAAGTGAGACACCTGACAAGTTATCAGGTTAGAGATAGCACTCACTGACTGACACAATCCGTCGTCGGTACGGCATCAGACCCAAGTTATCTGCAGTAGAGATGATTCAAGGAAAGGTCACCAGTCGCGTAAGTTTGAAACTCACAATTCAGCATACCACGCCCATGAAAAAGCGGAAGGGTAAACCCAAACATGCTCTGAAATTTCTTTTGCAGAACATATATCGTGGTGCCTTTCTCGTTTGGCATTTGATTATATATCTGAATAAACGTTGTCGACGATCCAGAGTAGCAAAAGAGTGCAACACTTACATCATTCTCGCCGAACGAGAACACAGGTACAAGGTCCGCCCTGAAGAAATGTTTCGATCACATTTTCTATCAAGCCTTGTATCAACTCACCCATGCTGGATCGCGACCTTGATAAAACCTAATCTACGATCCATTTGTCAGGCGCCAGTTTGTGATGGTCCGGTATCGGGGCTTACCTGCGCTTCAATGTTAGATCTGCCGTACCAGGTCTTGCGCTCAAACTCTCAGCAGCGCCTCCGACTACAATAGTGATTGCCTGACCCGGACCGCTGGAGAGAATGTTGGAGCAAGATTCTCGCGAGACACTGCTGATCCCAAGCGACATGATAACTTCGCGATATAAAGGAATGTGGAAGTTATTAGTGAGCGTGAGTAAGTGTGGCTTAATGCCTGGAAAAGCTTTGGAGAAGCCGGTGGCTGATAGAAGATATTTGAGATATTGATGCTGTGGGGAAAGTGAAACACTCGCCTTCCGTGGCGAAGGTGGCAAGTGCGCCCCTGGTGGATTGGTAAGAAGTATGCAAAGATGCAGAAGAGAATGTCACTTTACATTCCAATTATGCCTGTTTAAATCGCAAAAATGAGTGATGCTCAGGACTAAAGGGGATAAGACTACCATGAGGATGGTACCCGAACACGTAGGGGCGATCGGCGGGTAGGTCGCACTCCTGCATTGAGCACATGGTTGAATATTCGGAACGCAAATTAGCTCAAATCACTGCCGTACCTTCAAGAGCCTAGATGGATGGTGACGTAAACGGTTGTGTCTATAACGCACGAAGAACCACACTTACGACGCGGGGTAATATTCTGCAAAATACTGCCAGATTTTCAGGGACCGGAACCACGGAGCGAGTCTGTTGCCGTATGCTGGGCTCTTGTCTATCCAGAAAATCCAGATGAGGTACATGACCAAGAACGGCCATAGCGCTGGTATGGAGCTTTGGTGTTCATTTCAGCGAGTAAACGGTATATCCGAGAATTGTAGCACGTACCAGAGCATTAGGAACACAAAGCAGGACATAACTAACAACACCGACCACACGGCAACGACCATAGTCTGCAGTCTCCTCTTCCGCGGTATCTTGGTTGGCACAAAGCTGGATAGGCATAATTAAAGTCGTAGAATGCCATAATACAATCAGTCAGTGACATAAACAAACTATCTGATACGCACTCGATGCTAGCATGAAGGGCAGCTACAGGACGCAATGGTGCACCGGTTAACTTCGTTAATCGCCCTCTAAGAGAAGATGCGGAAATAGTTCTTGAGAAAGCTGTCAGGTCATGGCCTTTATCCATTCCGGCTAGTCCAATATTTATTGGACTCGGTGTTCAGCAGGCAACTGAATCTGCGTCAGACTCTTGTTTAGTAGATGCGCGCAACTGCTTCCGTCAATCACGTGACCGGGATTTACCCTTGCTTCTTCCCGAATCCCGTGAACGGTCACCCAACTCATCGATCAAATAGACAGGCTACATCTAACCACTCAGTCCCAATCCACTTTAGGCACCTGCTTAACATTCAATATTCAATGGCAAGCTACTAGGTCAGAAAGTGGGGTTTTCAGGCTTGAACAATGTGAGTGACGAGTAATAATCAATTGCATCAAAATAATTATTAATTGCATGGTGGCCCGAGCTCTATTCTAATGCGTCATCTTGACGATGACCAGACACTGAACCATGAAGCTGGAATAACCGTGCTCCAATTATACCGAGGGACCGTCGACCAGCCACTATTATGCGCATGGAGCAGAGCGCGCGTCAGCTTATACAAGGGAGTTGGACCCACCTTATCAAATTGCCAGCTCTCGTAGCACTGAGCTCTTATTCGACATTTTTATTTACACACTCCCATCATTCGATAGGTAACTGCGATTCGCAACTATCAAAACTACAATCTACTATATTGTTGACCCGGATACTATGCAGACGATAAAGGGAGGCTACTGTGAACATCCAAAGTTTGTCATGTTGTCTGTGTTTTTTGCGCTTCCGCTGCAGGGTTAGCAGCGGGACGCTCTCTGCTACTTAATACACGGCTCGAGTGATCGTCACAGTGTCACTAGTACTACCTGACCAGAAGTTCAAATTCCGCTCATTGTGGGTGATAACTTAATACACCCCTATTTGTGGTTCAACATTAACTTTCAACAATGGTTAACCATTCATCCATAGCGTCACTTCTTTGCCACATCGCTCGTCTCACTAAGTTGGGTCAGAAAGCGCCGGCGAACCAACAAAACATCGTGAGTGTCTAGTTGTAGGTAACCGTGTCTCGTTAACTAATCATCGATCGCTTCCGATGCAGTCACAACCAATTGTATGTCTATTTTGATATATCTGATAGCGTAGTATTGACGGTAACTAGATGCCAGACATTGAAACACAGAACTGCAATAATATCGACCACCCCGCCATGCGCACGGACCAGATTTGGGGCGTTAGTCCCGTCAACGCTGATGGCCAGTGCCTCATCGACCAGCGGGACAACATCATTCACCCCACGAACTTACACAAGGAACCTGGGCCGGCTGTCTCTCGCTTACCAGCCGAACTCTTATCTAAAATTTTCATGCACACACTTCCACCATTCGATGAATTGTTGCCCCCATCAAAGCTACGATCTCCCATGCTGTTGACCAGGATATGCAGAAGATGGCGGGAAGTTGCTGTGGGCACGCCAGGTTTATGGTGCAGACTGTTTAGTGGGTTTAAGAGCTCCCACTGCGGGCACAGGAAGAAGGAATCCTTCTGCTACGACACATGGCTCAAGCGATCGCAAGGACTTCCACTGTCGTTGGAAATTTGGTGGTTTACAAATCCCTTGACCGGCCTTCTTCAGCACTACACGAATCAAATTTCGTCTCTTCGTACCGTTTGCTGCGCCGCCACACGTGACCTTCTGTTAAACGACCTCCCAGCACTTCAGGTGCTTACCATATATGGGCAGATCAACTACTCTCCATGGAAGAGGAGTACTGTTACACGATCTATCTTGAACCACTCATTCACCCTGCGCAGTCTCAAAGTCAGCTGTCAACCACCATTCTACTCGGCCGACTTCGATCCCTTCAAGAATTCCAGATGGACCCACCTCACAGATGTTGAGATCTACGTTTGCCAACAAAATGTACTCGTCAGATTACTGCAGCAGGCTCCCAACCTCTCCTCAGTCAAGATTTCCATATATAACATGCACCATGAACCCCCCTTACTGGTAAAGCACGAGAAGCTTCAACTCTTGCACATTCGTTATTTCCAATCGCTCTCATCACACCCCTACATGCTTAATGCCCTGTCACTCCCCAACTTGCGCAAGTTTGTTGCCGATGCAGGGATGCATCCTGAGTGGCCTCACGAGGAGTTTAAAGAATTTTTAGTACGGTCAAAGTGTCCTCTGGAGTTCCTGTACCTTGGTGGTGGAATCATGACAGACGAGAAGACAGCGGAATACATTGCTCTCATTCCTTCTCTTAAAGTGCTTCCGTTTAGTAGATGCAAAGTTTAGCAGGTGTCTTTGGTATTATATTCAGTAGCACAGATTGACATAACATGTACTACAGTCAGGTGTTTGTCGTCTATGGATTTTACTTGCTTGTGCGTTACGAGAGGCCTTTCTGATCGAGTTGCGGTTAGAGCAGATGAACAAGGCTTCGCATGAACAGTTCCATTATTCCTTGTACGTGTACTGACGTCTAGGGCGTACATCGTGCTAGCTCACCCAACTACAGCGTTAGGTTTCCGCACGACGAGACAAATACAAGTATTCTTACGAGTTCCAAACTGTATTTGCTCTCTTGAATAGCGACAATGTAATTCATACGGCAATCTATCCATTGCATTGATATCACTACAGTCTAGATATTATTTATCTAAGTGAGCTCCCCATATAAGGTACCCACCTATTTTGTGGTTGCCGGCACAACTGTTGTACTAACAGAAGAACTGCTTGTGTTAGGAGTGCTCGCAGTTGAAACGCTAGAATGGGAATTGGCGATTGCTGAAGCGATTGCAGCTGCGTTCAGCTGGCTGGGTGTTGCAGATGACGAGGAGGGAGAGATGGAAGAGGTGGGTGAGGAAGATGAGGAAGATGACGGCGGGGAAGATGAAGTGATGGACGCAGAAGACGGTGAATCTGCAATCGGGACAAACTCTATTTCTAGTGAGCCCCTCACGGGCTGCGAAGTCGATGTCACTTGACTGGTAGTCGCCGAGCCCATGGAGGTCGCTTGAGAAGATGACGACACTGGGATTGAAGCAATGATAGCAGCGTGGACAGGTGGAGAGGGCGCCATCGATGATGATGTCACTTGGATGGTACTCAACGGGCCCGTGGGGGTTGACTGAGACGGCGGCGGCCCCGGGCTTGAAGCGACAATGTCAGCGTGAACAGATGGAGAGGGCAGTATCGATGGTGGTGATGTAGCTTGGGTGCTAGTCGCCGAGTCCGGGGAGGTTGCCTGAGAAGATGATGACTCTGGACTTGAGGCGATAATGGCAGCATGGACAGAGGGAGAGGGCAGTATCGATGACGATGCAGCTTGGATGGTAGCTGAGCCCGTAGAAGTTGCTTGAAAAGAAGACGACCCCGTGCTTGAAGCCGCTGCTGCAGCGTGGACAGCAGGAGAGGGTGTCAAAGTCGATGTCGAACTGCATGCCACTGACATTGACGAACATGATGAAGATGTCATGGTAAGCGCAGCAATAGCGGCCATAGGGCTTCCAGCAGCGGATGATGAATATGAAGACGGGGTTGCAGTAGCGGTGTAGACAACCGTCGTGGTAATCGTCGTCGTTACCACATCGTCCGCGCTCGAGTCAACAGCATCGGTAGAAGGTGGAGAAGCAGGGACCGCAAGATTAGAAGGTCGGAACACAAGAGTGACGTTCTGTGCTTCCGGTGTAGACGAGGAAGTGGTGGACTGAGGCGCAGACGTGGAGCTTGTGGTACTAGACCCGGCAGATGTTATCGTGTTGGAGCCAGTGGTGGAAGAAGTCGTAGTGTCCCGCTCAACAAACATCGCATGCGAGGAAGTGCTGCCGTCGCTGTTCGTCCATAACGGCTTGATGACACCAGTAGACGGATCGTACTCGAAGATCTGACTCTTGTGTGGATCCGCGGCCAATATAGTGTAGTCGACGATAGGCGCCACGCCGTTGGCATATGAGTAATCCAGGTTTCTGACGTCATTTTCGGGTTGCGACGGACGGCACATTTCCATTATCATTGGTTCAGGCCCAGATGGATTCGGGTCAAAAGTCGCGCAGTAGAGGGAGTCGAAGATATCAGTTTGAACCATGACGTGCTTCGTCGCGTTTGCTATGAAGATATTTGAGTTCGGCAATAAAATACACCAGCAGGATAAATACCAGGGTTGTTAAATGAGCTGTCATTAGCGTCGACCAAGTAGAACTGGGTCCCGTTGGTGCTTGACGCATTGAGAGGGAAGGAACCATTACTAGCGTGACTGTTGGTCGAGTTGGTCGATGTAGTATTGGTGGAGTTATACGTCGAATAATCGAGGGCAAGAGATGCGAGGTGCCGGCCTTGATCTCCGCTCTGGAAGTGTGATTATAAGAACACAGAAGTAGGGGGAGAAAAGCGCCATACCACAATATCAATATTTCCGGAAACAGGACAGGAAGTATCGCGACGGCCCAGCCTTCGTTTTGAAGGGCACGTGGAGGCTGCTCCCCTAGAGACTAGATAGTTATTTCCACCTGCACCATGGACGAGAGCAGACGAGCGGCGAGAAAGAGGAGTAGGACGACGTGAGGGTGCATCGCGCAGCGAGAAAGGTGCATGAACATCGTCACCGTGAACATGAGCAAAGCCAACATTCAGAATTCCCGCCAGCGGGTTCGATGGGTCGGAATTGGAAAACCTGAAGAACCTCTGCAATATGGGTAGGTATCAGAAGACGTCAGTCAAAGACAAGCTAACTTACCGAGCTAGGAGTATCGATGATTGACTTTCCTTTGCCCTCAGAGAGTTTGTGGGGAACATGTCCAGTAGTCAGCCTCGGAAGTGAAAAGACAGTGCGGGGTTTATCAGCCTCATACGCAGTAGCAACTCGGTTGCCACTGGGATGGCTTGCAATATATGCAGCGTCGGCAGGGGGTGGAAGCACGATAGCGATGATCGTACAGATGCTTGTGAAAGCAACAAACTGAGATGTAAAGCGCATGACAAAAATCGTACAAGGAGAGGATGCGGTCCGGCGCAGAGTTAAGAGAAATAAGAATGATAGATAAATCTGAGGAATACGATGCCTGTCGTACAACAAATCACCAGGATCTGTGTGGTAGGAGAATGAGATGGAAAACCTAAATATTTTGAATGCATCGAGACTTTATACCCTGCAGGAAAAGGATGCATGTGAAACACCCAACGTCACCCACCACGCAGGAAGCGCGTATCCTAAATCAGTCTGAATTGACATCGACATGCTTTAGCAATGGAAACGGTCAGTCATGTTTACTACGCAGATACGTCTGGAACCATTTCATGTATTCTGAATGATCGGGACTTTCATAAACTGTTCATAGAATGAATACCGTCAGTTTCAAGTTAAAATGAAGGGACGTACGTGTCGCAGAACTACACATTAACTTGAAAACATCATGTTTGCGGTATGCCTAACACATGGGATTATGGCTGAGTCGTACATGCATGTGTAATGTCGTACCCAGACGCCTTATTTTGGCAGGGAGGGAAGTGGAAGTTAACAAGGCCATCTGGTACTAGTGACACGTCCCCTTCCGAATTCTCTGCCTAGCGTCCAAATCTTATGGTGTGGGGGCGACTAAATGTGGTGACATTGCAGCCTCGACAATATGCAAGACATGGAAGAGGTATAGATGTGTGCAGAACAATCATAATGCTGTTGAATTCGAAGGTGTTTGTAATTGGCGGTTGAGAGAATCTGGAATTAACTTCAATAGCAACTCCGACATTAGCAAAGGAAAGTCATTAGGGTTACTATTCTGGACGGTAGATGATCCAATAGCGACCACGATGAGCACAGCGAGGCTGAAGCGCAAGCTCGGTGACTTGGGAATTGATACATCCAGCAGAAAGGCAAACGAGAACTTCTGCCTTGTGCGTAAACTTTCTCTCATCCCCACAGCTTGCCAACTCTCCGTGACCACCACAGATCGGCACCCCGCTGCCCCCACTCGAAAAGTCAAAAGACACAGGCGAATTTGTACCGTTATGGAAGCAAGAGGTGAGCTCTTTTAGGTGTTGTCTTGTTCCAAACTCGAGATATCTTCCAGGTGAGGGATGAGAAGGGCCGGAGAAGGTTGCATGGTGCTTTTACCGGCGGTTTCTCTGCTGGGTACTTTAATACAGTGGGCTCTAAAGAAGGTACGTCCCCTGAGAGAAAATAATACGCTCCATGTCATCTAGCATTCTACTCCAGGATGGACACCGTCAACATTCATATCCTCTCGGTCCGACAGGACCACGAACAAGAACCGCCCTTCTCGCCCAGAAGATTTCATGGACGAAGAAGATCTCACGGGAATGCGTGATGACCAAAAGCTTGTCGATGAGCATGAGCAGATGGATTTACTGGGAAGCACACAAGACGAGATAAGCAAACGTGGTGTGGGTGCCGACGACAAAGAGTGTGTATTATTGAACCGCTTTATATGATGCATCGCTTACTAGACCTACCTCACCAAGCGCAATCACGATCGCACTCGAGCAGTCTCTCCTCCCAGCACCAAAGGACTCTGTAGGCGCTCGAATTCTGAAAAAGATGGGCTGGCGCATTGGCCAGGGTGTTGGCCCACGGATAACATGGCGTCAGCGTGAAATAGCCTTCGGCCGTAACCCAGATGTGCCTTCCGACGACATAGATGAGGAAGCGAAGAAACACTTATACGCCCCTCGAGACACGCCGCTGATCATCGTTGAGAGGAAGGATAACTTTCATGGTTTGGGCTATGACCGTGGTCTAGGGTTGCATGCGAGTCTTGGTGTTGCGCCTGAGGCTTCCAAACAGTCCAATGGCCCACGCTTAGCTGGCGCGTATTATGTCTGCTGCTACTGCTATGTGCGATTTTCTGACTCTGACCCGTGGCGACAGGTGGTTTTGGCCTCGGCGCGCTGAATGATGCAGACGACGATGACTTAGATGTTTATGATCACTCCCAGATTCGTGGTAGGAATCATCATGCATACGATGCGAATGATGTGCACGATGAGGAGCATGTTCTTATGAGTTCGCGATCGCAAGGCGCACGGGACTTGGGAAAGGCAGCACAACCCCAAGTAGGTCACCATCCGAGGGAACTGAGATATTACGGTTCAACTTATGAATTCTAGAGACCTTCTACCGGGAAAGTAGTGTTTCGTGATGGGAAACAGCCTTTGAACGGGTTCATCATATCTGAGAAACCTGTGGCGGAGGACCTTTGGTCAGTAGCATTTTTACGTGTATGTTGCTTATGGTGGGATATTCACAATTACCAGCTTCCCAATACCGGATGTGCCAAAAGATTGGACGCCAAACCCCAAACGCGTATGGGAGATGGAGAAAGCCAATTCAAAAGATAAAGAGAACGCATCTATACCTCCTCCATCGCAAACTCAGTCACACGCCCAGTGGAAAAAGGGCATCTCTGCGAACCAGGTTTGACAAAATTCATTCCCTGCAGAACTCACGTGCTTACATGCTATGGACAGCGGGGAGCAGCACTCGGGGAGACACCCCTC